ATCGCTTCGTATACCTGATTTGCGCCACTCTTTTGTTAAGGTCAATCCGGTTCTTTAACCAATCTTTTGTCGTTTTATTTTGTAATTTGATCGTTAAAATGTTGATAACGATAAAAATGTTGATTATTAAAAAAAAAGGTATAAAACTAGGATTTCATGGGCCATGGTCAAAGGACATGCTTCTGCATTGCTTCTTCGTCCTTCATCGACTACCAGTCATTGAAACACGTTCTTCATAGTAACTGACAATATTTTAATTTAAATAGTCAGTTATAAAATAAAATAAAATAAACGGGTTAAAAATCTATATAAAGGATGTATTGTTTTCACTGCAGAAGGTATAAGATTAACACAGAAATAGTATTTAGACCTAAGTATTAATGGCATCAATAGTTTGATACTTTTTAAGAAGATAGTTCCTACTCACAGTAAGTTGTTTTGCAACGATCCGGATTTCGAGCCTTTTAGCTCATCATCAGGTTGAAGGACTTCTACAACCACGTCTCTCGACATGAATTGCCAAAGTGAACCCGCTGATACCTCCTTAACGCGACGTTCCAATTAGCAGCTGATTTTTTTACCAGCGCTCAATTTGAACGTGCGGAACGCGGAAANTAAAAGGCTCGAAATCCGGATCGTTCCAAAACAACTTACTGTGAGTAGGAACTATCTTTTTAAAAAGGATTGAACACCACACTCACTCCATCATTTATCATTTGTATCAATAGTTTGATATTTCAACGACTGGTAGTCGATGAAGGACACGAAGCAGCAATGCAGAAGCAAGTCCCTGACCATGACCCATGAAATCCTGTTTTATACCTTTTCTTTAACGATCAACATTTTAACATTCAAATTACAAAATAAAACGATAATAGATTAAAGAACGAGATTGGCTTTGGCTAAGGAGTGACAAAAATCACCTATACGAAGCAATAATTCTTCAGTTTGTTCCTCTGATTTTTTTTCTTTCTTTTTTGAAACATTCTCCAAAGCCGGTAAAGAAGACAAAAGCGAAGTTACACTTCCTCATAGGTAGGATTAGAGGGCACAATGAGACGTGAGGTGAATAATCTCTTGGTTCATTTTCTCTTTTTGGTGGCCCAGTGTGTAGATTACGTCGGGGATTCATTGATTTCTACTTTGTATCGCTTTGTGATAAATCCTTTTCCTATTCTGATTATCTTAATCGTTATTTTCTCACCAAAGTTTAAATAAAGATAATTTATTAAAATAAATATAAAGATAATTTAATTTTGCCTCTTCATCCCCTCTTTCACTCTTGATCACTTTATATCTTCAACTCTCACTCACTCTCTCTCACTNCCTCTTTCACTCTCTTCTTTTCTCTCATTTTCTCCTTGCTTTCTTCTAGTTTCCTCATTTCTCACTCTTTTTCACTTTCTCTTTCCCCTTCTCTCTCCCTCTCCCTCTCCCTCATCCTCTCTCCTTCTTTTTCACCCCTTCTTCTCTCTACCTTGTGTGGTCATTATTTAATTAAATCTACATACTACAGTTTTCTCTCTTCCCTCTTTTTCCTGCTCTCTCTCTCTCTCTTTCTTTCTTTCTTCCTTCTTTCCTTCCTCTCTTTCTCCTCTTTCGTCTCTTTCACTCTCTCTTTTTCTCTTTCTCCTTCTCTCTCTCTCTTTCTCCTCTTTCTTCTCTCTTTCTTGGTAGTCATTAATTCACTAAACCAATCATAGTACAACTCTCTCTCCTCTTTCTCCTTCTCTTCTCTTTCACTCTCTCTTTTTCTCTTTCTCCCCCTCTCTCTCTCTTTCTTTTTCTCTCTTTCTCTCTCTCCCTCCCAATCTCTATTTCTATCCTAAATTACTCAACCCCCTCTCTCACACTCTATATCTCCCATTTCTTCGTATTTTTGCCCCATGTTGTGAGTTGCTATAGACTTGGGGCTAAAGGCGTCCGTCTCGGCAATAACGCTCTCAGCAGAAAATATCTTTTAATTACTTACATCATCGGGCTATGATTCTCCCGTGTTGCTTGTACATTATCTAGCGCATAGATCATAATATACTAGAAACTTATAGAACATCTACATTCGTCTCTTTTTTTTTTATTACCGACCAGTATTTCTTACAATTTTATGTTACCAAGGCCCTTGAAATAAAGGCAGCGCGATTCTTCAGCTTCCGTCATAGTCCTTTAAAATTCTTAAAATTAAATCTTTACAAAAAAAAATTATTGTTAAAAATATTTGATAGGCATCTGTTAATAAAAAATAACTTGAATTTCTCACTTTTTCGTCTTTTGACGATAATCGCCTGTTTAAAATGACAATTTATGGTTTCATTTGATCTTTTAGCTTATAGATGGGGCATATAAGACATATAATCCATTTCTGAGAAATATCTTGGCAGATTAACAAACTAGACAAATAAATCTCCGGGCACAAAATTTGTCTAAAATTTTCGTAACTGATTTATTCAGAATTCCCTCCTCGTTAATATTTGTATTTTACTGCTGTTATTTAGTCTATCGGTGATATTTTAGTTCGTTATCGTTCCTTGACGAAATGTGAAGTAAATATTTCGTTGATTGAAGCTTATAAATCGTAAAAGAAGCGTTGCGTTTATTTGCTAATTGCTTCTAAAGTCTTGATTTCAGCAAAATCGGCAATCCAGTGTCAATGACTTTTAAGAAACCAGTCCTCAATGATAATTAAACTATGCCATTTCTTAGAAAGGGGGGTCCGCGACAGGCAATATTTCGGCCAACTTGCATCCATCAGAGAAGAAAGTGATGTCCCTTTTACTCTTTAAAGGTTTCCTTTAACCTTTTCCAAGAAATTGCATTTGTCTGTTGCAGTTCTTCCTAATATGTTGCTGGTTTTTAACACAATTTTTTCTGTTGTCTTTGTATGAAAACGCCAAAAGTTTTATCCTTCAGCAAGATGTAACTTCTATGCTGTATTTCATGATGCACAACTGTCCCTCTTCTATCTTTTCATATTTAAACTATACAGAAAAAAAGTTAACCAATTTTTATTTTATACCATCTCAAACTGCAGTCAGTCCAGAACAGAAAAATTTCGAATATTCCAATAACCTTGAGCACCCAGCAATATCATACTAAGTTTTCTGATTTGTCGTTATTGTTAGTTGAAATTAGCTGTTGATAATAGTCATAAATATAATTTTTCAAATTTGATAAAGGTAATTGTTTATTTCCTAAGTGGCTTGGCTCAACTTATCGGAAAGTTTTCATTATTAGTTATGGCTATGGCTTATCTCCCATCAGTAAATAAGTTTTGTAACCCAATCGGTATAAGAAAGATTAAACGTCAGATGTACACAAAGCAGATCAAGTTCAGATTTGGCCTATTTGTATGTTTAAAATCCATGCAATAACGGTTTGCTTATTTAATTTGACTAATTCAATAATAGTTTCCTGTAACTTTATTCTTATAGAGTTATTTTTATAAAATTGTTTTATATTATCAAAAATCATCAGCAAACTGTTGATTAATTCATTATAGAATCTGTTCACTATAGAAATATTCAAATATTTAAAATTCTTAAAATTATTGTATTTGTCTGGATAATTGGATGGAACTATTTGTGGATGAACTTGTGATTTGGGCTACCCCATTAGATTTAGATTTGTATTTATGTAAACCCAAATCTTCGTGTACAGAGTTTAGCATCGATTCCACTGCAATTCCAGCTTTTGTAGTTTATAATAAAGGTCTTTCAGTATACAAGAATCACCCCAACTTTGGTGTTGGGAGACCAGACCACCTCGGTCTTGCCTGTCCAGCCACCAAGGTTGGGTTCCGAGTGCTGTCAACAGCTAGGTCAATTCAGCTCCAAATGCAGTTCATAGATCTAAACACATTCGCACTCTAACTCATTCTTAAAGCATTCTTTCTAATTTACATACCATTCACTCAGAGTTGATGTCTCTCATTTACACGTTTACATATAACTAACCGAATTGAAGGTCGTTGGGATACTCAGTATTTCGCCATCAGCCCTCTTACACTGCTCATTCACGCTAATAAATACACTCAGTCTCAGTATTCACATTAGGTACACAAATTTATCAGTACTATACATAATTACAATAATTAATTGTCCTTTTTATCTAAGATGGTTGAGAGGAAAAACTGAGTGCTACGAACGGGATTGGAACCCATGACCACTAGAGCTGTCATGACTTTTAATTAATTAATATGGTCAATTCTGACAGCTAAACATATGGACTGCATATAATGAAACAATGCTGTTTTCTCTAAAAATCAGACAGGGAACCAGATGCTTGCTCCCATGCTTAAGCACAACTTTGATATTGTGTTGGATTCCTACCCGCTCCCTGTATTGAGCCAAGGAATGACACAGTTCAATTACGGACACATTGAGCAACCTCTCTTTGCTGCCGGACACATACTCATTAGAGATTTCTACAGTTTTGTCACAGTTCCAAAATATTATCTATTAAGGAGTCCACAGTATATGTTTTTTTTTTATGCACAGTATACATTTTTTCTGTTATGAATTTCAGCTTCCTTAATTTTAATCCTTTAATTCCTGTTTAATCCAAAATATCTTTCTTTGTAAATCCTAAAAGGATATTTTTAAATTAGTTGGGGCTAGTCAAAGATCTCAAAAAAATCTATTTTATCATTTATATAACTACCCCACATAAGTATTTAGTGCCCTACAATGGTGTGTGGTTCAGTTACCGTGCTGTGTGATCGTCGATTTGGTTTTTTTTATCACATTATTATTTTCAGTGGATAAATTTTTCTTGTTCTTGGCTTTATTCATCAAACCAATTATACAAATAATCCTATGGAACCTTGGATCATTCTTCCACTGAATAAATTATTACGTTCTTTGCGTGGATCCCCTTCACACGAAGCAACTTGTTTCACTCACGAGTGCAAAATAAAAATAATAATAGAAGGTTTGGATGTTAGGGCGTGAAATGACCTTAGCCGTTAAAACGCCCTTAAAAATTAATAATAATAATAAAAATACCTGTGTTCGAACAAATTAATCGCACAAAGACAATAATCTGGAACTGACCAAAATAAATTATAACAATAACCTTCTAACAAATAAATTCAGTTTAAAAATTAAAATAAAAATAAGTGATCTGTGACATACACAACTCCTTACCATTTACAAAAAAGAGCAGATGGTTTCAACAACTTGAAAAAGAGTCCTTCCTCGTCCTTTTCTGTCTCAGCTCGCACTGCCGAACCTGTGGTTGGAGATTAGCTTATCCTTTGAGATAATCCTTGTTGTTGAAAATATTGTTATAAAATAAACAACATCAAATTGTCAAATAACTGACTAGAAATTTTCATCCTAGTTCACGTCAAATTTGCGTTTGACACAAAGCAACAATCAGTTCGTTTGACTTAAAGTAATTTATTTATTTTTTTCTGTTTTAGGCTTGTATCGACGATAACTTAGACCTGGTTGAGTTCCTAGTAGAAAATGGGGCAGATGTTAATAAGGGCGATAATGAAGGTTGGACGCCCCTTCATGCGACAGCTTCCTGCGGATTTCTTAGTATAGCAAAGTCAGTATATTTTTAATATATTTGAACAAGAAAATAATCCTAATTTAAGTACAATACCTTTTAAATTTATCATGGAAAAGTAATTAAAATTATAATAATAAAATTAAAGGGTTGGAAAATAGTGGGTTCAAAAATTATTTACTGTGTGTTGTTAAGTACTTGGCAATTTGTTACATATTTCCTTCAAAGTTAGTACCTCTTTGCATTGGAACCTCATTATATATTATAACTTACCTAAACAATAATATATATAAGTTGTAAAATGCCAAAAAGAACATTTTTTCCTATTTTCTTTGTTATTAAACTGACCAACTTTGGGTAAATTGAAGGTACCTGATTGAGAACGGGGCGAATGTTGCTGCAGTCAACAATGACGGCGAACTTCCGATGGATGTCGCCGAATCGGACGCGATGGAAGACATGCTCCAGCAACAAATCGAAGAAAGAGGTGACCTGACATATTCTTTACATTTATTACTATTCAGAAATAGTAATCTATTCTTAGCCCTCGCCTCTTGTCTGTACCTACTCATGCTTCACACACCTTTAAAACTACCTCTCTAATTACAGTACAGAAATAAATTGATATAACATTAACTTAATAGTAAATAAAATGTTAATTAGGTAAAAAAAACTTTGAGAGGTAACAATTGAAGAAAAAACATCTCTTAATTTTAGTCATTAAACTAGATTAGTCTCTTCCTTATTAAGTAGTTGAAGGTTCTAGATAATTATTCAAGCGTTTAACTTGAATGATACATTACTCAACCTATTTAATTCTAGTTTTTGTTTGTTGTCCTAAGTCATGCCCTAGTTGCTGCAGCAATGTTTTTCTTATTACAAATTGCCTACTATTAGGAATTGATGCCGAAAGTGCTAGAACTGAGGAAGAAAGGTTGATGATGACTGATGCCAAAAATTGGCTGAGCAGTGGCTACATCCAAGATAAAACTCACCCAAAAACCGGAGCAACTGCCCTTCATGTCGCAGCCGCTAAGGGTTACTTAAAAGTTATGGAGTAAGTGTAATTTTTCTAACCATTGCGAATATTTATTTATTTTTTATTTTTTTTTTTTTAAGCATTCTCATAAAAGCGGGTGCAGATATAGATGCAAAGGATCTTGACGGTTGGACACCCCTTCACGCCGCTTCACACTGGGGGCAGAGGGAAGCTTGTGAAATCTTAGTAGAAAATTTTTGTGACATGAACATCAAAAATTGTGTTGTACGTGTTAAAAGTCTCATTTCAAAAAAGCCAGTGTGTAACAAAAAAAATCCAATAATTTCAGGGACAAACTCCTTTTGATGTTGCTGATAATGACGTAGTCAAAGTATTAGAGGACCTTAGGAAAAAGCAAGCATCTCTGCCTAAAGAAAATATTATAAATAGGAGGAAAAATATACAAAGAAAGTAAGTTGAAAGCGTTTTTTAAAAATTAAAACATTTTTTACATTGACTTTTTTTTTCAGACCTCCTCAACCACCAGAAGAGAACATTATCACAGGGATAGAAAACAAAAAAGAGACAAAGTTGGTAGAGCCTGTTAAACCTAAAGTTCCTGAAGTCCAGCAGGTTGAACTTAAAATACAGCCTGAACCGACACACAACCAAAGTAACATTGGTCAGTACAAAACTTCATTGATTAATCTTATGCATCAATTTTCTCTCAAATTGGGGTTATGTTTTCATTTAACAATTTTAACTATAATATTTATAGTAAGGATATTCATATAAAAATAAGTGCTATTTAAATTCTAATTGGTTTGATGTGTAAAGATCACACATGAAATTTTTTTTATGAGTATCCCACTTCAAATAAATTATTGATTATGTTTTAAAATCCCCATAACTCCTGTGGTTTTATTTTAACTCAATAACTTATTACGTAGATTAACGTATTTATTTTGCGTTAAAATGATGACTGTTTCATGCAGATACGGATGATGACATTGACTCACTCAGTACTGAAACATCGGATACGGCGAGTTCCGATGTTTCAGGAGAAAGTGAAGTCAGTGATGAGGAAAAAGACTTAGGTGAGAATCAAACTCCATAATGTGCATTGCCTGCACCCTTGCTCAAGCCTGCTTACAGAAAAAAAAATGAAAAGCATCGCTTTTAAATTTTATGGGTTGTAAACATCGACTTTTAAAATTAGCAAACAATATTTGTGAATCATGAATCTCATTTCACTTTGTTTTTGTTTTTAAGTGGGTAATCGTTTTGGGGCCTTGTTTTCCACTTTTGCATGGATAGGATAATAGTATGGGACAAATCAGTCACATTGCATTTCTTTCTAATTAAATTTTAATTAGCTCATTTTATTTCTTTTAATAATCTCTAGGTAAAAGAGGAAAATTTGAAGAATGAACACCGTATTTATTTGCCCTTTATTTTCTCCCTGGTCTTTAAGAGATGAAACAAAGAAACAAAAAAATGTACATTGACCATTGTCAGATGGCTTTCACTCATCTTTCCATATTTGTATTTGTTCTTTTACCGTGTATTTCTTTAAATTAAGGCATGAAAGGCTCAGCAGTCAATATGTTTTGTTCTTTCTAAAAATAATTTTTTTGCATGGGAATCAATAATTTATAGTTTAATTTTTTACATTATGACAGTTTATTAAAAAAAAGTCTATGGTTCAAATTCAATATTTTCTCGATATAATGGATATCAACCGTGGGATAGGGCCAATTTTGAAGAAAATAAAAACACCCAGTTCCTTCATTGAGCTTTCGACAAATATATCCCCTTCATCGGGACTTGGAAACTATTATTTATAATTCACAAGGCGAACAAATATGAGCATCTACTTACAATACAAAAATACTGAATTTGTGGGTTTATAGTGGAATGAGATTGACAGCCCGTCTATTTATATCACAATTACGAAATGGAACATAGACTTTTTTGAAATTGTCATGTAGGAAAATTATATTAAATTAAAATTTTAACAAGCCAATTTTAACAAAACATTTTTGGTGATTTTAAGTTGAAAAAGATTAGATACATAACCAAGCATTGGAGACTGAGTGGTTAGGGTGTCCAACTTGTTTTTGCCATGTTTGCAGTCCTGGGTTTAAATCCTGGCAGTGCCATTTTTTATTTATCCCAAGTGGTCCCTGGACTCTACGTCCTCTACTCAGAGGCCTAGGAGCCTAGAAATTTCATTGTACCTGCATTTCTGAGTTATTATATATCAGTTGGTTTGAGCTTTTATGTAGAATAAGAAACTAATTTGTAAGATTGTTTTCAATGAGATATATAAAAACCAAAAGACTTTCAGTAAAGTAGGCTAAAAAAAATTGTTTCTGGGAACAAAAGGATTTGTTTTAGGCATTCTGAAAAAACATTAAATACGAATTTTCATTGTAATCAAATAATAAATTGGCTGGATTCACCAGGGCCAATTTTTTTTTTCTCGCTGATGTCCGGTGTCCACTTAAAAATGTAAATTTCTCTCGATTTTATCCAAATTCAACATTATTACGATGTTGGGAAGCAGAATATTTTTTCTTTCAAGCTAATGTCTCTATGTTATGACATTACAAGTGAGAAAAATAAGTATAAATTAAAAAAAAAAAACTTTTTTTAAATGTCTATTCTAATTTATGTACAGCGCCATTTTTACCATTGTGTGTAGTCCATAATGTTCTAAACCCTTGTAAAATTTCCTTGGTTCATAGTTGTTTCAAAGTTACCATCATTTTTGTGATTTTTGTAAAAAAAAAAAAAATCATTCAGGTAAAAAATTTGGCAGAAGAAATTATTTTTTATTTTCAAAATGATTTATTTTCAAGGGTATTTGGGGCATACATATCAATGTTGTTTCTTGCTTAAAAAGTATTTTAACTTTTTTTTATCCTTTTCCATGTCATTAATTATGTACATATTTCAGTACCAGTAAACAACATAGTAACATTTGTTTTTTGCACCATTTTCATTTTAAGTATCCTGAAAAAGATGAAATACAAATTTTCATTGCAATTAAATTAAACAAATTAATTAATTAAATATTTTTGTTTGGCAAGATTGGACGATGTCCAGTAATTAAAAATGCATAACTATCGAAGTGGAGATTTTTTTCCCCCCCCGTGGCCGCTTCATCTCGAAAATAAAATAATCGGGCGCTGTTTTTCCACATTTAAAAAAAAAAAAAATAATAATTGATCCTTATCCCCTGTCCATTTTATTCTCATTCCAGGGTGGATCTTCCCTCACACCCACAAATTCTCCGCTCCACGATGATAGAAAAAAAAGTATTTTTTCTCCGGCCCCCTCAAGCCTCATCTGTCCTCAGCCAGCTGTACCTCCTTCGGTTCCCAAAGACCTCCCGTGCGTCTTAGACCTCTTTCCAGCCTCGCTAAACCTTGCCGAGGGCAGTGGACGAGCCACCACCACCACCAAATGGGGGGGGGGTACCCAGGGGTTTCCTAAGCCTTTCTTGTGCATTTAATACAGTTTAAGGCTTTGCGGAACCCCTTGTCAGCGATGTAGATAAAAACCATAGTATTACCTATGAAAAAGTCCACATCCCTTGGGGGTCCAAAAAAATTTTCTTCTCTTATTTTCCACTTGTAACAATGTCTAACATTTTTCAATTTAGTATCACCAAAAAGTTTCATTAAAACCAGTTCCATGATCGAAGTCTCTCAAATGTAATTAAACGTCTTTTGACTCGAGGGCCTCAAGTCTAATCGCATTGTACATAATTTAAATCAAGACCAATTTTTTAACAATCAAAACATTAAAAAATATTTTGAATGCATGAAAATCTTCAAAACCTCCCTGCATGATGTATTTTAAAATATTTGAAATTGCATGGCAATCTGTTTAATTGATATTTACTCCATTGGATATAATATGAATTAAAATTTCTTTGTAAAACTTATGAAACAATTTTTTTTTTAATTTTACTGCATTAAGATTTATTTAACTTCACCTTTCAAATTTTTCTTTGTTTTTTAGAAAAGAAAAATAAAGCGAATAAAGAAGATACACGGTTACCAGTCATGCCTGAGGTCAAACAAACAGTTCCTAATACCCCTGTAAGAAATTTGTGTAAATATAACACCATTAAAAAAGACTTTCTTGATACTAAAAAATTGTTACTTCTTTTAGGCCCCCACTACCCCACCAAAGCAGGTGACAACAAACGAGGGAGACGAAAGTGGCCTCACGTCTTGGAGGAGGTCTGGTTCCCTCAGAAGCAGGATCGCCGAAACGCCTAAGGCTAATCTGACTTTAAGTAAGTACATTTATCACCTAACATTGGCTTATTACCAAACAGAGGATTTATTCAATGAAACGATAAAACTGAAAATAACTATAACAACTTTATTATCGCCATTTTAGAATTACTGAAGCAACTTGAAACTTTTCTGTCCATGCGAACAACTTCAGGCACTCTAATCAACATGGAGTGCTTGAAGATGCCCGATTGGACTCTAATTATATCAAATTTCAGTGAGTACTACACTTTGTGAGGCAAACAATTTCATTTTGCATTGGACACATTTTTTATATAATTTTTTAATAACACTTTTATAATTTCAAAATACACTTTTGCAGTAGAATAAGGTGCTAATCGATAGTAGACTATGGCAAGAATGATAAGCGTAATCTTTATAAGCTTTTTAAATTTAATACAGGGGTGTGATAAAAGTCTTGTGTTTTTTATTTTTCCCTGCCTGAGGATTTATTGAAAGTAAAAATACCTTGGGTATTCCACAATTTCAATCGTATGAACCTATTGTCCCAGTTACTCATTCACTGATATCATTATATCTTAAAGTGAAAAACTTGAAAAATCTTGTAATTCATAATTAAATTTTTGCATGGCAAAAGGTTCAGGCCTGATGAACTCCATTTTGTCAACTGTTATGTTCTGACTTGATGATACAGGGAAAAATAGTTTCTAGTATATTTTCATCTTGCATTTCCCAGAAGTGGTCTAAAATCATCAATGATACTAAAATCATGAACTTTACCTGACTTTTTTTTTCTCCTTAACGCTTTGAATTTGGCCGAATCTGATTAACTCAGTATTGAATTGAATTTAATAAATATTTTGCAAACGTGGAGGGAAAACGCATTGGCTTTTTTTACATCCTAGTATTTAAAATATACAGAACAAATGCAAGACTCTAGACAAAAATACAAATTAGTACAAAATGTATCTATTTCAATGCACCTCAGGTTGTAATAATCCTTAGTGGCTCAGTTATTTTTATTTGTTACTGCTTTCAAAACTGGCAATTGCATGAGCAATCAAAACATGAGGTTCTTCAAGAAAAAAACAATATCCAAAAACTTCATAATTATTGTTTACATTGAACATGAAAATAAGGTACAATTATTTACATACTGAATGTTTTATAATAAATTTTATTTTGATTACTTGTAATATAAGTAAAATAGTAAATATTCCACTTGTGTTTTAAAGGAGATTAACATTAATAACTTTTGGGACTGTTTCAACAAGTCAGAATTATCGAAAATATTTTTAACTACTTGTAAATTATAATTAAATCAACTCTTTTGCCAGACATAGCAAAAGACATTGACATTGATTAGATAATTCACAGTAGATTCACTTGATAATGGATAGCTTCATGAACTATTTCACCAAGTGTTTTAAAGTTCTAAAATACATTCTTTAGGACAGAATTTGGAAGGAAAAAATGTCAAAACATGACATACAGCCAACAATTCTCATTACAGGTCGAATTAAACTTTAAATATTATATTTTTTCTCATTATTACTGCTGAAGGCTGAAATACAAGATTTTTTAGTGAAATTATAAATAGCGAATGAAAAGTTATTCTTTGCTCTAGATAATTTGTGTAGCTACAGGCTTCTGCTATATTATTTAAAAAAATATTTGCTAAATTTGTATAATATAATAATTCAATAAGCAACTTTAAAGAATTAGTTGTGGCTTATGTTGTTATTCCACAGGCAAAACATTCCACCCACATAAAATATTTTGAATACTAACTTTTGACTTTTATCAATTAAATAACTTAACTAAACAATTTGTGGATAATTAAACAAATGATTATTAATATTTTCTGTTTCTTTTGATGGACATCCTCTGTATATCTCAACATACTTTGTACCTGTCTGAAAAGTTGGCCCATTCTTTTTGGAGAATCCTCTCAACATTGAAAAAGATCCAAAGTGTCGTTTTATCCAAATACAGGACAGATTTTATAGAATTTATACAGGTAATTACCAAAAACAGTTAAATTGAGATTGTGGTTAATTCTGTCTGTCCGTGGGGCTGTGAATGATCATTTTGGTCTGTCCGGCCAACCCATTGAGGATAGGCTGACCAAGACGATCGGTAAACGCCAAATTTCAAAAATACAGTTCTCAAAAGAAATCCATTCTAAAGAAAACAAAATTGGCTATAATTAAAGTTATTTCTTCTTTTTCTGCTTTAATGCCTGTCTGAAGTTTTCCGTATGCTCTCTAGCAAACTAAACTTGGATCATAGACAATTATCATGCTGAGTGGAACAAACAAAAAAAAAAAAAAATGGGGAACAATCCAAGTCGGTGGAAGTTTTGCCTGGGTGTATGACACTGAGAATACGAGGGTAATATAATATTGCAAAACTACAAAATTTATTTTCCACCCTATTATATTTACAAAAAATTTTTCTCTATACTGCAGTTACAAGTTTTCAAATTTATACGATTTACCTATTTTTGAAATAATTGGTTTTGATATTGAAGTAGGGGAGCTTGTGCATCAATAAGATAGTACAATTTATATCGTTTAATTAATAATATCAAATTTTATTTAGAAATTGCTGAGAAGGAGAGCCCGGCCAAAGTAACTCAACCAGTTCTTCCTTCCAAGACTGAATCATCTCTTGAAGTCGGGCTTCGGAGGACTCAGAGTTTTGAAGGAGATGAAAAGTATGTTCATTTAAAAATATATTGCATTTTGTTTTGCCTGTATAACTTTTTCCTTAAAAAAGAAAAAATTACCACTGTACAGTTTTCTCTTCAGATTTAATTAAATTAACAGTTATTTTTAAAATAAAATTTAACAACATCAAATGCTCTTTTTTATAAACGAACTTTTATTTTTTTATTATTACAATTTTTTTTTAAATCATGCTATGTAAATATATGATCTTATTTTGTTTTTAAGAAAAGAAAATTCTCAGTTCATTATTTTGCTTTATTATATTTTTTTATTCCATCATATTGTTGCTTTGTGTTTGTGTGCACGTGTTAGTGTGTGTATTGCATGTAAAGGTTCTACCGGAGGTACCTGGAGTTAAGGGCAAAAATAAATGCTGGTAACTCATGTCCTACTCTACACGCAACGCCGATGAGGTCAGCATCGCTGAAGGAAAAACATTTCGCAAGGTAAGCTTGAAAACTGAAGCATTGTAGTGAGGTCTGCAAAGTTTGAGCCTCTAGCTTGTTCATATACGATCATGTCTGCCTTATTGGGATTTTTTCCCCATCAGACTAAATTCAAACACGTCTGATTGGTAAAGCGAACAATAATATACCAAGGATGGACAAAACTTTACGTTTAAAACGGATATGAACACTGATTTCATTGATTGCATTTTTATGTATTCTATTAATTTCAATTTTTTACTTTTTTTTTAAATCGATCAATTGATTTATATCTTTTTACACACGCATAAAGTTCATTCATCATAAATATATTTTTCTTAAAAATAAAATTTTACTTGTTCGATTTCTAATTGAAACACTTCTAATACATTATTGCTGTCGGACATTTTAACAAGAAAACAAGGTTTAACACTCTCTATGTCTTGGCGTCATCAAGGTGATGGTAGGATATTTTAAAGCATGCTCCTTTTCGCTTTGTCATTTTATACACACACCGTCATTACATAGAAACTTTCATTTCATTCTCATTTTAACACTTACAGGAGAAATCAGGCCAGGGAAGAGACGCGATTATCAGGTCTGGCTTCAGCATCGCCAAACACGACAGCAGGGACGACAGTAATCAATACAAGTCCTACAACGACCAGCCCGCAAAACAACCAAGTCCGAAGGTAACTATGAGAAAGAGCAAATGTTTACTTTCAAACCATTCCAGAAGATAAATTTCATGTGTAATCCTATCAAGCATGTTAGAATCTTCAGCACTCTTTTCTCCCTTTTATTATGAGAATCCGTTAAAACAAATTATGATTTAATTTTTTTTTTTTTTTTTGTAATTTAACTAACTGTGGGAAAAGTATTGAAGCGATATTTAAGTTCAGATGGACTGGTTTTCAGTTCGGCCCCTGTAACTCCTTCCACTCCCACTACTCCTGGAGGAAGTAAACTATCTCCTGCGAATATCTTCAAGAACTTCTTCAAGTGCGTAACTGATGTGCACGATGCCTTGGGTTTTTCTTCTTTTTCTCTTTTTATTTATTTTCTGGCATGAACTTTTTATTTCGTTTGAAAAAAAAAAAAAAATCACTGCTTTCTATCATAATATTTTTAATATTCCATTCTTACAATTGCACCTTTTGCTTAAACTAAAAAAATATTTAAAAAATTGTTTGGTTTTGTATTTTGTTTTTTCTTTTATTCTTCCATATTTAACGCTCTAGTTTATTTTTATTACATTTTTTCAAATAAATGTTTAGACTTTAGTAAAAATGATTTCTCAGGGAATTAAGTAATATTACAGAGTGTAGGATTAGGTTTTTTTTTTAAAGTTTTCCATATTAATGTTTAAATTCTAAAATAGATAATGCAATCTATCAAAACAAAATTAAAAAAAAAACTTTTATTATTTTTATCAAGTTATTCTTAATTATAGATAATTCTGTATAGTTCATTGAGTATGTAAAATTAAAAATGTTAATGTTTTTATCACATTTTTATTTTTAATAGCTGTATTAAATTCCATTTTTGTTGATTGTTAGTCTGAAAAGACTTTTTTCTATTAACATTGTTTTTCCCCATTTCAATTAATACAGTACAGTTGCCTTTATGCCTTCTGTGTGAAATTTTAAAACTTTTTTTAAAAATTTGTTAGACTGGCTTTCAGTCTCACTGTGTTACCCTCTCCCCATTGTTTTGCATTTGTTTACTTGCTAAGTGTATTATTTTCCCCCCCTTCCATCTGGAAGCTTGATATCGCATTCTTGCTTCTAGAAAAAGCATTGTGTCGCTTAAAACGGGAGGAAATAATGGCATTATGTCTACAAATCTAATCAGGATTTAATTGCAAAAATTTAAGCACACTTCTTCAATGAACTTGAATCTGTGAGGAGAATGGAGCTCAATACCTCCCCTTGGAGAACGAATAGCCCTGACCATCCTGAATAGTTTAAGACCCAATCACCCCCTCCCCATTCAGATCATTGTGTTAAGAGTATTGTCGAGTCTGATAAATGTTGGGCCTAAGCTCAGCACTTTCTGGACATCATCCTGGATCTCTAGATGGGATATTGTTAAGAAATGATCACCTTTTCTTTGCTGGCTGACTCCTCGACTAACAATCAACAAAAATTGTTTCTGTTAATCAACAATGTATCAGAGAAAAGTTACTGGTATTGATCTGAACATTAGTTCATAATTAATGTTAATTGTTTTTTAAAAGTTCCTTTTATTATCTTCCAGAATATTTTGATTTGTTTTGTACAATAAGTATTTTTGAAGGAGTGCACTTTTTTTTTTGCAAATTCAAGCCAACTAGTAAGGTTGATTTACAGCTAAAGCGTTTGCGCTTTTTTTTATTTTTTATTATTAATTATGTAATTTTAAGCGTTTTGTTTGTTATTTATGCATGGTGTTTATTTTCTGTTGATTTATTTATTTGTTTATTTTAAATCGGATTCTTTTTATAGATCGTTCGTTCCTCCTGTTCGAGATGAAGAGTCCGAGACTCAGAGGAAAGCGCATGCAAAGAGGGTTAGGGAGACTAGGAGGTCAACGCAGGGTGTGACATTAGAAGAAATAAAATCTGCCGAGCAGTTGGTTAAAAAGAAACAGCAGCAACAGATGCAACAGTCCAACCAGCTTAACAACTCGGAGGTAATTAAATAAACAATGTTATTATGTGATGTAATAAACAAAACAAAAAGTAGTCCTTGTATTTCCGTGTAGGTTAAATATTTAATTTTCATAAGTATGCTGCATCTTTACAAAATATTTGCTCAAGTAATGTTTAAAAGAGGGTTTTTTTTTGTTTTTTTTATCTAAAACAAACAGTTTTAAGACGGTTTTTATCTCTAGAACAATAAGTTGCCTCATTCACAAATAAGACATGAGTTGTTCATCTTGTTGGGAACAATTTAGGTAATTTGAATGTAGAGTATTTTTTCCTTAACCTATGTTAACGCCTCGTTTCGAGGTTCAACGTATAATTCTCTCCAAAAAGAAATATTGTCTGCTGTGTTCAGCCAGGTGATGAGGTAGTTGTCAATGTACACAGTACAGTACCCGCAATACCGGATTCCGTAGTAAACGCAACAAAAGGAGAAGAAGATAAGCCCTATTCGCTCGCAGAAAGAAGGCCCTCGTGGAGGCTCAAAGTTGACAATGGGAGCAAGGTGATTTGATAAAAAAAGTTCAAAATTGGTCTGCCGAAACTCTCAATCAGTTTATTAATTATTATATTATTTTGTTACACACTTTTATCATTAAACAATCACTTTAAATATGTGCTTCTTTTATCAATATAACATCTTTTTATGTATTTATACTTAACACTGCAAGATTTTATTGAAAAAATTGAGAGTTTTTAGTCTTTCCAATAGTACAATGACAGACAATGGCTCACTTTTATTTGCTTCTGTTTGCATCTTTTATTGTTGATCACCTTTCATTTGTTTATTCAGCACTTTTGTGACAGTTTTATTAAAACACTCAACAAATTCGCACAAAAAGAGTTCAGGTTTTTGTCTCTGTTTTGATTACAATTAATTGCACTATAATTGTATTTTTTTTTATTTGTAGAAGGTAAATGTGACAATGTGATATGTAAATGACCAAAGCTCGCCTAAACCTGTTTGATAATTGAATGAATCATCTGTACAGTCAGTTTGTTAGTCATTCCTGATTGTATTTGATGACCCTCAGTTCAGTTTGTTTTTTGTTGTATGCATGTTATTTATGTCTTATCTTCTTTATATTAATAGGCATCTTTTGTTAAGTACTAAGAAGAAATGAATTTTTACTCTAATTCTGTTAAGTGTTGGTAAATCATTTTTCTGTTTTTTGTGTGTGTGTTTGATATGCTTCTAAATATTTATCTGTTTTTGTTAAAGTACACAAAAATGGTAAGGGAATGATGCACTTGCATGTTTATTTTATTTATTTCTTTTCGCTATTTGTTTTTTATCTATAGCACATGTTCTTAAACCACACTTTTGCACATAAGCTTCATTTATTTATTTTAAAGATTGTATATAATAAAAATATTGCAATTTTTAGTTTATGCTGGAAGACGCGCGTAAAAATGAAAATTTGGGAGACGTGGTCGTGAGAAAGACCGCCGTCGTCACGCCTGTCACAGAAACAGGAGACACGACCGTTACATTACCCCTTAGGAAGAAAACCGACGATAAAGGTAAAATTTCAGCCTTTCAGCCTTAAATCGCAATGATACATCGGAAAATAAATCTTTTACAGAGTCTCAAGAAAATGACAGCCGTACTGCTCAAGCTACTCAAGCTGCGATCCAGAGGCGGAGGAGACCTAAAAGGAGATCGACAGGAGTCGTTCATGTCGACATGGATGTAAGCCTTGAAATTGATCTTTTCATTTGTCCTTTTATTACAGATTTTTTTTTTTTTTTTATAGGAAATTGATCCTGACCGACAAGGCGAAGGTGGAACTGGAGGGGGCGGTGATACCGATGATAGTCTAAGTCTTAATAATTCAGAGGTAAATCTTTTACAAAATTTTCTTATTTGCTGTTCCAAGACTTCACTCGAAACCATTCTATATCAATAATTATGTGATTTGATCACGGGCAAAGGAAAACTGCGAAACAAAGAACCAATTGGTCACTGTTATAATATTTTAAAATAACTATATATAAAAAAAATCATGGATAAGACGAATTTGAAAGAAAAAACAGTTTTTTCATCAAGCTTTTGATACCAAAAAGTAAATTTTAATATTAATTTGTAGTCAGGAAAAAAAACATTTTCTTTAATTATTGAGTCCCACTAATCTGAATGTCTCCTTAATCCAAACAATTTCAGTTGGCGAAGAATAAATTTGTTTATCGGCCAACACTGGTACTCAATATGAGGGATTAAGGGGCGAAGAGGTCTTGAGGCTGGAAGGACGCAGTTAGAAATGGTGGTAATGTGTAGGTAATGCTTAGGTTAGAACGGATGGAAAGCGTGGTATGGGATTTTGGAAGTGTGGTCGAATCAGTATAGTGGCAAAAAGAATCATTGCGAGTAGTGAGATTTACATAGTAAAAAGTTTAGATTTATGTGAGCACTTCTTACTGGAAGGATTGAATGTGCTGGATATTAAATGACCTGTTGGAATCTTCCACTCTGCCTTTTCTGGTGGTCTCTGTAAAATCTTGTACAAGTTTTTCATCTCAACCATTACCTTAGATAAAAAGTATAACTAATTAAAATAATATGGTCAATTATTTTCTACTAAATTCATATGTGAGTCTTGTATAAAGTTAGTTTGGCAGTCAAGAGAGATTTCGGTCCTAAAAGGTCTTCCTCCTCCGTCCTAAGTATTTGACTTGAGTGGAAGTTAGTAGCTCCTTGTTTGTTGATGTAAATGTTCTTAGTCTTGCCCTCCACGTTTTTCACCAATCTTTGATAAATTTAAATTGTTATTGATTTATTGTTCCTGGATGTTGGAGGTTGCTTGGTTAGGATTCAGGTTAGAAGGCAGAGATGATGTTGATGGGTTGTGCAGGAAAGTCAGCAGTATAAATGGTATACATAGTGGGACCAAGAATGCTCCCTCGTGGGACATTGGCTTATATTGATCTGATCCGAGTATTTGTTGCTATACCTCTCCCTGAAATCTAAATTTTTTAAACCATTTTCCAGTTAAATTTAATGATCGGTTAACAATTTTGGCCCTCTTTCACCCTTAAATAGTGAAATTGCCTCTGACCATAGGCAGATTTATAGACCAGATTTTTTTTTTATCCCATCAGACAACTGAAGATCGAGATGGCCTGAGGGTTAATACTCGCATATAATTGGAAATCAACAATTTCTGTAAAATCCCATCACGACACACGATACATGTCATTTGTAAAACCAAATCATTACATAATTTATATAAAGCTACAGATATATTAATAAAATAAAATATATTAAATAAATAAAAAATTCAAAAAAACATATAAAAAGTTAAAAAACAAAACAAAAGATGCTTTCAGTAAAGTAGGGCTAAAAACATGTTTGTTTAAAATAATTGTGCCTTCGTTATGCATGCATTGTAAGGGTTTTTGTATAAATCGATTTGTGTTGTTTTTCTCCAAGGAGAAGAAAATAACACAGGATTGTATTAAATGTGATTTCAAATATAAAAAGTTACTTAAATGAAAATGGCTAAGAATAAAGTGGGGGGAAAACAATTTTTTTTTAAAATTTTTCTCTTTAAATGAGGGTTCGCAATAGCAGAGGTTATATGGTTATATATGAAAAAAGTATGTTGAATCCAGCGGCTCTGCATTCAAACCAGGGACCTTTACCTTACTGTGATGAGCACTGTGTCAACGCCTAAACCGTTGCGGCCACTAACGCCCCTTTTGGTTGGGTTTGTCAGATGTGTTGTGTTTTCTCGCCATCTTCAGTAGAAGGTTTTAACTAAGATAATTTTTTTTTAAGTGAGAGTACGAAATGCATTTGATGAACCAAAATGACCGTAACGACCAAACAGCACTTTCATTCTTGTGAGCTTTGCCCGTGTGATCTGTAGGGTGATAAAGCGCTAAATTTTGTTGTTACCGATTACTTCAGAACAGAAAGCCAAGAACACAATCTGAAAACTACTACAATGAAACATTGACAAAAATGGCATATACACAATAATATGCGAATGCATTGGCAAATACTTCGGACAGACATAACGAAAAATATAAGACAGATGCAAAAAAACATATAAAAATGTTATAAGACAACAAAGACAATTACGCGACTCACCTCATTGAAAAACCACCGGACCCCAGCAATACAGGCAAGCAAGAAACTTTTAATGACAACAAAAATGAGGAAAAATAAACATTTATTTGGAAAATTCACGAACATAACACATTTACCACTTTGTAAACAAGCAAATTAACAAAAGTTGTAGCACTTATTAAGAATAAGGATTAACCATCACAAAGACCAAACAACAATTTTTAAAAAACCTAAACTTAATACACCCAAGAACTGACAAAGGTAAAACTGATTTGACATCAGACACTCGGATGGCAAAATGCTGAAAGTCATCTGATAAACCAATCCAGCAATTTCACCCTCATCAGTATATCCATTATTCCTCATCGCAGTTTTTGGATAACAGGTCTCGTCCTATTTCATTTGTCAGACTAGCAGGACACAGTATTACCAGTTTTGTTGTATAAAAAATTAATCCAATTAATATGGTCAATTATGACCACAAAACAAATATGAATTAATAAAATATGAACTTCTAATTGTTATTTGGTTTTTTATTTACAATTGTACAATATAAAGCAACCAGTAGCACATCAGTTTAAGTCTTTAGTATTTAGTATCCCAATTTATGGATGGCTAATGTCCCTAAAGTTTGAGGAAATTAGTTTCATTATGATACATGAGGCTAAATCCTATTTGAGCAAGTACTGCAAACTAGGCTTATTTCTCATCTGTGACAACTGATGAGTATTTCACCTCAAATATGAAAGGATTTTTAATATTTTTTTAACATTCTTTATCAAATAAAGTAATTCCTTTCATTCAGGAAGACATAACATCAAATTACCGGGTGTGTGACAAAAGGACAATTTTATAACAGGTCTAACAACAGGGTCACTTACAGTTTGTTTCCACTCATGGGTTTTTGACTTATTCAAATGCTTTTCGGCATTGCGCCATCTTCAGTGAGGAACTGTTAGCTAAGAAACGTTTTTGAATAACTCAAAATCCTGCGGGTAAAGACAGACTTAAGTGACCCTGTGCCAGTTCAACATGTGTTCACAGACCAAAGCCCATCATCATTATTATAAATGACAAGATGTATAAAATAGATTTGAATCCAGAAGTGTGGCAAATATGAAGACACCCTAACCACTCATTGATCCCCCGAAGATGCATTTAAAATGACTGAATTTACATTTTAACTCTATTAGGTCATATTAATTAGTGTGACTGTGTTTCTTGGCAATCATCAAACATTTTATTGGCATTAGACAACTCATTAGTTATTCCTAATTCATTGTTTAGGTCAGACTATTTGTCTCCTCTGTCCCAATTCTTCTTAAAGGCCTTTAAAACCTCATTTGTACACTTTCAAACAGTAATCAAGGTCAATATGTAAAATAATATACTTTTAGTTTTAAAAATTTAATCATTTATTAATAGTATATTTTCTCTTTATGTAAGCTTAATTTTTGAATGTTTTAAAACAATTTCCTGTAACATGGAGGAACAACTGGGCGAATGATTTTTGTGAAATAGCTCTCCTTTGTAAAGCTGCCAAAAACTGATAACATCATAGTTATTATTAAAAAGCCATCAGCACAAATCAGGCCGATTTGTTTGGAAATATTTCCTCCTTTCAGTCAGATTCGGTAATATCGGTAAATTAATACCAATCAATTGTATAACTATTATTTTTCTAATATGTCATTTAAAGTTTATTGGCCCTTGTTTAACACTTCAGGCTAACTACAGTTATTGTTGGATCCCAGGGTGTGTTAGCCAATTCTAGATAAACAACAGCCAACGTGGGCCGATTTCAAATAGCATTTCTTTTTAAAAGTATATTTAACCTAACTCCTTTGTCCCTACGCTGTCTGCAATTTACTCTTGATTTTGAAAGCATTTCCTTATTTAAAATAAAACTGAGTAAAAAATAAAAGTAATTCTTATCATACGGGGAGGGCGTAATGAGCAAATACTCATTGACTCTCGAGGACAAGGTCCAAATACTTTACACTACCGTTTATGTATTATTATAAATTAAAATTCATTGGTTTCTACCATTTTTCAAACTGTGAGCCCCTAGCATGGTAAATACTAGTCAGACCTAACCACTAAACCACTGCGGTCCTAAAAAAATTTCCTATAAATACAAATGTTATAAAGGTAACTTTACATGTTATATCATTTTAATCAAGAAATTATAGTTTTTTTTAAATTCTAATAAGCAAATTTGATTTAATTAAACTAAATTATTATTATTTCATAAAAATAATAGGTTTATATATATTAATCTCAAAACAGTCGAACTAAACATCAGCCAACTGTTTTCCCTAAGTAGGAAATGTTAACAAATGTTCATCAAACTAAATTTAGAAGCATTCTTAAAATAAAATGGAATTCTTAATTGGAAGAATGGAAATATAGACAAGATGAGTTCTGTTAAAACAGTATATTAATCAATTTTAACATTTTTTTATATTTTAAACAAAATTTTCTGACAAGTAAAATTTTCATTTGATTATCCAAAGGAGAAGAGAATTAAAATTATCACGTTATTTTCAATTATGTTGCAATATTGGTACATAAATAGTTCACGAAACAAACAAGGCATATATAACGTTTTGGTAAGCCAGTATTTGGCTGAGTTTTAAATTCGACTGTTGGGAAGGATGTTATTCTGGGGAATTATACAATGCTAAACTTAGGATCCCTCCCCCGCTCCCTTATTGGTCGACCATAAAGTTTTCGCCCGTGTATTTTTGTGCAGAGTAATTAAACCCACTCCTTTGAAAGGGGGAACATGAAATTATTTTCGGTTTTAATAGGTTTTATTAATGAGACAACAAAGTGGGGCCGTTACGGTATTTTTTTTTTTTTTTTTTCAATCTGTGGACTTAATCCAAGAATAATTTGCAAAAGAACTCCCTCCCTTGGTTGTAAGGTGTCGGCCTTGAAGTTATTTCCTTGCCTTGTAAACACTGTCAATGAGATCGAAAGTTCATCGATTGGAAACGGTTTTTGAAATTTAATTAAGTTTGAGATTTTTTGCAAAAATAATTGAAACCGAAAATAATTTTTATTTTTGTGCAATTTTACCAGTCAAAGTAATCATCCTACCCAAGACGATAACTGAACATAAAAGAATAAATTAATGACCAAAGGTAGGCGCCAATCCACCAAATAAAAACAATTTTCTTCAAAATGACCAGTTTCACAAGCAATATATTTCTTACATCTTCAGGTTTCTACAATGACAAATTGCTTGCAAAACAGGTCATTTTGAAAAAAAAAATTTTTATTTGGTAGTTTGACACCTGTGATCACTATTTTCTCAAATCCACATCATCTTTCTACTTCATACGAATAAATTAAAGCTAATTTTATCATTATCAACCCTCTTCAAATATGATGATAGAAAGGGGGGAAAAAGAGAATTTGGCAAAAGGACTGCAAAAATGATTATTTGAAGAATAAGTTATACATAGCTATCTGGTCATACAAAAGAGCTAATCATACAAGGTGTTGCCTATAAGGGGTCAAATCACTTTAAAATTTAGTATTATGTATAATTTCCGGGACTGACTTGTCAGAGTACACACTAAAGGATTGAAAATTTCGACAGTGCATTCCTATATTGTGTATAGTGCTAAGAAAAGATTTTTTGAAATTCCATCCCTAAGGGGATTATATGTACAATTTTTTACCATGCAGAGACTGAAGTGAATTGAAAGAAAAATTTGAGAACAAAAGCCATACTAGCACTTTTGTATCACATTAAAACAGAATAGGCATGGACAAAGTCGCTGGTAAAAGCTAGCTATAAATACATTTTAGATTTTGAAAGAAGTTGAAAGGCGTTGGCTTTACGAGCTTGCACATTCCAACCGATATTGGTCTTATCATGCAATCTCCAGTAGTATTATCTTTAGCTCTTCGTTAAGCTTAAGTCTTTTTATTAGATTTATTATTATTATTAGTTTAACAAGGGCTCCCTTGAGTCTTCAGGCCTTTGCTTTTTCAGGACCTTAGGCCGTTACCCCATCAAAGAGTATGTTCTGCTGTTTTTGCTTTTTTTGCAATATCTGCACATGCTTTCTGCAGTATATACAATGCCTCTGGAGTCCGCACTAGGTTTAGCAGTTCGATTGTTAATTTCTGTGATGGTCCTTTAATGAACTTTTTCACATGTCATTCTGCCCTACTAAGAAAAAATGCTATATCTCCGAATTTTCTGACTTTTTTTAAACCATTATATTCTTAGTCTGTTTCCTATTGAAAAACAATAAAATCGAAGTAAATTGGTCCAGAATTATTAAAAATATCATTTTAAAATATCAACGTATTGTATATAGGTTAAAACGTTTGGGAGAAAATACCAGTAAAAAAATTAATTAACAAAAATAAAAAGTGCTTGTGTTACTAGATAAAATTAATGCATGTGCCCCTTAAGTTATTTTCCACTTGTTTTACGCCATAAAAACTCATTTCCTGCATAAAACGTATCAAGAGATGGATTGTATTGAACGAAGGAAATGGAAATTCAGTGCTATTAATTTAAATGTGTGATTCATTATGCATTAAGTTACTATTGCATTGTAAAAGAAATTATAATTAATATTACAAATATTTGCTAGTTAAATTTAATGCAACAACATTTTTTTTTTATTTTTAAGAAAAAACATTAAATAAGAGTGAATCAATAAATAAGTTATAAATTTTAATTAAAAAAAGCTTTTGGGATTATAAAAATAGTCCTAGGCCAAAAACTTTTAAAAAAGATTTGAAAGCTTAACTAAAGGTCTTTTAGCATGGAAAACTTCAAAGCTCAATTTCCAAAAGCTATAAAAACAGTAGAAACGGCAGTTCTTAGCAGGGCAGCATTGCCCTGGAATCCCATTGAACCGACGACTTATTCTTAACCCATGAGAGATTTTCAGATATTGATTTCATGGCATAATCATGTAAGTAGCCAAAGATTGACTGAGTGGTTTACAGGCAGAAAAACCTAAACAAAAACAAGGTAAAGATGAAGAGATGAATAATAAAAGAAGAAAATGTTCTAGTTGTTCAGGAAAAAAAATACCTTACTCAGACCAATGAACGAATTGTTTTTAAAAGTGCGTTAGCCTTATCTGAATATGGTATATGATGTTACACCTTGATTCATGTCAAGGTTTAAGAACCCCAATTCTATTTATATTTGCAAAAGAGGTCTGCCAAAGATTTGTCAAGATTGCGCACTTTTTTCACCTCGTTTTACACCTTCACTCAGGGTTAAAATTCTCATTCATCCTCTAGACGAAATAAAGCGGGATAATTAATCGCATTATTTCATTGAAAAATAAGGAAGACGTGTGCGAGTTCATTTTCAAATCATTTTACAAACAACTGAAGCGTTTACAACAGAGAGAGAAAAAAAATGTTTCTTCTTCGTAATTAAGGCTATTTTGGTTTCTTGGCAGGTTGGTTGCAGTCGTCAAAGATACAAAAAGCTCGAGACACCTCATGACTTGGTTCATTCCCAAAAAGTCTGAACTGCTATTTTCCAATTACGTCAGTAGTTTGATCCTTGGAATATTTAATTATAATTATAAGATAATTTTTATATTATAATTACTCTCTTAAAGGCATCGCAATAAAAAAATTAATCACTATATCATATAGAACCAGTTAAACTAAAATGACATTTAAAATCTCCTTTATGTAAATTATATAAATAACAAAGCAGAGCAAAATAAAAAACGACCAAGATTTACATCATAATATTGGAGATGGAAGGGTTTTTGGTGGGAGGCAGGTTGGATCTATTTTAGTGCTAGTAGGAGAGTCTTTATAATTGTGAGATAGTGTTCAGTTGTTTGTGTTCAACCATGTCCTACCAACCGAATTATCGGAGGACAGCGTCTCGCCCTTCAAGTCTGTACTCTTCCTCTTCAATCCTTGGAGGTGGACGACCAAAGTTTTGCTTTTCTCTTGGCAGGTCGACTCTTTAAAATTTGTGCTCTAGTTTCTGGAATAGAACAAAATGTCTTTATGTACACAAAATGGTTACGTCTTGTATTTATTGTACTTTTTTCATGAAAGACCTGAAAAGACAAGAGCAAAAAATAAAGTATGTTTGTTTAAATAATTGGTTTTTAAAACAATTATTATTGTAGGTTACAATGGAACTTTATCGCAATCTTCCCCTTATCTCGGGAGTCCTTCTTCTAGTCCTTCTTATACTAGTTATGGAGGTACTTCTTCGGGATATGGTGGACTTCTACTACCAAGTAGTTCTACCACTTCAATGCACAATCTATCTTCTTCCCCGTCTCTTTATTCGTCTCTTCTATCAAGTAGTTTAGGGCCGTCTTCTCGATCCAGCTCTCCGGGCTACACTTCGTATTCTCCGACTTTGAGAAGCCCTTCCACCTCAAGATACCCTAGTAGGACGAGTAGTTTCAATAGGCATTTGTCTAGGTCAAGACCATCGGATACATTTCTGACGGGAAGCAGCAAAAGTCTTGCCTCCGAAGGTTATGAAGTACGAGTGGTTTCGTAACATCCTGAAGTCTTCTAATTACGTTAATAATCTTACTCGTCTGTTTTAGAGTGGAGGCGAACAGTCAGAGGCTTCTTCTCGTCTGAATTCACTCTCAAGAGAGGAAGAAAATAAAAGTGAAGCTACTGAAAATGGTGAAATTGATTATAAGAAAGTACGTGCTTCTTTCATACCCCGCTTTTTTAATAAAAAAATGATAATTAATTTTTATTTTTATTTTCCATACAGTTGTATGAGCAGTCTCTTATTGTAAATGATCGCCTTCGGGAAAAACTAAGAACAACTGAAGAAGAATTGAACGGAATGAAAGCCGAAGCAGAAAAGAATGCTGCTATGGTATGACGAAAACATTAATTTACAAAATCTAATAAATATTAATTCATTAAACGTACTGTTACAGATCAGAAATTCTTTGTCAGAATCGGAGAAACGGGAAAGAAGAGCTATGGAGAGAAAACTTTCCGAAATGGAAGAAGAACTCAAGGTAAATGACTCTAATGTTATAATTTAGCGATATTTTTAATTTCAGGGGTGCACTCAAATTAAAAGGAATTTTTTTTATTAATTGGTATTCAATTTTACAGCAATTACAAAAACTGAAATCTGATAATGAAAGGCTGCGTGCTGAGAATCGAGCCTTGACTCGAGTAGTATCAAAACTCACTGCCTCTCACACAAAATAGGTAATCTCAGCGTGTGAACAGAGTGGTTTTAGGTTTTTGTTTTGTTGTTTTCTTTGGCTTGTTTATTAATTAATTTTTTAATTTTTTTTTCATAATATGCACGCTGAGTTTCAAAAGTTTGTTTAAGTGGGGGACAAATTTTAACTATCTATGAAAGGGTTGTTTAAGAGAACACTTCTTGCACTTTAGGCATGTTTTATTTTATTTATTGGAAAGAAAATTAGTACATTTTATTTATTTTCGTTTTTAAATATTACACTCACTGGTGACAAATTCTGCTTACTTGGAACATATCTTATTTTGTATATTATCTTGGTTTTTATTTGATTGTTGGTTGATTTTGTTTATAATTAGTGAATGAAAGAGAGAGAGAGAAAAGGAAAATTTCAAAACTTGAAAATTTGAAAAAATTGGTTATTATAAACTTTGATGACATGAAGTATTTCTTCCTCTTGCCTTGACTTCTCAAGATGGAGTTGTAAGATTCTTTACCTCTCCCAAGCCATTTTATAGGATTATAATATTATTATGATGTTTTATTTCTGAGATGATAAACTTCAAATAATCACACTGTCGGGTACTAAATTTGTAGTGTTTTTTCCATTTAATTTTGTAATTCCGTACTCCCAGAACTTTTCAGGTTTTTGAGCAATGAACTCCTTTCTGCAATCTATAAGCATAGCAAAGTTTTTCATATAAATGTAGATTTTTGTAAAGCCTAAAATATGTGAAAATCTATCGGGTAATGTCGGGTGAGTACGGTTGGTGGGGTAGCGCATCCCAGTAAGCTCCGATAATTTCCCGTCTGCATAGACATGTGGGATACATCGTTACCCTGGTGGGAAATAATTCTCCCAACGGCCATTTTTGGTCTATTACTTAATTTTAATTTCTCCGATTGTTTGCAATATTCACTAGAATTAACCAGTTATGTTAGGCAGATAAGCACCCCCTTCAAATCCCACCAAATGCAAAATATTCTTAAGACGCAATCCAGCTTATGATTTGTGAAAAGCGGTTCGTTGCAATTTCCACAGAATTTTCCTCTATGAACACCTTTGTAAAACACTCACTTTTTATCCCGTTATCAATCTTTTTAAAATTTGGTTGTTTATCTTACGTTTTAGAAGGGAATCGCAGGTAGAGATTCTCAATCAATTTGTAAGGAACCCTACATTGCTCCGACAAATGTATCCAGCTGCTCTCAGAGATATTTTAAGTGTCATAGATTGTGGATTATTTGTGATGAAAGCTAAAATTTGGTCATCATCGACAGTTGAAGAACAACCAGTCATCACCATACCATCACAAATTTTAGCAGTCTGAGCTGTGATTTTTCTCACACACCCACACAAAACACCCTGCAAAAATACGAGATCTCGAACAAAACTAGTGAATAAACATTTCTTAGCTTATTCCATTTCAGATCTTTTTTATGTAACAATAAAAACAGACTTGAAAGATCTTGGTTAAATAATCAATCATCCAAATATACAACAGGATTATTATTAAGGCTTGTTTACAAAGTTCACTAATTTGTTATTTGCATAATTATACTGACGTTAATCCAAATATCAAAAAGTCACATTAGTATAGAAGAACCAAAACCTTGGAAGCAAAAAAGCAAGAAAAAATTAAACTAAACCTAGGTTTAATTTCCTCTTTTCTATCTTACTTTACTGGTGGGTATTTCAAATATATATTACATATAGGAGAATAAGAAAAATATAAAAAGAAAGAAAATGATCCCTCTCGTGCTGGCATTTTTGAAAAAAAAAAGTCCATTTGTAACTATGTTCGGTTTGAATGCCGCGCTCGATTCAAATTCAGGACGTTTATCTGGTTATCTGCGACAATGCCTAAACAACCATGGCCACTGACCCCCCCCCCTAAATTACCGTCATACCTATCTGGGTGATTTTTAGAACAAATAAGAATGCAGAATTATCAAAAAGTACTGCGTACCGTCAATTTCCAACTTACATGTCCAAAAAAAGAAGTTTAAAAAAATCCTCAATGCATGTAATTCTCTGAACAGGAAAAAGCCTGAATTTTTAAATGTCCTGCAGTTTGTTTACCTCATATTCTTGGGCATGCAAAGGCCTTTTTTACCTTAAAAGTATTTTTTTAAATGTCTCATGAAGTATCCCAATTTGACGGTTTAATATGTTATAAAAATTATTGACTTAAGATCCCAAAAAATTGAATTGAACACTCAGCCGAAACATTTTTTACATTTTTAATTTGGTCTTCCTTTCCTTGCTGGGCCTGTATTTCTGTATAGTCAATTTTTTAAACACTACAGAATTGCAGACATGCTGAAACTGGCAACGTTCTGAAACAATTCTGACAAACCAACCCGGCAAGGATGGGCAGATCAAAACGATCAGGAACAACCAAATTTCAAGTTCATCATGAAAAAATCCCACAATTTAACTTCTTTTTTTTTTTTTTTTTAGCTCATATTGCAAAAAAAATTTACATCAGGAACACACCGATGAATAAGAAAAATTGCTTTCCCTGGTTGTAATGACTGCTTCCTTCCTTTTTTTTTTCATATTTGTAAAACATTTTTGTATGCTGTTCCATTTCTCCAATAGCCAAATCATTTTAAAGATGATGACCCCGTGACAGAACCTTTCTTATGAGATGGTCCCAAACATGTTCGATTAATTTTAAGATACAGAGTTCTTGCTTGCCTTTCAAGGGCTTGGCTCTGTGGTGTTCAAGTACTCAGAAAAGCCTCTTAATTGGCTGTGGATTATCATAAGCAACAATTTAGAGCCTAAGGTATAAAAAGGCACTATTTGATCTTGTAGGATCATCTCCACATATTTTAAGGCCGCTTGGATTGGTACCAACTCGGTACTTGCCATCCCAGAATACCCAGTCCATTCGCAAGGTCTTCTCAGGATGTTTGTTCTATTCCTCTATAGGCCATTGGTGTTTGCAAGTCTTAGTTTTTCTATGGTGTTTTCTTGTGGGAAGGAGGCCTCTTGATCTTTGACCCTTTCAGTCTTTTAACAGTTGACCACGAGTTTTATATTCCAGCAATCAAGTTTTTCATGCCAGAAGCTTTTGTGCTTACGGATCTCCCTCCATTTTTAATCCTTAAAACTGACGAACAATGAATGTCAGGTGATAAGGATGAACAATGATTTCCGTTCTTCATGGAGGGCCAGAGGCTGAGTCATTGCACTTAAATGACTCACTACACAAACAAAATTAACAGAGTAAAGAAAATAAAGAGATAAATTGTGACTCAGGGCTAACAAAAGGTAAAAACTAATGAAAAAGAGCACTGAAAAGAATCAAGAAAAACTTGAAACCTTTGTCTTGTGGTAAACAGCAATCAATTCCCGTCTCTTATGGAACAAATAATATTACTATGTCTTTCCAACTTCAGGGTCTCTGGCGGCCATGTAGATGTAGATATAATTGCAGGGTATAGTGTATTGCGCCTTTTATGAGCTATTGTATCCCCCGTTCTCTGCCTAAAGCACATCGGTGTCCTATTTCATCAAGAAACTTGATTAATAGGCCCGGTTTTAGTGGTTGAAGCTCTTCTACAGTCACATTATACATCCCAAAACATTTCCTCCTGCGGGCTAATGTAGCTCCACAGTTTGTTAGTAAATGTGTTGGTGTCTCTTCTGCCTCCTTGCAGAATCTACATGTGCCATCTTGGATTGTTCCAGTTTTCTTTAGGTGTCCATTTAATCTACAGTGTCCTGTTAGAATTCGCAGTCTGTTCCTGCTTCCTTTGACGCATTCTGTGATTTCTTTCTTGCCAAAATTGGTTAGAGATTCTTGGATTGTCTATGTCCAATGAGTGAATTCCATTGTTCCTTCATTTTCTTTTTGTCCTTCTGTCTGAGATATTCGTTAATAGTGTGGATTCCTATGCCACAAAAGGGTTCGGGTCCTATCAGCGGTGTGGCAGCCCCTTTCCTTGCAAGGGTGTCCGCTTTCTCATTGCCTTCTACTCCCATGTGGCCTGGAACCCAGTAGAGGCTGACTTTATTCTGCATACCTAATATGTTTAGGTTTTGCAGTTCAGCACCATCCTTGAACTAATGGTACTGGCTATCTAATGGCATGATAGCTATATTCTTGTTTTTATACCCTTTGCTTAGATTGAATTGGGTACATCTTTCAATTGCATGAATCTCAGCTTGGAAGATACTGGTGAATTTTCCCATGGGTTCTGAGCATTTGTTTCCAGGTCCAAATAATCCTGCCCCTGTACCTTCTTGTGTTCTAGATCCATCTGTGTACCAGAGGATGGCACCATTTTTAAAGGAGTTATTTCCCTCTCTTTCCCATTCTTTTTTGGTACCCAGGTTTATTTGGAATTTTTGGTTAAATTCAAACCTCCTGTTCATGTCGTCTCTTGGAGTCATGAGTGACGGATGGTCTTTCCATAGTTTGTTGCTATCTCTCCATTTCAGTTTTATTCCTGTTGGAGGTTTCTCTTTGATAAGGTTGATGATGGTTTTCTGCGCTGTCCTTTCTACCTTGTGATATAGCGGGATTAAACCTAGTATTTTTTCCATGCTAATTGTAGGACATGTTCTCATTGCTCCCATTATGCAGATGCATGCAATGCATTGTGAGTTTTTTCCTTTTGGTTATTTGTTCTGCTTTATCAGCCCAGACTATAGCTCTGTATGTAAAGTAAAGGTCTTACTATCATGGTGTACATCCATAACAGGGTTTCCGGTCTACATCCCCAGTTTCTTCCTGCTATTCTTCTGCACACCATCAAAGCTCGTGTCGCCTTCATGATGGTTGAGCTGATGTGTTTCTTAAATGTTAGTGTTTTATCTAGTTTGATGCCCAGATATTTGACTTATGGAACAAATAATATTACTATGTCTTTTCCAACTTCAAGGTCTCTGGCGGCCATAGTCTCTTTATTGACTGTGGGCTAAAAGATCAATTGTGGAATTGACTCTCCTTTATTAACAAACTGAAAAAGTATACTTTTCACTTATTTCTCTATGTATTAACATCGTCTTTCTAATGAGGCTGTACTGTTCTGATGGCTCTGCTTTTTGATGGAAATCAGCAGGTTTCTATCTTTTTTTCTCAATTTTATTTTAGGCATTGAATGGGCCATGGCCACTGGCGTATAATTTTCCTTAATTCTTACCTAGAGGGAGGTCAGTTTTTGTTTTTCTGGTTGAGATGTCGAGAGACTTCTTTTATTATTTTGCACCTGATGAATGTGATGATTTGGGACCAATTTGTGGGTCTAGTCCAAAACGTGCCTGTTCGTTGCCTTCAATCCCCTTGTGTCCTGGCACCCTATCAGGGTTACCTGAGGAGGTGGATTAGTCTACAGCTTTCAACACTGTTTGGTAACCCAAGAATAAGTATATCTGGTCTTTTTTTATCCTTTTTTAATTATTTTTGTCCAGTTTTTGGAGCTCAGCTTGAACAATTTATGGTGTGAAGCCTAATGGTTTCTCTAGGTCAAAATTTAACTCCTGACCCACTCGATGTTCTATTTTAGATCCATCTGTATACAAAATGTGTGGTGATTAGTGACCGTTAATCGATAATTATTCAGAAATCGTGAGATGCGGTCTGGTGTGATGTAGGTTTCAGATAAACATTTTCTTTATCGTGCCAACGTTTCGATCTTCATTGAGATCATCTTCAGGGCCTGGGATTTACAAACATTGTATAAATTAACAAATACATGTATTATGTGGAAAAAAGTGAATTTATACAATGCAAAATATATTTTTTATATTCGATCAAAGTATTTCTACTCACTCCAAGTGTTTTTCTTCTGTGCAATTGTGCTATTCTTGCGTGTCGTGTTGAGAGTGTTGTATACAAAATAGGGCCCTTCTAATTAGTTTCAGGGGTTGATTTTTATTTGTAAGGGTTTGCCAAAATTTTCTTTTAATTTTTGTCAGACAGTTTGTAGGTTTTTTTTGTATTTTACGATGGCTCAGGTTTTTATTTGATTTTGTTTTAAAAGTCTGTTTGAACTTTTGTACATCATCCTCCTGGATTTAAGTATGAAAGTGTGGAAATTACAGTGCCATTTCTAATGTTGAAATAGGGCAATTATGCATGCCCCTAAAACGAAAAGACATGCCATTCTTGTGACTTATTTTCTAAGGTGTTTTTGATATTATTTTTGACAAGGAGTTTATTTTTGTTCTGAAGTTTTAATTATATATGAATTTTAAACAATGTAATATAAAATAATAAGTGTTTTTGTGAATCTGTCCAGTTGTGGCATGTTTTTGCCATTTTTTAAATATTTTTATTACGTTTAATTTACTGTACCGATCGTTTTATTTGTTACAGCAACTTGAACAGCTTAAATGCGAAAACCAGCGGCTGAAGGACGAAAATGGAGCATTGATTCGAGTGATAAGTAAACTGTCGAAATGACTACTAATCGGTCATAGTGATCGTCTGACATCAGCGAAGGCTTTTATCATTAAGTTATACAATGTTTTCAAATTGCTGACGTCAATTATCATTTTTCTAATAATGTTGTACAATATTTAATACCAACGAATTTTTAATGTTATCGCAGTGGTAATAATTCATATTCTGTAGTCGGAAGCGTAAACTAACATAAATTAAGGATAGGTCTTTCTATTAGAGGATCGTCTTCTGTACTTATTAGATTTGTACAGTTAATTTTTTTCTTCTTCTTTCAAACCCGATGATATTGTAAAATTACATCAAATATGTATAAAACTATTTATTTTGTTGTTGAAATTTTTAATTGCATTTTAGTGATTTTTTTTTGTCTCAATTAGGCTGTGTCCTTGTTACATTTCAAAATCGTTTGCCTCAACTGAAATTGCAAACACAACCTTTCAGGGCATTTCACTTTTTATGTTCACATCGTGGATTTAATCTATTCAATTATTTAATAATTTTCATTTGTGTGTATTATTTGTCAAAAGCAATATATTTATAAACAACAGGGGGGTTTTTGGGGTTGAAACATCTACTTGACAATTTTTCTTGTAATAATTGATATTTTTACACAATAAATTTCATTCCTATTTGGAAATAAAAATATTTATAAACAAAAATGTATAACTTTTTTTTTAAAGAAAAAAAGCTTAATATAACACAAATCATTGTAAAATATGTAAATAGGTCAAAATTTCAAGAAACTGATATTTGTCATTATATACCAATAAATTTTATTATGAATTATTGCCAACGATTTTATTCGGCGAATGTCTTTCTTTGTCTTCTCTTGTGTCATTCTTCGAGTACACAAAATGTAAATAGAATTCGGTTTTTATTTATTGCTTTTAATTTTACTTGCGGTCACTAAATCATGAAGCAAAGAACAACGTGACTAAAGGGTAAAATTTTGCACTGTTAGTTGTAATTAACACTCATATCTACGATTAAGTCCAAAGTTATCTTTCTTTATAATTTCTGCCTGTATTTTTCCTTGATATACTTTTTTCTAGTCCTTAGGATTTTTTTTACCATTGTTGTCTTTTTAATTATACTAGTTTTTACTCATTACTACAGAAAATTCGCTTTTTCTTTTTTTTTCTGGGCTATAAAAGGTGAAAATGTACACATAGTTCTTTATAAATAAATATAAAAAATGTAAAAAAGTAATAATAATAATAAAACACGGTGCAATATTTTTATCGCTTGTTCCATATTATACAATAATAATTATCATAATTTTTATTTCAGCACTTGTTGAAAATAACACAGGATTTTGTAATATACAAGAAAAAAATTGTTTGCTTTATTAGACAAAATGTAAATTTTAAAATATCCAAAAATCAATCTTGTAATTCTATTTTTTATATTTAATTAGATGATAAAGATAGGAAATACGTGCCTTTTGCTTCACCCTGTTAGATCCTCCATAATTACTTTTATTATTTTTAAGTGATTAAACATATAATGTGGAACTGGACAGATTGTAAGACATATTGAAATTTTTTTATTGGCCATGTGCCTTTAAAAATCATGAAATTCCTTCTCCCCTTTACCTGTACTCATAAAAAAACAAAAACTGATTGTATTGTTGGCTTTATAAATTAATTGAATTAAAAAACAACATATTTTAATTATTCAATTGATATATCCTACAAATGTCCTTCATCATAAAACAATTGTATATCGACAAAAATATGGGTAATGACCCCAATGAGACATATCCTAGAGTACCAAGACAACCAGAGAAAATGAACAGCTAAAAGGAAAAAAAGAAAGAAAAAATTTCAAAGGATCAGACAGCCAAGCTGTCCTAAAAGTATACATGTAAAAAAATTCATACAAAATTTCAAAAACGTAAATTTGGGTAATGTACAAGCAGACAAATTGACTGCAAGACACTGACACTGGCTCTGAGAAAACACCTAGTTACCCCAGTCAACATGAGTCTATATTCAAGATGGCCCAGACCCTATATGGATTGATAGGGATATATGCAGGTCAGAGACAAAACAATTCAATGATGACTGTAGCATAAATGCAATGAGAACAAGTAACAGACACATATCTTCAAATGTGTATCAACTGCTCAACGGAGATCAACTAGGGTACCAAGATGACCTGGGAAAAAGAATTGCAGCAATCACTTCTTAAAAAAAAGATCGAGTATGCATTGAACTAAGGAACTAGGAAAAGTACAATAAGCTAGAAGGCTGCAGTGCTTGGGAATATAAAATCCCTTTTGATCATCGTGAAAAGCAAGAAAATACTGCTTAAGCAATTAGCAGACATCTGGTGGTGAGGAAATCAATATCTATTGCTTATATACAAAATATGAGACCTGCTCAGGATTGTGGAGTTATCGTGATTGCATCCAATCACACCCTAAAACCTTTTGACTCCGTGTAGAATAAAATCTTGTGGTTTATGTGTGGTGATTAGTGACCGTTAATCGATATTTATTTAGAAATCGTGAGATGCGGTCTGGTGTGATGCAGGTTTCAGAAAAACATTTTCTTTATCGTGCCAACGTTTCATCTTCATTGAGATCATCTTCAGGGCCTGGGATTTACAAACATGTATTATGTGGAACAAAGTGAATTTATACAATGCAAAATATATTTTTTATTCTCTTCATTAATTTCGTGGTCCACTTGACCAATTAATACATTACAGTTAATTAAGGTTTTCTGTTGAGATGAAAAAAAGTTAATGGCACGAGCGGGATTCGAACCCACGATCTTCGGCTAGATACGCCGCTGCTCTACCACTTGAGCTATCGTGACCTCGACCCACTCGGACAGGGTCGACAGTGGGGTTGAGATAGGAAGTTGATGTCTGAGTGGGTCGAGGTAACAATAGCTCAAGTGGTAGAGCAGCGGCGTATCTAGCCGAAGATCATGGGTTCGAATCCCGCTTGTACCATTAACTTTTTTTCATCTCAACAAAAAACCTTAATTAATTGTAATATATTTTTTATATTCGATCGAAGTATTTCTACTCACTCAAAGTGTTTTTCTTCTGTGTAATTGTGCCATTCTTGCGTGTCTTGTTGAGAGTGCTTGTAGTTTATAACGTGCCAAGAGGACAAAACCTATTCTGGCAAATGGAACTGAAGGAGAAAGTTTATACGAGACAGAAATATATACATGAATGGACAAAGCAATAAACTTTCATGCAGTGGCCGAAGTCACAAAAGCCTTTTAAAGACAAAACTTGGTTCAAAACACATCAGATTGGTCAGTCATTTTGAAAGTAGGGTAGTGAAAACTTGTTCGGTCAGATTATGTGACAAATTACATATATTTATGAACCCAAATTATTTTGATCTACTGGTGGCATGGCTCTGAGTGCTGCTATTCATCTTGCTATTTGAAAGGGCCACATCGGACATTTCTTGCTCTTTCAATTGCCTAAATAGTTCATTTAAAACTGTTTAAATTTTTATTTCCTCGCCTCTGACAATATATCTATTTCTGGGACTAACTTTTAAAAAGGCTTTTTTTGGCTCTTTTAGCTTTGTTCTGGACTGCAAGATAGTGAATCTTGTTTCTTGTCGGTCGTTTCTTGAAAGATCAAGGCATGGAACTTGGACATGGTAGTCTTTGTGCCTACCGAAGTGGTTTATCCCCATTTGACAAATGGTCATCCCAGTTTGCTTGAACAGCCTGACTGTTTCGATTAATCCTGTGCGTTTTGGGCCTTAGGATACTAAGAAGGCGTGGGAAAATAATTGAAAAAAGGAAAAAAAGAAAGAAAATAACTCAAGCAATCAGACAGCTAAGCAGCCCTAAAATTATTAGTACATAATATCACAACCAAAATCTCCAAAACTTGGTAGCATATACAGGGTGTCATTTTTTGACGCACCATTGGAAAATCAATGCGGGTGTGTCTAATTATGACTCGGCACATTTTATTTTGTTAGTCTCGTACCAAAAAATAGGCGAGTCACTTTTCGACGCACGGCACATTTTATTTTGTTAGTCTCGTACCAAAAAATAGGCGAGTCACTTTTCGACGCACCATTCGTTACAAATTAGTTTTAGTAGGTTGGAAGGAAAATAAACAAAACCAATATTGTTAAAACATTATTCAAATACTGTAAAAATTAAAAAAAAATTCTTCACAAATTAATCTGATTAAGGTTTAAGAGTATTTTTTTCATCCGATCATAGTTTTATGATAGACTAGGCTACTGTCTTGCAGCAAATGGAGGTCTGTTTGAACAATTATTATAATGATTTTGAACATTTTTGATTTGCTAACAAAGGAGATTGTTACATTTATTTAATTTTTTTTTACTTTACCAGAAAAAGGGAGATTGTTATATTTATTTAATTTTTTAACTTTACCAGAAAAAATACTCTTAATCCTTAATCAAATTAATTTGTGAAGAATTTTTTTTCTAAATTTTTACATTGTGTTTGAATAATGTTTTAATAATATTGGTTTTGTTTATTTTCCTTCCAACCTACTAAAATTAATTTGTAACGAATGGTGTGTCGACTCACCTATTTTTGGTACGAGTCTAACAAAATAAAATGTGCCGAGTCATAATTAGACACACCAACATTGATTTTTCTATAGAGCACCGAAAATTGACTCACTTCCTTTTTTAATGTTAAAATCAAAAGAAATAGGCTTTGAGTCAGATTTAAACACACCAACGTTGAATTTCCTAGGTGCACCGAAAATTGACTCACATCCTTTTTTTAATGTTAAAATCAATAGAAATTGGCCTTGAGCCAGATTTAAACGCACCAACGTTTATTTTCCTAAGGTGCATCGAAAATTGACTCACTTCTTTTTTTAATGTTAAAATCAAAAGAAATAGGCCTTGAGTCAGATTTAAACGCACCAATGTTGATTTTTCAATGGTGCACCGAAAATTGACTCACTTCCTTTTTTAATGTTAAAATCAATAGAAATTGGCTTGAGCCAGATTTAAACGCACCAACGTTTATTTTCCTAAGGTGCATCGAAAATTGACTCACTTCTTTTTTTAATGTTAAAATCAAAAGAAATAGGCCTTGAGTAAGATTTAAACGCACCAACGTTGATTTTCCTATGGTGCACCGAAAATTGACTCACTTTCTTTTATTAATGTATTAATCAAAGGAAATAAGCCCCAAGTCAGATTTAAACGCACCCGCGTTGATTTTCCAATGGTGCATCAAAAAATGACTCACTCTGTATAGGCTTATACTTTGGATAGCATGATCAAGCTCCCCCATCTTGGTCCACAAAAAACAAAAAAAAATGGATGACTAGAAGTGCCTGTTATTCATGAAAGAATCCTTACCAAAACTGGGTAAAACTCTGGGGAGTCCACAGGACTGATCATTGCCATCTGAGAAAATACTTATTCAACATGGATATATTCAATGATGACCCCAATGAGACAACAGATACAATGTAGACCCAGGGAAAAGAATTGCAGCTATGAAATGAACTACAGCTTCTTAAAATAATTATCTAGTCAATTGAACTGAACTAAGAAACTAGGAAAAGTACAGTAAACAAGAAGACAAAAACCCTGCTTCTTATCATCATCATCATCTTCATGTATATTGTTGAACATTATTAGCAGAAATGCATGCCTGCTTAACATGATGACTCAAGTTGTGTATAGCATTTTAAATGCAAACTTTTATCTTTTCGGTTTGCAGTTATGGTTTTTTTTTAATAAGAAAAGAAAAATTCATTATTAATGGTTTTATTATGTCACATAGAAGAAACAGTTAATAAATACTCTTGTCATTAAAAAATAAAATAAAATAAATGTAGGCAATATTTACTCTTCTTTCATTGTACTCACATGCCCTTTGTTATGTGTCGTCATTGACGGTTTCCAAGTTGTCTTAAAATCACAGAACTCACACTCATATATGGCTTGGTCGAAATGCGTTATTATATGATTATCAAGGATTTGTTGTGTCTTCGATCTGAAAGGACAGTAAGGGCAAGTGGTCCCGTCAGGCTCTGCATGGGTCAGCATATGTCTGGCCATCGTACAAATCTGTATACATTTGTATGTGCATATGTTGCAAGAGTACGGTATGCTTAGGGAATGGCTTCTCATATGGTTTGTAAGACGGTTTTTCCTCTCGGTCGAATAGTCGCATTGAGGGCACTTGTGCAGTTTAATCATCTTGTCGTGGATCCTCGAGTGCTGGGCGACCTCCCTGTCCTTGTGCGTCTTGAAGTTGCACATCCCGCAGACGAATTCCACCGTCTTCTTGTGCGCTTTCGAATGGACCTGCAATTCGGATATTTCCGTAAACATCTTGTCGCAGTTCCTGCAGCCGAACGGCTGTCCGAAAGTATGGATTTTAATGTGGTCCTGCAGTTCTGAAACACCGTTGCTCCTGTAATTGCACACTTTGCAGTAGTATTTTTTACCTCCTCCATCCTCACTGTTCTTCACCCCACAAAGTATACCATATGTTCCAGTTTGAGTATTCATTTCAGAGGAAACACAATTTCCTTCAAAGAAAATGTCACTGCAAAATATTTTCCTTGAACACCCTGTTGTCCTTACATAAGAATAAAAATTACTGACATTAATTCAAATTTGTTTTGTCATAGTATTTTGCATAACATATATTTTTAATCAAGAATTATTACTGATAAACAACAGTTATGTTTTTAAACATATGATATTTTACAACTCTAAAAGTGTAAAAAGTGGTTTTCTCATTTTTTCCTAGACATTTCTCTCTATACAATTATATTTTAAGAAAACCTTTACTACGCTTTATTTAAAATGAAAAGTACATAATTGTGATAGCAAACTTTTTAAAAAAAAATTTAAACAGTAAATTACTAAACATAAAATAAATATGCTTCTTCATGTCAACAAATTGACTTGTATTTTTATTATCATCATTAAAGACTAATTTCTTCATGCTAGATCTTGACACCTTAATCTTAATTTTTATGTAAAGTCAAGAATGACTACTCGGCCAATCCATAGTCGTTAAAACTTTGGAACTTATGATGTAAAAAACCGTCAAACCACATTATTTAAAAAAGTCACAGAAGATGGTCAATCAGACCAAAACGCATCCGATGAAACAAAATGCCTATCGTGGAAAAGACAATTTATTTCCTACCTATCAACTTTTATAATTAAAACTAACTTTCAAGTTCAGAATTCTCAAAAGAACAGATCCAGGACTTTGAAAATAGCAAATACCTTATAAATTTAAAATCGTTGAATTTTTGTAATCTCCACAGGATAACCTGTAATTTGAAACTTATCGCCTTGGTTTTTCTGTCTTGGTGTCGGTCTTTCAGTTGCGTTCCATCATTTTTCCATCTAGGTGCATGACTGCTTGGCAAGCATCAAGTTACAAATTGTACACAGGACTGGAAAAAAACAGACACTGAAATTTCAGTCTTTTTACAGTGTATTTAGAAATTGTCTTACTGTTCAATTTAGATACAATCTTTGCCTCCCCCCAAAAACAAGACAATGGACAAGGTTTACAGATATGTTAGCTCATAGTCATCAAAAGTGGATCTAATACATTCTTAATTGTCTAAATCTATTATTATCAATTTAATCTAAAGCGATTCTTCAACATAGTCATTCTTTGTATATTTTTTTTTTTATAATTTCTTTTTCCCAGCGTAATCCTTGAGGTAATTTGGTTTTTTGCTTTCAAAATGATTAGCAATCTTGACAAATGCTTATATTTTGACATCACTACGTGCTATGAAACGAAAATCGTATTAAAAAACAGAATATTCTACAAAAACTGAACCAAGATTACACCTAAGAAAGATTCCGTATAATATTTTTTAAAAGGCTATAAAATCTTTTCTTAAAAGTTAAACTACGTAAATTAATAAACCAAAATTTATATTACAAAACAAATAGGTGGACGATATATGATAATTTATTAATATGCAATTTTTTTATAGCTTTGTAATTTAAAAAAAAAATAATACATGACTAGCGACAGGACATATTTATAGTGTCGATTTTTTTTTTTAAGATTAAGAACAAAAGTTAAAGATTAAGTATATTAAAAATTTAGTTACATTTATTTTATTTACACTATGGCCATACAACTATTAGAAAATGAAAAAGCTTCACAGCAATTGGTGGAAAATGATATTTACAAAATACAGTTTCTACAAATTAGTCATATTCATGACTACTTTCCCTTTTTGAAACGAGTAAATGATCGATTTCTTCTTCATTCTGATCATTTGCTATTGTCGCAAGCTTGCTGAGCCCTTCAGTCAAACCGCATTGGCTAATTCTAAAAAAAAAGAAAAAAGTAATATAAATTGTCCGACAGAATTTTTTTTAAATTATTAACTGACATTATTTCTTCTGTATCATCATCTTCGTTGTTGACTTGGAAGTAAGGATTGGCCGAAGCAGGTCTGAATTTATACCCGGTGAGGACGAAAAATACGTAAGTTCCCATTTCTTTGAACATCTCGTCCAGCCATTCGTATTGAAATGACACCGTCATCTGTTGGAAAATTAAAACTTAGGTCTTTTTTTTTTTGTTTTGTTTAACGAAATTACCTCTAGGAGATAAACAACAATCCTTGTGACGTATATGTAACAAACAACAAGGATATAAAAATGCCTGAACAGTTTGAGTTTTCGTAAATTTATAGCGGCTTTGCCATCGATGCAGGCAGCTTCTTGTAAATACCTGATTGACCTGAGGGGAAAAAACCAATTACAAAAATATTAAAAAATGCAAATTTACAAAATTAGTAAACCAAACTAACCAAACAACAGGGACAAGAATTGCTCCACAACAAAGGAGATCAACTAAAATAAAAACATCCAGCCAAGTCCTGTGTTCGACATCACCTTCTTCTGACTCTTCGATTATTATTTTAACGACATTCGCCAAGACCTGTACACAAAGGAGAAATTGTTATCCGTTGTTTTATAATTTAGACAATTTCAATCGGACCTGTAGAGGTATAACGATCATAAAAATCTTTTTGTCCCTCTCAAAGAGAAGATGTTTGATGAAAGTCCATCCTGTACCGATGAGGACGATCGTGATGAACAAAACTGAACCTTTCAGCCTAAAGATTCAGATAAACAATTGATTAACAATCTAAGGATATTTGATCTTGAGTCTGCCTGCTGAGTTAGCCTGTCAGGCATGTTTCAGCATTTCGCCATCTTCAGTCTGTCTTTCATATAAAAAGGACCAACCAAAACAATTTTTTTTAACTCAAGACAGATAATGCAGACACGCACCCCACTTTTCATGACTTTGTTAAAAAGAGACTTGTCAGATGCATGATGGCAAAATTCTGAAACATGTCTAAGGTCTGGGACAAAAAGATAGCCCACCCAATATTTTTTCTCTTAATCAATTTTTTTAAATTAATATGTAGTGTATTTTGAACCGATTTTCTTAGGAATTGGAAAAAAATAATTTGTAAGAATTAATAAATAATACTTGATTTGGGGTTAGACAAAAAGATAGCACAGTAAACAATAATAATAAAATTATTTATTAAAACAATTAAAATAACACAAATTAAATTTAATATCCTGTATATGCACCACCTTTTTCTAATGCAGCAATCATACGATTTAAAAGCGAGTCAAAATGACGATGAATCATCTTTTGTAGAAGTTTGGCCCACTCTTCCTGAATTTTTTTCAATTCTTCAACGCTCTGAAATTGTCAGCTACTGCTGTAAACACTCCTAGCAAGATTTTCGATGATATTAAAATCCGGGGACCTTGCTGGCCAATCTATAATTCTGATCCTTTCTTTTCTAAAAAATTCTTTTGCAACTTTTGCCATGTGAACTGTAGCATTATTTTGCTGAAAAATTATGTTCTCTTTAGGAACAAATTCAAAATATTTTTTAAATTGGTTTTCTAACAAATTGTTGGCAGTTCATTCGATCAGAAATAAACACAGTATCAGTTTTGTGATCATAGCCAATACCACCCCATATCATGACGCTGCCTCCTCCCATTTGCCTCTTGGAAAACACTTTCTCTTCTTTCCAGAGATCATGTAATAGTGAGCCCAGCCATCGGGACTGTCGAGACTGAAATTTTTTTCATCGGTGAACAGGACATCGTTCCATTCGTCTTTCCATTGCACATTCACGGGCAAACTCCTTTCTTCTTTCTTTATGCGCCGTGTTTAGAGGAGGAATGCCTTTCTTTTTCATTCTTTTGATGTGAGGAACTGCACGAATGATCCTTTGGACGTTTTTCACATTCGTCACTACACCAGCTCTCGCAGCAATTTGACGTTAAAGTTGAGTTGGATGCAACCCTTAAAATTGCCCGTTTTTACCGAGTTGTTAAGGCCGGTGGTCATCCAGGAGATTTCTTCGTCCCATAGATTTCTGGAGACTTCAAAAAATTTAAAATTACTTTCCTACTCCTACCAGTATTTTTTGAAATACTGGAAATACAAAATCCTCGATTTTTCATTCGCTGAATGATATTTTTTTTCAGCTGGTGTCAATAGTTTGGCTCGTCCCATCGCACTAATATTCATGAATGCAGAAACTGAACTGAATTAGCCTTGTTTACTCAGAGAGATTTGGTTTTGTTTGTAAATAAACAACAAGTGTGCTGTCTTTTTGTCTCACTCTAAATCAAGTATTATTCATTAATTCTTAGTTGTTTTTTTTTCAGTTCCTAATGGAGAGAATCGGTTAAAAAAAATTATATCAATAAAAAAATTAATTACAAAAATTATATCAATGGTTAAAATTGATTAAGAGAAAAAATATTGGGTGGGCTATCTTTTTGTCCAGGACCTTAACAGACCAACTGAGTAAGGATACGTAGACTAAGATGACCGATAAGGATGAAAAAACAGTTCATCACCCTGCAAACCACATGTCGAACCAAGACTGTAACGCATTTTAGTAATATCAAAAATCTGTGAGTGTATCAGGTAGAAAAATAAGTTCATAGCAATTTTTTTATGGTAAATTTCATGAAAATTTCAGATACTTGTAAACAAATTGAATCAACAATAACAGACCATTTACCTGATGACACCGTTCATGTAATTTTGTAATAATTACCGGAATTTCTCAGAGTTTTGAGCAATGAACTCCTCAATGTGTTTTCTCCAGGAGAAAAATATAATTTTTCAGGTGAGCAGATAAAATCTGAAGGGGCAATGTCAGGAGAATACAATGGTGTGATTCTGTGCGCCTGCCTGTCTGCCTTTAAGATTAATTACTCCAAAGGTAATAAACGCAGGGTAAAAGTCCAAAATAGCCCATAAAAAAAGCTTCAGTTATTTTGGTTAAGGCAGGGGATCAGACAAATGTCTCATTGGCTCCAAAAAGGACAATAAGAGCGATACAGACTAATCCAGATGAAACTATTTGTAAAACATTGTCCCAGCATCTAGCAGATCCTGACATAATCATAACAGGTCACACTGAAGCAACAATAGAACCTGGAGGAATTCGAAGTGAAGCAAACTTCATAGGCCTAAAGGTCTGGGGGATAATCAGCCGTTTCCTACTGTGAATAGTTATATCTGGATGTAATCGTAACAAGTAAAAACATTACAGAAGTAACGATAAAAGTTGGTTGAAGATGCCTGTTTATTTTGGCGAAGGCTATTCATTTCAGGAACCCGTCCTGTGACACCAAGGTCACATTTTATAAAGCCTTAATAAGTAATAAGACTAGATGAGAACTGCATAGTAAGTGGTTAGGGTGGATGACTCATATTTGCCACACTAGCAGTTCTGGGTTCGACACTTAGTCAGAAGCACCCAAAGTTGAACTTGAACCCCCAGCTTTGGCAGGAATTACAACTAATAAAATCAGTGACATCACAGCTTGAGAAATGTGGATTATGCAGAAAAATGAAGAAAAAATTATCTAAAGTCTAAAGGAAGGTCTCGAGGAAAACACATTAAAGATAACTCTATAAGTAGCCAAATCAAAAGAGGCTCTGCTTGTTAGGTCATGTGGATAGGTTGCTTAACTGGCTCTTCTGTCTTCCTGGTAGGTCTCGAAAAGGAAGGCCATGCAAGTGCTAGTTGATGGCCTTCATGATGACCTTAAAGGCTCAAGATAGGTAGAAACGCAAGGCCTATAGTGCCAATATATATAATAATAATGTACTGTTACGCCTACCTGACCATGGTACGCATCCAACCAACGTTAGGGGAGGGACTGTTGAAGGGACAAGCAGTGAAAGGGGATTAGAAAGAAAATTTATTTATTAAAAGAGTTATATGTTGGGTGCTACAATATTGTTGAGGAAGGTCTGCACCAAAAGAAAAAGGAAAAAGAAGCACAAATACAGAGAAGCTAGCAATAGGACAAAGAAAATAAAGAATTGGTTACCATTGTACCATAAAATATTGAAATTCTAAGGGCTTTGACAATGCCTAAACCGTCCACAAATGCCCGCTCACACACCAGAATTAACGGATTAGCTGAGTGGAAAAAGGATGTAGGGATGTAATCATCACATCTTCAGCTTTTCGAGTTACTAAACCGCAGGGCTGTATTTTTCTGAAGGATTTTCCCTCTCCAAACATTGTCAGTCATAAAAGACTCACTTTTCATCACCAACTATAAATCTTTTTAGAAATGGGTCATTTACATTTTATTTTAGGAAATGCAGTCCAATAAAGCCAATATGCAGGTACCCGTATATTATTCTGAAAATCCAGCTCCTCTCAGATTGTGTGGGCTATTTGTGGAGAAAGTTTGAATTTGGTCATGATCAACATTGAAGGACAAACAAGAGCATTACTTCCAAATCAAAATTTCTGCTTCTGAACCAAACAAACCACTTACATATGGTGCTTACCTGCAAAGCATCATCACCAAACACTGTTTATTTATTATTTTATTTTTTTTGTACTGAGGTGGATACCAGGAACTGGAGGAGTTCCCCCCCCACCAAGCACTGAATCTCTATGGAGCTTAATTCCTTCCTGGCTCTATTTCTGGGTGCTTGCAACGCGTGCGAATTGAGCCCCCGTTGTGCCCGTCTTCAAATTCATTTTCGAACGGGTTGAGACTAAATTCACGTTCACTGAGATCCGATCCCACCCAAGGCCTTCAACTGATGAGTGCCATATCAGTCCTTGCAACTACCTGTCCCTTAGGCGCCAGGGAAAAAAGAAAACAGAGTTAACGGTGGGAATTGAACCTACAACTATGCATCTCTTAGTCAAGATCCTGATACCTTAACCAGTAGGCTACCAAGTCCCCCACCAAACACATTACAAATTTTCTTAGTTATTTGAGCTACTGTTTCCCCTTTACAATTATTCAAAATAATAATAATAATAATAATAATGTTAAATGCACTCTTTTTTCTTCCATTTCAAATTAGCAAAACAACTTGTAAAAATATGAGATCTTGGACAAAACTGACTAATAAAAACACCTTATCTAATCCCTGATTAGAGTGTGTAAGCAATGACTAAATAAATAAATCCCCAAAAGGGATAAAAATGAAATTATTGAAAAATGCTACGGACTTATTTAACAACCCGATAAACTCAATGCAGGCTCAACATGTAACCGAAAGAATTGTTTCAATCTGTTAAAACATACAAATGTGTAATGTAGTAGAGTATCGCCCAAGCAGCAACATGTTCTCCTTTTTTCTCGATAAAATGGTAGTTTATGGCATGAAACAATAGCGAGAGAGACTTGAGGTAGACAAGAGTCGCCATGAGATAATGGATCTTGAATACAGTATGCCTATCGGAGAAAAAATTGTCAATATAAAAACACAAAAACATGATTATAAAAAACATACAAGTTAATACCTACTTGCTTTTAACAAGGATAAACACCCAAAAACATCCGGAGAGAAAGAACAATAAAGACATCATAGAATAAAGTGCGGGTAATGGCATTTCTCCAGCAGAAAGATAATTCTCTTTGTTCTTTTCCACTATATCAATCTAAAAATTGAACATTGTTTTTAAAAACTTTTTTTTTAAGTTATGAAAAAAATTAACTTACTTCAAATTCAACTGGTATAGGATTCGGTCTGTAGTTACGGCAGTTGAAAAAATAGAGATTGTACAGCCCTTCGTCTTTTTCCCTCGAGACATAAATGACAAACTAAAAAGGCAAGTTAGTAATTTTCACAGATCATCGACCGGTGGTTAAACTCACGCTTGTATTGTAATAACCGGGCTGAGGTTGAATTAGAGGAATAGTCTGCTCCTCCTCCGCAATGCTTCTTTTCGGGAAGTTACCTAGGCAAAAATTTTTCATCACAATATATATTCCAGAAAAAAAATTAATTTAGGAAATTACAAGTACCATTGACAGTCCCTCTCGTACTGAAGAGTACATCATCGCTTAGCGAATCTCTCAGCCTTAAAAATGCCGCAAGTTGGCTATTATCCTTAAAAATGTGCAATTTCAGCTCGTATGTAGAATTTATACGCAATCTAAAAATTTAATTATATATATATTTTTTAAATGACAATTTTTGATTTTTTTTTAAACTTACACATTATTCTTTCTATCCATGATAAAAAGTACAGATGGAACACGCACAGGATTACGCGGTTCATTTAGACAGTGTACCTGATGGATATCAACATCCGGTCCCATGCCGTCGGTCAAGGTTCGATCAAGGCTAAAACCAAACTGTAAACGGCGTTTTACACAAATTAGAAATCTTTTTAAATCAAATACGGCGATTTCATTTTAATTACTAAATCGTCAGGAGCGGCCCCTTCTGCATGAAAATTCCTCAATTTCACGTCCAAACTTCCACCATTGTAAAAGCCAAAAGTGCTCAGTGCTATGAATTTTCTCACATCGCCCTAAAACACATTTACCTTTCTAACTTATCTTTTCAAGCGAAGCTTTGTATTTTTTTTCACACAATTTTAATTATTTATAAATAAATACATATAAATATAAAGCACCGGTTTTGATCCAAAAACATCTGTATGTCATCATAAATCAGGTTAGCACGATCCTTTCCTTTCGGTTCAAACTCTCAGACCTTTGCACTTGATTTATACCATGATAAAACTATATAGCTCAGTTATAGGACAAAGAAATTAAATTACTGCCATCGGACTTGTGTTACCACTTTTGCCCATACATCTGAGTTTTTTTTTTCTATTTAAAAAATATAAGCACAATATTGTGCATGTGAATATTATGTTGAAAACCTTGTATATACAAACTTTTATGCATTATACTACAGGGAGTTCCTGATAGTTTTGAGTCAATCTCGTAGGCTTGAGCAGAGTTGCCTGGCTGTTGCCTTGAAACGTTTCAGCTGAACCAGCACAGTCACTAATTGAAAGTCGTTCCTCACTGAAGATGGTGCAATGCCGAAATGCATTTGAATAACTCAAAAGCACGCAAGGGGAGACACTATGGCCGGTTCAACATGAGTTCACCGACTAACAGACAAAACCCAACTAGATTTTTTTTTTTCTCTCGATAACAGAAAATTCTGCCCTTAATTTATCTCACTGTTTTATCAATAAATATTTGTTTATGCTTGTTTTAAATTGGGAATATCAATTAGACATAAACATACTTAATCCTTAATCCAAAACAAGGATAAAGGATTTTTCAATGTTTACTTTTTTTTGGAATTTACAATGTTTATTCAGTCTCGTTTGAATTCTGAAGCAATAAACTGTTTAGTTTTCATCTTTGTTTTCTTAATTTCAATTTTTAAACTTAAAAATGGCATTTAGTGCTGAGTTTGTTGTACGTTGGGTGGCACTTATTGATGATAGACTTCCATTGCCATCGGAGTTCCATACAAAACTCTGTGAGACGTTTTCAAGAAATTGGGTCCTACCATAGAAGGCCCGGTTCTGGACGCCCGGGAAACAGAACAACAGGATGACTTTTTTTTCTTAGAGATTTTTGCAAAACTGGCACCTTACTGTTGTTCAAGCAACTCATCAGCTCCAGGAAGTTCGAGGTGCCCAAATTTCTGAACACACTGCTCGAAGAAGATTAAATCAGTATGGATTGATGGATTTTCACCCCATAAGAGGGCCAGAATTGACCAGAACACAGAGTTCCACGGCTCGCATCTGCTCAAGAACAGTCATTGGTCTTTGGCTGTTTGGTCTGCTGTACTTTTTACAGATGAGTGTGTAGATTTACTCTATGATCTACAGATGGGCGTGAAAGAATGTAGAGAAGGCAAAATGAAAGGTATGAAGCCTGTAATTTTTCCCTTTTCAACGTAGCTCAGTGATGATGTGGGCAGGAATTTCAAGGGAGTCGCACGGAGTTGGTTCTTGTTCGTGAAGGGTCTTTGACGGCTTCTCGCCGTATGGATGAAATTTTGGAACTTCATGCCCGTCCACATGTCGCTCACATAGTACAAACGTACCTTCGAAATTATAACATCAGGGTCTTAGCCTGACCACCCCGTTCTCCAGACTTGAACCCCATCAAAAATTTATGGGATAACCTCAAAAGACGAATAAGAGCACGTCCATCACTTCCTGATACACTCCACGATCTTGAAAGAACTCGTGAAGAATAGGCTAATCTCCTGCAAATGAGACATTTCCAGCCTGGTAGAAAGTATGCCGAGGCATCTTTGAGATGTAATTAAGGCAAGAGGAGGAAACACGCAATATTGAAATTTAATTAAAACTCTAATTAATACAAATGTTATCTGTCCGTCTTTTTTTCTTTTATGTCATTATTCATTTTCCATAGCAATTTACATTCTTTTTTACACTCAATTGTTAAATGTTAAAAAACGTGAAACTGATTAATATATAAAAATATATTTAAATCAAGTTATATTAAAAATGGGTGTAATTTTTTGCCTGTCAGTGTATGTTAAAACAATTTATATTATTTTACAATGACAATTTAAAAAATTAGAATAACTGATGTGATCTTTTTTAAGTATATTTATATGAAACACTCTTTTAAGACATTTGTTTAATATTTAAGTAATTTTTTTCATTTTTTCTTTTATATTGTTATATTGTACATTTCTATATTTAAACATTTTTTGCGAATTGGATTAATTCCATAAAACATATTATTATTATGGAATTTTTTTAACTGTAAAAACACCTCCAGCTTGTTTGTTTAAATATCATTGTGAATAACTTGTATAGTCTCCAAGATTGTTTATGTAAATATTTTTATGATATCTTCCATATATAAACTTGGCTTGTTTATATAAACAATTGTGCCATGAAGAGACATAAACATTTTTTTTTTTATATAAGCCTGTACATTTATAGCAAAGATGCTTAAATTTCTCGAAACAGCATAAAAATATTATTATCTTTTATTTTATTTATTTATTTTTTTAGGCGAAAAACTGCTAGGTAGTCATTGCTTATGAACCTTTGTGATTCCTCCAAGATGAATAGGTATCCCAAGGTCAAGTTCCTGCGTCCAGTCCCTTATGGGTTTCATTTACCCAGACCTAATTTTTACCAGCATTGGTGCTGGGGTCTGCTTGCACTACGCATCAACCAGACCCTCTGCGCTAGACCCCATGTCAGCAGAGATGGTGCTGGACACGAGCCCATATCCCCACCCATCCACTGGCGCAGAGGCCCCCCGCCTCAGTAGGAATCACAAAGTTTGATAATAATACTAAAAGGACAAATTTTCATCTTATTTTATTGGAATATTCCGATACTTTTTAATCGTTAAAGTATTATATCAGTTAATTATTCTTTTTATCTAAGGTCTTGGTTGAGAGTTAATGTCACAAAGTGGGATTCGAACCACGACCTTTGGCTGAATACGTCGCTGCTCTAACCACATGACCTATCATGACTTCGATCCACTCCTCATTTCAACCTGCTAAGTATTAGCGTAAGGTCGTAGGTTTGAATCCTGCTCGTTACGCTAACTTTTTCATCTCAACCAAGACAACCAATCTACCTTAGATAAAGAATAATCAATATGGTCAAGATGACTGATTAATGTTATCAAATTTACTTTGATCCTGACCTAACGCTTCATCCAAGTAGGAATAGTAGGTTTGGGGACATAACTACATTGATTTTTAAGACGTAAAATGGGTGCTATTGATTATTTAGAGATCGTGAGATACAGTATGGTGTGATGTAGTTTCAGAAAAACATTTTCTTTATCTGGCGTACGTTTCAATCTTTATTGAGATCATCTTCAGGGCCTGGGATTTATAAACATTGTTTGAAATGTACAAATACATATAAGATAAGACTATGAATTTATACAATGATGTACAAAAGATAGAAATTTTAGGTTCAAGCAAAGTATTTGTACTCACTCAAAGTATGAGTTTTCTTTATAGATGCGTCATTGTTGTGTGTCGTGTTGAGAATGTTAGTAAGATATTAATTTTTTGTTTATATATGTTGAATTTGGAGGAAGAGTGGGAAGGAAGTAGGAATAGAAATTCATTTTTCTATGAGGAGTCGGCTTCTTCGAGGTGAAAGGGGGTTGACAATGGGAAAAAAGGGGAAATGGTTTGTCGTTCGGGCCTGGATAGCCTTTCAGGATTATTACAGACAGGGATTATTAGGTAAAGGAGAGATAAATTGTCGAAGAATTACACTATGTATAATTGTTTAATGTTTGGAATGTAATGATTGTTTTATACGTTTAATTATGTTTTGTGTGTTATTGATATCGAATATGATTTGTGATATTAGCATAGCTGCAGCTGAGTTTACATGTCTGTCCTGTAATTGATGCTATGTTTATATCTGTTGATGTAAACCATTTATAAAAAGTTAAGTTTATGTTTGTTTTGTTCTGTGTTTAATATTTTTGGATTGTTGAAATCGAAGTTGTGTTGGTGTTCAAAATGGTGGGTAGCCAGTGCTGTAGGATTTTGTTTGGATTTTTTTGCAATCACAAATATGTTGCTTTACTCTCTTATCCAGATATCGGGATCTAATACCGATGCAAGTTGCTGGTTATAGTTTTTCAATTTTTGAAGGCTATTTGAAAGTTATCAGAAGAAGAAATGTGTTTAATTTCTGTGATAGGCAGTGAACGAATGGAATGATATGTAAGTTGGTTTGTTTGATAGAATTGATTTAGTGTTATTCATAATCCATTTATGTTTTAGTGGTCACTTGACCAAGTTACTTCTTTCAATTAATTATTCTTTTTATTACACCGCTGCTCTACTATAGCTCATTAGCATAGAGCTATGTTACAGCTCAAGTGGTAGAGCGGCGTATTTAGCAAAAGGTCATGGGTTCGAGTCCCACTCGTGATTATGACTTTTTTCTCTCAACCAAAACCTTACATAAAAAGAATATTTATTAGTAATATTAGATGGTGTTAGTGATGAGTTGTAGTTGTTGATTATTCTGCTGATTATGTGTTTAGGGTAGTGATTGTTATGTAAGATATGTTTCTATATATTTATGTTCCTGTGGTGAAAAGATTCATGGCTTAAAAAATGGCTAAACACACAAATGTGAGCTATACTCAAAATATTCCCATATTGACATACTGAGGAAGAGGTTTTGGCATGAGTCAGTCTAGTGTCTGTGTAATACCTATTTTGTTGCAAAATATTTTTTACACTGCCATTCAGTAAGTCAAAACTAAAAATCTTACAGGGTACAGTGTTTTTCTTAAATTGAACGACAAATGTTGAATTTGATAAACTTATCGCTTTCTTTGTCATAACAGAGATCTTTATTTGCTATGTGGTAATCTTGACATTCCAATCTGACACGTTGGAGCAAAAATAAATATATTATTTCAAGGTTTTCTATTGTTAAAAATAAAATGAACTTTAATATTAAGCACAATAAAAAAATGAAGTACCTTAACTGACGGTTTGTGTATCCTCCCATGGGCGATGAGGAAAAGGCCCATGAGCAAAGCATGGCACAAATATTGCTTGTGCCTCATGGCACGCGATTATTTCCTTAATTTTCTTCACCGAGGAGGAACAATCATTTGCTCCGTTGTTTAAAAATAATTTTAAAATAAAAATAAAAAACCAGCAGTGAAAAAGAATCAAGTCCTACGCCATAGGGTTGATTGGAACGTCACCTGGAAACGTTTGTAACACGGAAAGTACCTCCGGATAGAAAAAACAAAATGGAAGGATTGGTGCTTGGTGACGTTGCTTGGTAAAGAAAATTTGAATTTCACCGACCAAAATGGTTAATTCATGCCATTTTCACAATAACACTTATTTTAATTCAATACTTATTGCTTTTACAATTCCTAATATTTAATTTTACAGATTCCTTTTATTTAAATTGGATCTCACACATACAAGCAAAATAAATCCCACACTAACAAGAAAAGTGACTCAATTCAACAAAAGAAAAATGTACAGGAGAGACAAATTTAAGTTTATTTTTTATTTATGCATTACGTTGTTGGAAATGAAAACTGTCATGATCTATCAATAATAATAATAAAGTGTTTTTTTTTTAATATATACAAAGTTACAGTTTTACAATTCTATGCAGGGACACTAATACATAGACAGAGTCCATCTGTATAAGTTGGCTTGTAATCACACACACACACACACACACACACACACACACACACACACACTGATGAGATCAATAATTAAACTGTTCAACTAAAGTCTCTAGATTTGACAATTGCAATCAGAACCGTTTAAGAGTTCAACCAATTCCATTTTTTTAAAAGTATTTTTGCCAAACCATCTGTCCCTGAACTCTCATAAGATAGGGCACACCGCCGCGTACAAGTCCTCAATTTCCTTTCTGTTCCTGTCTTTCGTCAGAACGGTTGATATTATAATTCCAAAACAATAATTGTCCCCTAAGTTTAAACATTACACTTATAAAATTAAAACTATTGTTATCAGAAATACAATGATTGTCCCCCTAGTTCTGAAATCAGATCCCAGTTGATCCACCAAATATTGTCTTTAGTTCCCCAAGATTTAAGCAAAAACATAAAACTTTAAAAAAACTACCCCTTTTTGAGTTGTGACACTTTTCTTTCATATATTGTCTCTCAGTAATTTAAGTTTGTTTGCTCTGACAATAATGATGGTCAATGAACGACTATAAGGGTATTAATTTTTTTGAGATAGTAAAGACAACATACAAACATAACAAATTAGCATAAATATCAACGTAGTAAGTTTTACTAACATTATTTTTTACTCAAATGAGCTTTCCTCCTGAAATCAAGGCTAATTAGTTATTTAAAATACAAAATTAATTGTTGAAATAAAGGTTTTATTGATTATTAAAAATACTGTAACTAAAACATTAAAAAATTGTTGAAAGTATAAACTAATGTAAAAGTTAAAAAACAGCATTGTTAAAAAATTATGAAAAAACAAAATTATAAGGAAGAATGTTATTAAAATAAATGAAACTAAAATTCATGAACACACAAGATCAAGGTATGGTCTTGAAGAAAAAGACAAATTTAGTTGTTACTGACAAGCTTTCGGCCTATTTTAAGGTCATCATCAGGGTCTATTAATTTCACTTTATGAAAAACTTATTTGAACAATTTATTCAAAAATTGTTTTTTCATAATGTGAAAAAGTGACTCAAGAACAGCATAAAATCTTTCACTGAACATGAAAAAAAACACTGCCTAGCAGAGTCCACCTACAGTCATTTTTCATGAAGCATCACATATCCAAATACTTAAAAAAAATAATTGTGTTTTTATAATTTTTCGACTTGTATCACTTTCTTGTGGGCGTGTGAAATGTTTACAATTCTTTAATTTTTCATTTTTAAAAGCAGGAAAATTTTGAAAAAAAATTAACTGGCACCACAATAATAGGAGATCATGAATCAATTTGGAATTGAATAAAAAACAATTCTCAGATTTGTCAACAAAATATGATTTTGAGTCTGAGAAGCAATTGAAATATTGAATCTAAACAGCTATGGCCTATCTCTGATGAAGCCCCAGTGCCGGTATTACCAGTACCAGTGCCTAGCTGTCAATGAGTAAATCAGTCCTAAGCTTGACCAAGAGACGTTAAAGATCACACAATAGACTAATATTGGTCACGAATATCATTTTATATAAATTAAGTTTATTATTTGAAAGAAATTAAGGCAATTTTGACTTCTTAAAAGAATAACGTTTTTCATTGCTCAAAAACTGAATTTGCCAAACTTTGATGTAGAAGAATCAAGGATTTGTAGGATCTTTAGAACTACTTAAAAAAAAAGTTTTTTTGTATTATTTTGTTATAGCCTAATTAAAAGAATTTATAAAATAAACAAGAATAAGTTTAGAAGGCTGTTCATCCCATTAGTACATAATTTTGAAAGGCAACTGTATAAAGCGCCATCCTCATTGTTCATGCACATGCATGTTGCATGCAATAATCAAGCACGTTTCGACTTTGATCGCAAAGGATTTAATCAAGTGCGTCTATCGCTTTTTAAAAAAAAATCTTCAAAATTTGATTTAAATGCGAAATTTCTTTTGAACGTAGATTTAGTAATCAATTGCTCGTCAGGTTATAACGTCGAGGAATGCTTCCAGGGTGACGGCAGGATATTGGGTGAGCCGGCAAATTTCGTATGAAATCGAATTAACTTGGGGCAAAGGGTTGAGCAGTTAACTTACAGCAACAGCAACAGCAATTCGGCAGCATGTCTCACAATGAGGGGAACTGGTGTCTCATCGAGAGCGATCCGGGTGTATTCACCGAGTTGATCAAAGAGTTCGGTAAGTTGATGTCTTTTTGGCGTGTTTTTGCCTTAAAATGTTTTATATCCAAGCCGATTTTACTTTCTGGTTATGCCATTAAAAACATATTTTTTACCCCAAAGAAAACAATATTTGTTAAGGTTTATTCAACGTAAAAAAAAAGAAAAAACGCGCTTTATTTTTTTGGTAAAATTAAACCTTAAGACAAACCTTTCCAAACAATAAATAAAACAATAAATGTAGATAATACATAAATAAACCATAAGAGGAGTAAAATATCAACATAGATACTTAGTTATAAATTCGTCAAATTACATTTTTCTTCCTATATTTTTTCTATTTCAATCGTTTAGGTTGTAATATCCGCCACATTGGACATTTGTACAACGCAATGGCCATGGGGAAATATTTTCACTACCTTTCCTTACCATCATTATCGATAAGTAGATGCTTTGGCGATTGACAGACGTAGCCCGAGTCCTGGGTGTGCCACGACGCTCAACCAATAGAACCATCAGAATTCTCAATTGAAGAGAAGCTAGTGGTCGACTGCGATGTACGACGGCTAGAGATGGCTTACCGTACTACAGAACCAATATTTAACGGCTTCCTTCATAGGTAGTCAACTCCAAACGGTAAATGTACGCATAAGCTGTAAAATAGTAATCAGAAGGCATTGTGAGAGTAGGTGTATACATCATTTAGGGAGGGGCATTGAGTGGAAAGGCGACTATTCGTAAATCAACATCTCGCTCGGACACTTGAACAATAGTGGGCTGTTCTCTTCAAAGATGAGTTGGCTTGTGGCAATAAGATGACCACGACCATGTGGGGAGAAGATGTGGAGAACAATTTGCTTCATGTGCATGCACATGACATATTTTAAAAGACCGTTATGGCATATGGTGGAATCAATGTCCATGAACTGATTATCATACATCACATTGAACATTGAAACATACATCAAATTGAAGGTTAATAGAAAAGTGGGCTTAGTAATAAAACAAACTATCTGGCACCTTGGAGAGAGTACATTTTCTTTTATAGCATTTTGTGTGGTGAATGTGGATTGAAATTTGAATGTTCTGGTTGAGTAAATTTCACTTCTTAACAGTTCGAGTGTACTAAACAACACATTTGTTTGAGTCCACATTATACAAAACTGAAAGTATACAATTAAGTGTATATCTTAACCAGGTAAATACAATGTGTTAACTACACTACGGGATAAGGGATAGGGATAAAAGAGGCGGCCTCAAGGCCTACTGCACCCCGACCTGAATAGATCTGTTGTGCTTCCATGTTATTTATAACTCACTGGCCAGCTTCAGGTTATTAATCAACCTCCATAACTTTGCCAGCAGCTCCTCAGGGTAGCATCTTGCTTATGGTTTTTCTCGTCCAAGTTGCAAGAACTTGCACCTACATACCTTCACAGAAACATATAATGTGTTCTGTGGTTTCCTCCTCTTCCTGGCAGTATCTGCACAGTGTTTCTTCTGTCTGTACTCCTATCCTGTGCATGTGCTTTCTTAAGTTGCAGGGCCCTGTCAGAAGTCCAACCAGAATCCTGGTTCGGTTGCCTTCCAGCAATTCTTTTATAAGTTTTGCATATGGTTCTTCTATGAATTTCTTTGCATGTCTTATACTCGTGGTATTATTCCATATTTTAAGGTGTATTCTCTTTTGTGGCAGGATGGTAGTAGGCAGTAGGGTTGAGGACCAAGAACTTGGTTGGCCTCCTTTTTGGCCAACATGTCAACCTTTTCGTTGCCTCTATGCCTCAAGTGTCCAGGGACCCATGTCAGGGTTAGGTCATTGGTGTTGCTGACTTCCGTCGTGGCCTCCATGCAGTTCCCAAACACTCTTTGCCTTCACCTCACATGAGGCTAGGACCCTCCAGGCTGTCAGAGAAAATGGATGAATTCCTAGCCTTTTTATTTCTGTGGCGCTTTATTCAATCACTATGATTTCAGACTGGAAACTAGCATATTTACTTAAGTCAACTGTCAGTTCGGTCTTTGGGTTCATCCCGAAGGCTCCAGCTCTGTACCCTTGTCAGTTTTGGAGCCATCATTATACCAGTAGGAGTTTGCCTTTAGTGGTGTTCCTTTGTATATAACACACAGAGTTCCACGGCTCCTATTTGCTCGAGAACAGGGCCCTTGGTCTTTAGGCGATTGGTCTGCTGTACTTTTCACAGATGAACGTAGATTTGCTCTACGATTTCCAGATGGGCGTAAAAGAGTGTGGAGAAGGTGAAATGAAAGAGCCTGTAATTTTTCCAAAAGCCAATCTTTCAATATAGCTCAGTGGTGGAGTGGGCGGGAATTTCAATGGAGAGTTGGTTGTTGTTCGTGGAGGGTTTTTGTCACTCACTATGTGGATGAAATTTTGGAACATCTTGTTGCCTTTCCTCGATGAAATCACAATCTTATTCTAGTGCATGATACTGCCCATCCACATGTCGCTTGCATAGTACCAATGTACGTTCAACAGCGTAACATCAGGGTCTTAGCCTGGCCAGCCTTTTTCCAGACTTAACTCCATTGAACATTTATGGGATAACTTCTATGTTGCCTGATGTTTCTTCTGACAATAGTCAAAGGTCATTGTTGAATTGTAAATTGATGACTATTTGCCAAAGATTTATCCTATCAGATTGATTATTAATGAATAATCCTGTGGTTAGATTGCGCTGAATTTTCTAAAAAATCACTCAGTATTTTTACTTGTTGGTTATCTTTGCCTAGTGCTAGCAATTCTTTTCTAGCTTCGTTTAGCGTTTTATCACAACGATAACGTATCGTATACGCCTTCCTAATCGCATATAGTGATTCCTTATCAAAGCCACGACATTTTAAACCTTCAATATTCATCGAGTTGCATGATTACCTTGCACAATTACATAAGGTGGAACATCTTGGGCAACACCAGAACAACCACCAACCATAACATGAGCACCAGTTCGGCAAAATTGATGAACAGCAAATAAAAGCACGTCCATCACTTCCTGATAAGCTCCATGTTCTTGAAAAGACTCTTCATGAAGAATGGGCTAACCTCCAGCCAAGAGACATTTCCAGATTGGTAGAAAGTATGCTGAGGCATCTTTGAAATGTAATTAAGGCAAGAGGAGGAAATATGCGATATTGAAATGTTAATTAAAAATCTAAAACAAACTTTATCTGTCCGTCTTTTTTACATTTTTTTAAAAATTTTCCTTAGCAATTTACATTTTTTTAAAAACTTTTTTAGACAAAGACTCACGTTAAACGTTAAACTTTGATTAATATATAACAATATATACAAATCAAGTTATACTACAAATGGGCAGAATTTTTTGCCTGTCAGTGAAGTATTAAGGACCTTGGCATAATTTTTGACTCATCTCTTGTTTTAGATATTGAAACAATTATAAATAAATGTTTAAAATTGCTTAGCTTCTTAAAGAGAAATACAAAGAATTTACGAATTTTCGTTGTATAAGAGTAAGACCTATTCTGAAGAATAAATCAGCAGTTATTATATAAAATATGTTTGAGAATAGAAAGTGTGCAAAACAGATTCTTCGGGTATGGAGCTTTCAATCTTGGCCTGAATCTGGAATCTGTTTCTTATAATGACCTTAGGTTGTGATGAACAACCCTAGAAAAATGTAGAAAAGGTGGCGACGTTACAGTTTGTTTCAGATTGATAAATAATCTACTATGTTGTCTGGAACTTTTAGAAATAATTAAATTGAATATAACTGATAAAAGAACTAGATGTATAAAAATTTTTTGTTCCTTTAATCAAAACAAACTACATTGTCAATTCTCCGATGCATAGAATATGCACGGAGCCAGTAATGTTCAGTTGGATTTATTTTGTATAATGTACTTAAAATGGCTTGCTGTAAATAAAGATTATTTGTTCTTTCATCAAACTTTTGTAAGTCATAGTTGGTCACATTCTCCTGTCTTTAATGATTCAAACCCAGACTTTCCATTGTTTTAATTTTTCTCTCAATTGTCCACAGGATGCTCTGGAGTGGAAGTAGAAGAGTTATGGGGTTTGGAAGCCGAACAGTTTGAAACTTTAAAGTGAGTATTTGCCTATGTATGGGAATGTCTCAGTTATAAACTTCTTTTTCTTCCCCCTAGGCCTGTCCATGGATTAATATTTTTATTTAAGTGGCTTCCTGACGACGAACCAGCAGGGAGTATTGTTAAAGACAGCCGTTTAGAAAAAATATTCTTTGCGAAACAAGTAAGAATAAAATGACATGTTATAATGTTCATTTAGTCTTAACGTTTGTAATTTTAAAGGTGATAAATAACGCCTGTGCAACTCAGGCGATATTGAGTATCCTGCTTAACTGTAAACATCCGGATCTTCATCTTGGAAAAACGTTGACGGACTTTAGAGACTTCACGCACACTTTTGATGCGAACATGAAAGGCCTCGCACTAAGTAATGCCCAGGGTATTCGCGAGGTCCACAATTCTTTCGCCAGGTTCGTCGATTAAATGTCTAGTTTTAGCGTATTTCTAAAACGATATTTCTCTAGGCAAACTTTGTTCGAGTTTGATAACAAAGCGGCCAACAAGGACGAAGATGTTTTCCACTTTGTCGGTTACGTCCCAATCGAAGGCAGACTCTATGAACTTGATGGATTGAAAGAAGGCCCCGTAGATTTAGGGGCGCTTCCAGCTGATACAGACTGGGTCGATGTTGTCAGGCCAATAATACAAAAAAGGATAAATAAGTAAATTATTTTTAAACAATGATGTGACGATTAAGAATTAATGAGTTATTTTAACAGATACAATGAAGGGGAAATCCACTTTAACCTAATGGCTGTAATTTCTGATAAAAAGCTCCAATATGAAAAGAGATTGCAACAACTTCAAAAACAAATCGATGTAAGTTTACCTATTATTATTTATTTATATATTTTTTAAATTTTAAATTTATTACTTTAGGATGGAGGAATGGAAACAGATACGATAAACTCTGAAATGACCAAGCTGCGTTTAATGATCGAGAATGAGGAGAATAAAGTGAAACGGTACAAGTCTGAGAATATTAGGAGGAAGCACAACTACCTTCCGCTGATAGTCGAAATCCTGAAGATGTTGGCGAGAGAGGGCCAGCTTTTGCCGTTGTACGAGAAGGCGAAGGCGAAAGCCGCCGAGAAGGAAGAAAAAAAATTGAAAACATGATCTTTTTTCTTGTCGATTCCGTTTTTATTGTTTATTCTTGACGCGTTTCGATACGAGAATCGCGCGAAGCAAGCCCAAAAAACACACTATGTACTTTAAATATAAAATGTATCTGTTGTAAATTGTACAGAAATGAAATAAACAAAAAACATTAATTTTTCTACTGCAAATTAAGGAAGTTGCAAACATTGACCTAATAAAAGACCAACGTTGCCTTGATGCTCGTTCGTTTTATTTGAGTTAATCCCTCGTTTTAAGGGAAACCGGTGTTTCAAAAAACGAAGATACTTGCAAAAATGCTTCCTTTGCTTAAATATTTACCTGAAAAAAATACTTATATCAAATAAAATAAGTAGGGAAAAAAAGAAACAAGTTTTTATATTAAAAAAAAGGATGAATAGTTAATAAGTGGCCAAAAATTGTAGTTAAAATAAAAAGTTTATAATTAATTTAAAATTTTAATTTTTTTTTCATAATTACCATTATAATTTATACTGAATTAGATATTGAACTAGCCCTGGGTCTACAGAGTGTTTCTAGTGAGGGGGACCATTAGCCAAAATGGTTCGGGTGTCTGAATAGTATTTGTCATGCTGATGGTTCTGGGTTCAAATCTTAGCAAAGTTGAAGGAATTTTATTTGAGAATAATTTAGGAAGTGTTGGAAACAGGGGACTCCTTGTTCATGTGGGGTTACCGGTTCCTCTTCAGACCAGAGTTGACAATTGAATAACAAAAAAAAAAAACACTCAAAAAAAGTAAAATATCAATGTCCTCTGTATTGTAAATAAAATGGAAAAAGAAATAAAACAACTCTTAAATTCACTAATTTCATGGTCCGCTTGACCAATTAATATATTACAATTAATTAAGGTTTTTTATCTCAACCAAAAACCTGAATTTAAGATTAAAAATGAAGTATACTTCACTAAAACTCTCCATGGCCATTTCATTTGTCGTCAAGAATCCAACCCGATTATACGACATTTGAAAAATGGCAAAAAGGAGGGAAAAATCAAAAGGTGCGGTTGAGATGGGAAGTTGGTGTCCGAGTGGATCGAAGTCACGATAGCTCAAGTGGGTTCGATTGTGGGTTCGAATCCCGCTCGTGCCATTGACTTTTTTTATCTCAACTAAAAACCTTAATTACTTGAAATAAAACAACTAACTCTCTTCAACGATTAAAAAAAAAAAAAAAAACCAATCTCATAAAACAAATTAAAAGTTCAAACCTCATCCATTATTCTCTTACTTCTCGTTCCAGAGCGGTTCTCCCCTCGCACACACGAACTCTCCACTCCAAGATGAGAAAAAGTCCCAAAATAACTAAATAAAACACAATCACGTCCTTTTTATTCTACTTTTTTGTCCAAGCTTGAGCCGGCCCTGTTCACACCGGCCGAGCCCCACTCCTCGCCGATGTTCCTGCCAAACACTGGCTGGGCCTCCTTCAGCTTCTAAATACCACCTACATGTCTTCAGCCGACAACCTTGCCAAGGGCACCCTTGTCTCTGCCCTTGTCTGGCCACCCCAGTGCAAAAAAATATTTTTTAAAATTCTCATTTTCACTTGTAACAGTGGGCAGTTGGACCTGTATGTCAAGACTTTAATTTTACCACTTAGATAGACGCATTGCCAATTCAAGAGATTCTTGTAAAGAGTGATTCATCCGTAAATAAAATCAATTTGAAAAAATGGTGTTCCATGTCGGATTAAGAAGCCAGCGACAAAATTTTTCTCTTCTCCTAGAAAGGCTGGTCTGAGATTTGCTAGCGTGCTGCCTTACAACAAGGAGGAGTTATGAATATTCTAATCTAAATTTTGAAAGCTTATTAAATAATGAACTTTTTATGAATCTACAATCTCTAGGAATAAATATAAACATAAGGGCATACTTAATTATACGTTATTTCTTAAAAACAAAACTTGTATTTTTTCAAATTTGAGCATTTATTAAGGTTTTTAACTGAAAATTATTCCAGATGAAAATAATATAAAGGAAAGTTAATGCTGAGTCTAAAACTGTGGTAGTCCTGATGATAAATATTTGTGTTTTTCTTAAGTAAAGTAATGTTTTCATAGAATGACGAATGAAAATCCTAACTCGGCAGGGAGTGAAGGTAGGTATACAGAAGTTGTTATGAATAGGGTCATAAAATCTTAGCACAACTCAAGGAATTTTATTTGAGAATAATTTAGGAAGTGTTGAAAACAGGGGACTCTTTGTTCGTGAAACAATGGCAAGTCTTTACTTTCACTATTTAGACGGATCGAGTGCAAGTTCAAAAGATTCTTGTAGAGTTATTCATCCGTGCATAAAATCAATTTAAAAATATGGTATTCCATGTCGGAATTGAGAAGCCAGCGGTAAAAATTTTCTCTTGGGGTAAAGTCACGTTAATTGAAAGGCCTTGTGGTATTTTTCAAATTTGAGCATTTATTAAGTTTTTTAATTGAAAATTATTCCAGATGAAAATAATATAAAAGAAAGTTAATGCTGAAACCAAAACTGTGGTAGCTCTGATGATAGATATTAAATGTTAATCATAAATTTTTTTTCGCACTATCTCTGGGACACCCTGTATAAGGCATGCCAATGACATTTTTTGCACAAAATGTCCATGTCCAAGAAAGAATAGAACAGAGGGTATTTAACTCAAGTTAAAGTTTGAAAATGAATCTGACCAAAACAAAGTTGCTTGTTTTCACGAAGAGAACTAACTTTTTTCCACATCCTACATGTTTTTGTTAAATTTAAACCATGTTTTTATATCCCAGGCCCTGAAGATGATCTCAATGAAGATCGAAAGGTTGGCACGATAATGAAAATGTTTTTCTGAAACCTACGTCACACCAGACCGCATCTCACGATTTCCAAATAATCATTGACTAACGGTCACTAATCACCATACATTTCTACAAGAGAACTATTCAGATGCTCAGAGGTGATTTCTTTTATGGCCATTGAAATAAAGCCAGGTGCAAATATCTTAAAATGAAGTATTTTTCAGCGGATACATAAAAAAAACTTAAAGTCTACTGTGATACATTTACTCTATCCTTCTTTATAGTATAGAAGTTGCCACACTTGATGAAAAGGGCAAAAGCCTTCGAGAGTGGTGCACAGAAGGACTCTTACTATATCTTACATAAAAATTCACAAATAAAGAGATTCTGTAGCGATTTTAAAGGAGACAAAATTAAATTTTGAAAACTTAAATACCCGGATCACATGAGAGGAACTCTAAGTTGAATCTTTTGATCACAAAATTTGATGGAGTGGTTTAATTGCTCATTTATTCAGTTGTAAAAAGTTTTTTCTTTTATTTTAACAAATATATTTCAACTACAAGGTTATATGAACTCTTGGGGCACCGGCATTTTTGAAAAAAGCTGATTTGCAAGTAGGTCAGGTTTGAATACATGGCTACAGCTGGATTCGAACCCGGGATATTTACCTTACAGTGATGAGCGCTGTGTCAATGCCTAAACCGTTGCGGCCACAGCACCCCTGAACTAAAAATAGTTAAAATTGTCATGATGATCGCTGACATTTGGAAGCAGAATAAGACACCCAGTAGAAAGACTGGACTACACAAAGGCCATGGTAACATAATCAATCGAACCTTATTGATCATAGATATTTTTTTATGATCTTTTTGTCCGATTGTTGGTTAGTATTTTGTCGATTTGACAGACAAAGCCATAAACTTGGATGTTTTAACTTCAGAAATAACGGGTTCAACGTAGTTTGCTAAAAAAACACATAAACATTGGTCTTTCTTGTACTGAAGGGCAGAATATCTTTTACTTTAATTACAGATTTATTCTAAAAACAGTTAAAAGTTGGAAATTTGATTGAAAATTAAAATTCTTGTCGACTTATTTAAATATTATTTTATTATTCAGTGTTTATTTTCACATGCAATTAAAAGTAATTAATAATACTTTTCTTTCTTCGCTGATAATTAAAAAAGAAAAATTATTATCTTATAATATAACTAGTTTTTTAATGTATAAATACAATGTCAAAGTAATTAAAATTAAAATTTATTTGAGAAGGAAGTGACTGAGAAGAATAAAAAGTGACTCAAACTGACTAGTAACTATCAAAATAGTTTGATAGAGTCTGTTGGAAGTTTATTGTAGTTTAAGTAATTTATGATTAAATACTTATAAAGTAATTTTTTTTACTAAGTGGTTTGCTAAGTATACATTAAAGATAATGCAATGAATATTTAGAAAAAAATGTTTAAAGTGATATATCTAGATGAATAATGACTAAATTTTATAACTTAAGTCTTAAAAAGTATGTGCGTTACGACAGACGCCACAACCAAGTGCAAATTCTTCACCAGTAGGAGGGTGTTTGACATGTAGCGGGCATTCCTCACCTTCAAGTAGTTTAGCTTTCGGCCCTGTAAATAAATAATACAAAAATTTAAATATAAATAAAATGTGTTTAAAACGTAACGCGCTATCAAACCTGCTGGGCAAGGGGGCAGTTCGTTTTTAGGAATGTTTGTAACTCTTTGAAAGTCGTCATGGCAAGCGTTGCAAAAATGGGTCGTTCCAAAGCAAAAGAAAACAGCGACCGAACAGCAGTAGCGACATTTATACTCTAAGAAATCTGTCCCGTGTTTTGGACACATTTGAGCCCTGGAGACATCCGAACAAGCTCCGCAGACCAATTCTGACGGGTCGAATTCTCCGCTCCCCAATTCCGCATCGCAACGAGCTTCCCCGCCGTAATAGGCCTGAAATTTACACGATTTAAATTAAAAAAGACCGAAACGAAATTTATCTTTATAACCGCGTACTTTTTTGCATTTAAAACAGACGTAATAAGCATATCTGTCCATGGCGTATGCTGCCGGATCAGGTCTTCCCTTATCCAATCCTTCGTATTCTAATCTCATGACGGCTTTCCTTCTCACATCTTCCATCAATTCTTTAACAGGTTCCAGCTGTTTTGATAAAATGGTGTGCTCTATAGGACTCTAGAAAACATCATTTATTTCAGTATTATTTATGATCATTTTTGTATAATGGTCATACAAACAACTTAAATATTTATATGAAGTGTAACATATGAAAAGGGAATTAAGGTTATTTCAAAAAATTCTCGCAATGGTGGTACAGGTGGTTGGCTCAAGATTTACAACCCCATAAGAAAGTTGAGTGATGACTCCAGAGGGTATAAAATTCTCATGCGATTAAGGAAGAGGAGGACAGTGTAGGGAAGAGAATGGCAAGGGCCCAGCCAGAGTGCTTGAGAGGGGAGGTGCTGGCCAGTGGAGACAGATCCAGGACAGGATGAAGAGATGACGACACGAGCGTGTGAAAAGAAAAATTTGCCTCCAGATATTTTTTGTTTTTTGTTGGGTTGCAGTACTCTAGAGGACTTTGAGGGAGTTCAAGAGAACCAGAGGGAAATCTGAAAGATTGCCGAGGGGCTCAAGACGTTCCAATGGAGATTGTCGAGCATGATAGAGAAGACAGAGGGTTTTTTTTAAATTTTTATTTAATTAAAGTCGCTGTTTATTTTATTTTGCCTTTCTAAGCCAGGCCAAATCTTAGAATAAGTTGTTAAAGAAAGAAGGAAAAAATAGTTTAAATGACCATACAAAAAAGGCTGTAAATCGGAAGGGCCGATCACTGAGATGGAACAACATGACATCCCCAACCAATCTGGGAAACATAACTTGGCAATATGTAAGCCTTTGGTCGAAGGATGTCACAGCAAAGACAAGAGTGATGTGATGTTCCTCACAAACAAGGGAAATAATAATTATACATGTGTAAGGATTAGTGACCGTTAATCAATAATTATTCAGAAATCGTGAGATGCGGTCTGGTGTGATGTAGGTTTCAGAAAAACATTTTCTTTATCGTGCCAACATTTCGATCTTTATTGAGATCATCTCTCTGAGGGCTAAAAGTGAATGTACAACACAGAAGACAAACACTTTGATCTCAATACAGATCGAAACGGCACGATAAAGAAAATGTTTTTCTGAAACCTACATCACACCAAACCGCATCTCACGATTTCTGAATAATTAATAATTATTGGTCAAACAAATAAAACATCAAAGGGTGTCGCAGACCCAGAAGGGAGCCAAGAATCTTAAAACATAAAGTTGCAATAGTTGGACAACTGATCAAATATATAACTAACATCGAGTTATTTATTGCTGAAGGGTTGTCACAAAGCCAAAAATACGTAGTGACATGAGGTCATCATAAATCATTATAAATTGGGGTGGCAACAGCGAGGTGCACAACATCCGTCTTTGCCGATCGACCCATGGAACTCCCCAATTTTTGATTTTCCTCTCTAGCCCTACTCTGGTGGAGGAACTGGTATAAAAAGGGATGATTTGGAAACAAGTCAGTCAAAACCAAAGCCAGTGAGTCAGGATCAAAAGACACCCCAGAGAGTCACTTCAGGCTGTCCTGAGTCAAGACCAAGGTTTCACATCAGGCAATCAAAGCCGAAAAGTCACCCCCAGACATTGTACAGTTGATTCTAGGAGTCGATCTGGAACCGAAGCAGCCAAATTCTGACTGGGGACACAACAAGGGGTATCAGCCAGGCAGAGCCAGCACAGACCAGCCACTGCGACCCATTGGGTGAAGTCGATAGTCAAGATACCGGAAAGCAGCTGGGTATGCTATGGACGTCAATCGTGGCGAGTGTCATTTGGGCTAAGTCCCTTTGTTAATAGATCATAGATTTACAGTTCTGGCTGACTTTTTAAGATTGATTAAGATTTTATGTTGTTTGTGTACATTTAACAGAAGAAAGTGTGTTAAAATAAATTTTTTAAGAATATACTCTGTTTTTTTTTTATTTTTTTTATAATTCTCGAACTTACTTTCCCCTACATAAGAATAAGCAGCGAAGCACTTATGCCGACTACTATCGCTTAGAAAAAGCAAGCGAATTTAGAAAGATTATTCGGCCGTCACCTTTTACATATTTAAGCCTTATTATTTTTTTTTATTGTCCAGACTTATTATTTCTTAGGGTCATTATTCCCTGGAAAAATAGAGTGGCAAATGGTCTTTATATTTATTGATACAGCTCCAATGAACTTCTCCACCAAGCTCCACCTATAACTTGGGTTGGTTGTCACAAAACACATGGCAGAAGGAAAAAAGTTAACATTATTTGGATAAATATACAGTAGAAATTTTTGAAACGTCTGGTTTTGCAGTTTTTTTTTGCACCTTTATTCTTAAATATTTGTGATATAAGAGATATGCAAATTTAAAAAGAAAGACTCAATGAAAGGTCTATGCAATTCCAGCAAAACGAAATATGACAGCAGTACTGGAGAAGGTGGAAATAGCAGGAAGTTCTTTCATTTCACAAAAAACAGGATTGACTATTCATATGGCCTTCTGTTTGACATGAAGAGTAAAATAAAGTTCATTTTACTTCTAAAGAAGTTTTTGAACACGTACTGAAACAATCTTCCGTAGCTTGATTTGGAGTTATCATATTTCTTTCAAATGGCAAAGTAAGAAAAGAGCTATGTACTTACTTTGCAAATTGGACACTGCGCAAATGAAAATGTAATCCTGGGGCCGAACCATCGTTTAGTTAGGACATTCCGACAGCAATGGAGATGAAAGACATGGCCGCATTTCAGCTGAAAAGAACGTCTCTCTTAGGGCAATGACAAGAGTGTTTTTAACCACAATGGAAAATGTGTTTACCTGAACGGCGGGAGCAGAAGATAATGCTTCGATGAAACAAATCATGCACATATCGTCAGCGTCTTGCTTGAGCATAGTGGCTTCAGGCGAGCAACCGTAGAGGCAGGGCAGGCATTCGACTTCGTTCGCGATTCCTCCGCAGCCGTGGCCGCACATGTGAACCTTTCCGCATGCGTTTCTTGCATGCTCCTAAACCGAATGAAAAGGTTTAAAGCAATGATAGTTATAGTTAATTATTGATATTTACCTGGCATTCATGATCGGCACAGACGTTTCCGATGGATAGTAGTCCCGAAGAGCCTGAAGCACCGCAGAACCTGCAGACACCCGTTCCACAAGGCTGTGTTCTTGTTCCTTCCCTGAATTCAACAAGAGCTTTTAGAGTGCTTGAGTCAGCTAATAAAAGAGCCCAAAAAAGTTTCGTTCTTCCACAGCCCTCATGAAGATCAACTTTAATCGCTTCCTCTTCCTCTTTGCAAACCTAATTAAAACAAAAGTTTGTTTATTTACTAAAACAAATAAAATAAATGTTTAATAAAGCCCTGTCATTAAGTCTTTATTCTTAAATAAATCAATAGTAACTTCTTCCATATGTCTTCTATCTCTAATTCCACAGTTCAATAGTAATGTATCCCAGGAGGTACCTTATCACAAGTAAAATCCAGACCTCTTTGGGATAGTATTGATTTTCAGACATTAGAACATCAACAAAATTAGCCTTGTTTAAGTACCAGGGCATACAAGGCAAAGGGGCAACTCAGGAGGATGACAAATTTGCCAAGGAAAGTTCAATGAGATCACTTATCAGCCCTGAACTTTTTTACTTATTAACTTCAAGTCAGGTCTTATCAACTCTTGGGTTGTTGGTGGTTTTTGGAAAAAAAAAATTGTGTACCAACCATAAACCATGCAGGACTGATGAATTTGAACCCAGGCGTCAAAATGCTACCAACGCTCCAAACTTTAAACCGTTATCATGTCTTCATTATGTATCCAAAAACTAAAAAAAACCTATCCAGATTCTGCTTCTTGAATCTTAATTACTCCACAAATAATGTAATCCATAGACCAAAAAGTAGTTCAATGAAGCAAGTTCTGGACTTGATGAAAAAACTATTGAATTTGTCAGAATGAGTATTTTTTAAATAGATAATGCGACTTGTGGAATTGATGAAAAAACTATTGAATTTGTTAGAATGGGTATTTTTTTGGACAGATATTACGACTTCTGGAATTGATGTAAAAAGTATTCAATTCGTCAGAATGGGTATTTTTTGGACAGATATTTCCGACTTCTGGAATTGACGAAAAAAAAGTATTGAATTCATCAGAATGGGTATTTTTGGACAGATATTGGGCCTTCTATAATTGATGAAAAAAACTGTTGAATTTGTCAGAATGGGTATTTTTGGACAGATACTATGACTTTTGGAATTAATGAAAAACTATTGTATTTGTCAGAATGGATATTTTTTGGACAGATATTGCGACTTGTGGAATTGATGAAAAAACTATTGAATTTGTTAGAATGGGTATTTTTTGGACACACGACTTCTGGAATTGATGTAAAAAGTATTCAATTCGTCAGAATGGGTATTTTTTGGACAAATATTGTGACTTCTGGAATTGATGAAAAAAAAAAAAAAAATGAATATGTCAGAATGGGTATTTTTGGACTGATATTTCTCAAATTTATCGTATCTCTGGAACAGAAATGTCTTCAAAATCGAAGACAAAACTTTCTTCTTTGGCGAGGTACTGATAATAAAACTGCAAATTTTGTGATGTTTGAAAATCAGCAGAAAATCTGTTGATTGTCTTAATGGATTGACAATGGAGATTGTACCGACCAACAATGGACGCAGTGCATTAAAGAGGTTGAATTAGCCTATACTTAAAGCTCTCTTCCAGTTTTTTTTTTAAAACTACAATAAGACTGTGTTTTACTGCATTTGCATTGCAAATCCACACCTCTTGAAAGTTTAGATAGAAAATACTGTAAAACCTGTCTCAACATCTAAACTTGGTACTGAAATTTTTGAAATTCCACCTTCTTCAGATAAATTTGAAGTCAAAGGATCATAAATACTGTTGAGAGCTGATTAGTGCAACTTCAATCCCAAATTTTTCTTTAATTTTTGACTTGCTATTGAGAACAAACCCTTTAAAATGCAAGACTTCCCAGAATTACTCATTAAATAAATGTGAAAAAATATAGTTTTCCTTATTTTTATGTACCTGTCTTTGATGCATTCTTGTTCTCCTGTGCAAGTGAAGGTAGCGATCACATTCAGCACACAAGCTTCCACAAACATTGCACTGAATGATTGCATTAGTTTCACCATCATCGTGATTATTGCATGTCGGCTGTGGAAAGGAAACATGATTAATATCGGTAAATTTTAAAATTTAAAATGTCTTACTCTCGGTGGAGGAGGTTTTCCATCGGCTGAATTTCTCCACTGACCGGAGGAAAGACGCTCGACATGGTCTCTATCAAGCACGCAAAGCGAAGCGAGCGCAAGCCAGAGTGTAGGATTTCTAAGACAATCATTTGAAGTTCTTTGCGCTTCGTTCAGTCTCGTCAGGTTTAAAATATTTTCAGCGACTGCTCCTTTTGTCACATAAGCCCAACTTTCATTTAGTTTACCCTAAAATAATATTTTATGTACAACTTTTTAAAAAAATTATAAATTCACTTACAGAAGCCATGTCACGTATTAAACCGATGATATCCTCAGCTAGCTTTCTCGATATACATCCTCTGAGCCACCATCTACTCCCTATGTTATCTCTCGGGTGGATGCAAGTAGCAAGTGAAATTGAACTGACTCCTTTACTCTCTTTCCCTTTTGTCTTTACTTGTACCGTCAACGCTTTAGCAATGCAACTCAGAAAAACGTCGAGGATCCCCATTCTTGTTAAAATAAATAAAAGCATTACAGGGGTAAATTGAGAAAAATTAAACGACTTACTTGTGGCAGTCGAAGACGTTACTATCAGAAGATCTACTAAGCGTAGTCACAATACTAAAATCTGTAGGAGGAAGGTGTTTTATTCCCAAGATATGAGCTAGTGTAGCGGGGGAAACTTCAGCAAGCATTCTTCTTAATAGAGCAGTAACCTAGAAAAATTCATAATTTTAAGATGAATCTTTTTAAGGTCCAGATATGCAGGGTTCTCCAAAGGCTTGCCGAATTCAGACTAGTGGCGGACAAGTGCTCAGTTATTCGCCGAGCAATATTTGGCTTGTCTTACTTGGCTGGCGGTTTCCTTGTCCGCTTCAAACTGCAAAAATATTCGTGAAGTAATTGAACTCAAACCATCAACATATTCGAGATCTGTACTGTATTTTAACAGTAATTATTTTTTGATAATAAATGATTCCTAACTAGTACAGATGCTTCGTACACGCTGGTGGGAGAAAGTATTGGATATCTACCCTCAAAGTCTGGGCACTACCAGGGATAGTTGCTGGCTGTTGCGTAAAGGATTTAGTGACAATAATTCGTTTAATAATTAACTTTATTAATTGACAATTTATTATAATACCGAAACTAAAATCTGGCCAGAAACAACTAAAAACAAAGTTAATGAGAAAGAAATACATATATGTATAGAGAGAGATAAGTTGACACACAATGTTAAAAAGACAAAGAATAAGGACGTTCGTACGCCTTGTGTCGACTAACGGCACAGTGAAGATCAGAAGATAAGTTTGTGCTTATATATATTATGCAGAGTAGGCGACCGAGACCCGAGGGGTTAAAAGCCTAGGTAGACTCGTACCCCATCCCTAAAAGGTCCGGGACTTGGTCGGCTCACGAGTCCTGCATAAACCTCTTGGACTTGATTACAAACCCCAAGATTTTGGACCATTTTATCTAGGGGAGTGATTTGTCAATGTCCTCTCCTTCAAAAGTTTCAAATCTATGCCTGGCATACCTATCACATTCTGTGAGGTAGTGTTGAGCCGTTTCTTCTTTTATTTCACAGAAGTGGCAAAAGGGGTCTGGTAAAATACCCATTATGAAGAGGTGTCTTCTCAAGGGGTAATGGCCCGTTAGGATACCTATCAGCCTCCTAATTCCCCTCCTTGAGTTAGAGAATAACCATTTCGCTTCTTTTAGTTTGATTTCCTTCAGAAACTCCTTCGATTGCCTATGTCCGGGGGACAGATTCCATTCTTTCAGGAATTGTTTCATGCCCCAGCAATTAATACTCTCTTTCGCTTTGCTTATAGAGTGGGGTAATACCGGTTGTGGCCCGACAAACACCGTATTTGAGCCTTCTTTGGCCAGGCTGTCCGCCTCTTCATTGTCATAGTGCCCCTTATGAGCTGGTATCCATATGATACCCTATTCTCGTACCTGGTAGTAATCCTATTAATAAGTTCAACTGTTTCCTCTACCAGCCTAGATGTTGATAACTCTTTTTGTAGTGACTTAAGACTGGCCTGACTGTTGGAAAAAATTCTAATATCTTTTCCCTTAATCTTGTTCTCCATGAGTGTTCTGCAGCAAACATTGATGGCCCAGACCTCCGCCTGAAAGACTGAGGTGTTATTAACAAGAGGGGAGGAGATGCTGATCCCTAATTTAGGTATATGTATTCCAGCACCGCTTCCCTTGTCCTTAATGAGTGAGCCATCGGTGAAGCAGACTAGGCTACGATGGTCATGTAAGTTCGTGCTTATCTTGATCGGAGTCTGGGAGTCACTCGCTGGACGAAGCCAAAGGGAGGTTCATGCGTACCCGTCGGAAACCAGGGAGCGACTGACTGAAGACAGCTGATGTACGTTCGTACATACAGATTGAAAACCAGCGAGCGACTGTCTGTTTTTAGGACGTCTTGCTGAAAAATTACTACTTCTCCCTCCAGCGTCTTGATTTTACAAATTTTCTTTTTTTTAATAATTGTTAAAAATGATAAATTTAATATGATAAATGATAAGATTTTTAATTAACTATTAATAAATAAAATTGTTTACATTGGCGTAAACAACAGATGTATTAATGAAAGAACAACATAGCGTTGTTTCTGTTGGTTAGGAATGGATTGGCCTAATTTAATAGTCTTGGAGTTCCTCGATCTGTGCCAAGCTGAACCAATAATTTCAAACGCTCCTCATCTGAATCACAAAAATTGGAACACGGTTTTCGATGTGTGGAAACGGATCAAAAGCAAGATGGAGCGACAGTACAATGCTGTGATTTATGACTGAGCTTTTAACCACAGCACAAAACAGTAATTTCAGCAACAGCAATGTTGTCCATCACAATTGGTAGTAAGTTGAGGACTCGCAAGGCACTTGGCAAAGATGCATACGCTATTTCAACACAAACTGGGTGGTTGTAAGAACCCCGACTGTGTAAACATATGCTCTCTATTTGATGAATTGTTCATCGGCAATCAGCATTCACTGAATACCGCATGTCTGGTGCCACTTTAGGTAATTTGTAAAAACTTACTTGTCTTTGAACCCGAGCAGAACCGGTATGTAGAAGGGATAGAAGATCAGAAAGCAGTGCGTGCTGGTGTGCCAGATACGATCTGCCCACTGTTGAACCACTAAGGGCTAGAACCATCGAGAGCATTTCAAAACAGTAAGTATCAGGAGCTTCTGCTGATGTTGCAGTCGAAGCAGAGCAGAGTCTTGTTTCCCACTCTTCCCTCATGACAATCGCTTCCTTCCTAATCGCTTGTACAATGTGAACACACACCTGGAAACATTGTATTAGTTATCTGCATCGATTAATTAATCGTCTTGTTTACCTGTTTTTGCAGATGTGTCAGTTTACTCCTGCTAAATAATATCCCGACCATGTGTTCTTTAAGGTCGTTGCTCTCCTCGTTTCCTTCGGCTTCGACTGCCGGCACTTCTTCTTCGCCAGTTATCAATTTTCCAAACACCTGGGATGTTATGAGTCTGAAAACCCTAAGTGTTTCTGCTTCGGTGTTCCTTTGCTGAATCGTCATGGCAGAGTGTTGCCTCTTAAGTCTCAACGATTCTCCTTCGATTCTTCCTAATATTCTAACTTGTCTTATCCTCATTGAATTATCACCTCCTTTTAATTCTAATCGTATAATTGAATGCTGGTCATCTAAAATATATAATAAAATATGCTTAGATTGTCTTTTATCATACTGGTTTTATTGCTCAAAAATATCATCTTTAGACCAACTACTGAAGACTGTAACTATAGAAATGTGTCCAATAGGCAAAATCAACGACCAAACTTAAGTGCTGTTATTTTTTTTATTTTTTAATTTTTTTTGACTGGGGCTTCCGACATCTAGCCCCAACTAAGTCTGTATTCTATTTACCCTTTCAAACACTACATTCATGCAAATAAATACATCCATACAGTACACTCATTCCGTTTGGTCGGTGGAGTACTTGATATTCCTCCACCGACCTATACTCAAACTAATCTAGACTGGGGACGATGGAGTACTTTTATAAATATTCCGCCATCGACCCCGAACACACACTCATACACTTTCAACGTTCGAGGGCCAATGATGATGTTATATTTCACCCTCACCCCTTGCCATTCACGCTGATAAATACATGCACTCAGACAAAACATATAGACACAACATATAAGACATATTATATACATTAAAAAAACCCAATTTCCTCTAAAAAGTGGAGCAGGAGACTCTGAAACTCGCTACCTCGGGGCATATATATAAATACCTCTGAAATAAGACTATGTGAAAAATATTTGATGTGTGGAATGTAATGTATGTTATCTATATTGAATTTGATTAATNTTTATTTGTTATTGGTGTGGGATCTTTAATTTTGGAAAAAGTGTTTGAATTGTTTCTGAAACCTAAATCACACCAGACCGCAACTCACGATTTCTAAATAAATTAGAAAAATCCTTAGTATGAGATAGGTCTCGAAAACCTTTTTAAAAAAATTAAAAATTTGTTAACCTTCCCTCCACAGATCCAATTTAGAAAAAAACATACAATTAAGGAAAAGGAAACAAACGAATGTTTTCTCTCTTTTATTATTTTCAATTTTAATTTTCTTTATATTGAGATTTAATATTTGTTCTGTTTTGATATACGTTCAACGTCTACTCTATCACGCTAACCATGCTCTTATTATTTTTTTAATTCTTGATTTGTATGTTATTCTGCAATTTTACTGAACTTTATACATCCTTATATTCCTCCACATTATTGTCTCATAATTGCGTTTTTTTATTTAATTTTTTCCTATGTCTTATGTTTGTTGCTCTTTTTTTCTAATAAATTTTGCTTCTATTGCTATACTCTCTCTTTCACTTCTTCTTTCTTTCTCTCCCCCTCATTATATATCTCCCTCCCCCCTCTCTCTTTCACACTCTCTCGCTCCCCCTCTCTCTTTGTCACTCACTCTCTCTCCCTATCTATCTATCTATATCTCTATCTATCTCGCTTTCCTTCTTACTCTCTATTTCTGACTTTTTCTCTCGATCATACCCGTATCGATTTATCTTTCTCTTTGCTTTGTATTGTTCTATTTTACTTAATTGCTCCTTTTTTTTTTTTTTCCCCAGGGGCTTCCGACATCTAGGTCATTTCAGCCCCCAACTAAGTCTATATTCTATTTACCCTTTCAAGTGCTACTTTCATACACATAAATACATCCATACAGTACACTCATTTCGTTTGGTCGGTGGTGTACTTGATATTCCTCCACCGACCTACACTTAAACTAAACTGGATTGGGGTCGATGGGGTACTTTTATAAATATTCCGCCATTGACCACGAACACACACTCACTCGCTTTCATCGTTCGAGGGGCGATGATGACGTTATATTCACCCTCACCCCTCACCATTCACGCTAATAAATACAAGCACTCAGACAAAACATATAGACACAACACATAAGATATATTATATACAAAAACCCAATTTCCCCTAAAAAGTGGAACAGGAGACTGAAACTCGCTACTTTGAGAGTGCTAGAGAACTCTTCTTAAGTCTGGCGGCATGCCTACACGCTCTCTGTATGGAGCCAAGGCATGTCACACGGGCTTTGGCCCAAAGCAGGTGCCCATGTGTCAACCGCCAATGGCCAATCCTCAGTTGGGTGAGGACAATCCCTCGTCTCCTGTTCAGTTCTCTGAGGGCCATCTACCAGTCGTACTCTTGACTCACAAGAGCCTCTCCGACGACCCCGCCCACTGTCACTGCCATCTTTCTTTTATCATATTTTTTACTGCGTGTTTAAGGTCAGGGGGTGTAAATGCTGTTATTACTGAAAAATAAACTTACACGTTATTGAACAACTAATCCATCCTGTTGCCCTGCTTTCGACTTCAACTGTTTGAAGTTTAAATAACTCATCGACATTTGGCCCTGACTGGAATGTCACACTTGAGACTTTATTCTGTAAAAATTTACAAATGAATATGTTTTCATTAAAATGTTAAAACTTGTAATCCTACTTACCGCAAGGTCTCGACAATTGTCTATGTGAATATATATAACACGAGGTTGTGATCGGGGAGGACAGGTAATGGTCAGCGTTTTAGTTTTGTTTCTGTCTTCATCGCCTGATTCCCAAAATGTTTCGGTTGAATTGTCCGTTAAGCTGCCGACCATGGCCTGCCTTGAAGACGCTTTAATCTCAACTGTGCTTGTTAAGTCGGCAAGCACTTCGACAAAACTTGATGACTGTGAATTTGCTGATAAATGACTTTCCTGCATGCTCATAGCGTCTTCTTGTTCTTCTTCAGTTCTTGATAGTATTTTACTTATGTTGCTAAAAACATGACTCCTAAAAAGGCAAAAAATCGTTTAAAAAGGGCTTATTTATAAATATTTTTAAAAAATATAACCTGTGAAGGAACATGTGATCAGCTTGGGTGAAATTGATTCCCCAGCATCTCACGGCCATTTGTTGAAGGGCTGAGCCCATCGGAAGGAGCAACATTAGATCTGCAATCGTCTGAAGCAGGTTGTGGAATGTCGAAGGCAAAGGATGAACGGCTTCGCCAGCTATGCCCATATCGTTCAAAGGATGTTCGCAAACACCTCGGAGTTCCTTTACAAAAGAGAACAAATTTCACGAAATTCAACAAAAACATGGTCAATAACTTACATGTTCGTCTTTTTTGTCACTTTTTTCCGGTAGTTCTAAGTCTTTTAACTGCGGCTGTTCGAGATCGTGGTCCGGTGGCGCTGGAGTTGGTGTCAACGCTGCGACAAACCACCAGAGCAGATCGTGTAAGCATGTTGCTTGTGTGACTGTATGCAACAACCAGTCAAGAGCCTTAAAAATAAATTAATTAAAAAATAATTTAATTTCATAATGGGTAATTCAAGTCAAGCGTAACTACCTGCATGCCATAAACTCGACATGTGGCCTTTCTTAATGCTTGTTTCATTGCAAGATGTAGACTTGGAAGATTGTGCTGTTGCAAAAGAAATGTTAGCACCGGCCTTGACAAAAGATCAACAGTCAATCTTTCTGTTGTGTTATTCACTATAGCCGATTGACTCATGCTGGGAACCAGCTTTTGAAGTGCTGCTGACGGATAGCAAAGCAATGAGGATCCAGTTTCTAGGGATGAAAAAATATTAGTTGATGATAATGCCATTATTAGGACAACTGATTATCGTTTTATACAGCTTCAGTTTAAATCTTGGCATTGCATTTGAAATTTTATATGAAAATTATGAGAAAAAAGTATTGTGACCTTTTCGCCCCGACATATTGTACGGTTGTTTATGCCTTTTGTATATATTTAGAGGAATTACTTGACCTCATCTCCCAGGTATGAGGGTAAACCGCCACAAACATAATACAACACTGACTCAAGCAACTATCATTATACATACCATGGTGTATAATAAAGGCAGATTTATATTAGAACATGCAAGGTACAGGACGGCTGTCTTATGGGGCACGTCAACTTATTATCTCATTGTTTTCAAAGTAGGAGAGTTCACATTAGGGCGGTCATGAGGCTACCCGTTCATGAGGTACGGCGCCCCCCCGGAGCCAGCCCGCAGCCTACGATTCTTTCCCCTTCGTGCCATGTTGTCGCCCTGTCATGTATGAACTCCACCCCCATCAGTATTCAACACGTAACAGAAGTGAAAAACATTGACGAGTCATTCTAAAATAGCCATAAAAACTTTTCCTCGTCATAGTTCAACTCCTTGTAGAGGGAACGAATTCACCTTCTGATTCCCTTTTCTTTCAAGGATGTACAGCCCATCTACTCGTCTTTTCGCCTTCTTCCTCATCAAGACCTACAGCAATAGCTGCTAATTCAACTGTGTTAAAGTTCATGTTATTATTGCGCATGCACATACAAAAAGCACTTCCTGACGTGAACGCTAGTAAAACTGATGAAAAATTAAGTTGAAGATCCCAGCCACTGCCATGCCGTAAGCAGCCCAGTGTAATGTAAATACAAACGCCTACAAACGTTCTAATATAAATCGACCTTAAACCACCCCTAGGAGAATATTTCCCATGTAATGTCGGGGGTTGCAGACTTGGTGGTCTGTTAGATGGGGGACCTTCCTGAGTTGTTACATGAGCCGAGTGGCTCCAGGGAGGTCTGAGGGATGTGGTTGGCAGTGCATACGAACACATCCCTCCCAAAGACCCCTGTACTAAAGATAAAACTATGTTTCGCTGTGCTCAGTCCCCAGAGGGGGGTACCTGCCTGGTGGCACATTGAGGGTCTTTCCTCAATCTAGGCGGGTAACCACATGCAAACATATATACCACACAAAACACTCACATTGACATAAGCACCAACAGTACACATCCTGGGGTTACCACCCCTAAGATGGAGATCCTCTTTTCTCTCACAAACTGGCCAATCCAAAATCCAGACCAGTAGCTGTTGGGTGAAGCGAGTAGTGAGGGGTGTACCAACTACAGGTCCACCCAACACCCACCGGCTGGTTACAAAACCCTTAATAGAGACCGTAGATCTGGAAGGCCAAATACTGGTGAAGTATGGTAGTGCGGAAAGTGGCACAGCTGTTGGAGAAAGGAACGCTGAGTCAGGACAAGGCAACACAACTGGAAATGACGAGTGGAAGCTCACCTCTTCATAGAGGGTGAGAAGACGGTGACATTGGAACTGTACATCCCAACATCTCCAGTGACCTGGGCCCAGAAGACAAGAAGAAAAGAAAAACGGAACAAAAGTAAAAACCAAAGGAAGAAATTTATTGCTTGGAATTGGACTATTGGCTGAAACCTACATATAGTGGAGGGAGGGGAATTTCACATCTACAAGCTCTTTCCTCCTGTGCAACGACATATCAAAATTATGCAAGCCGACCAACATTATGCAAGATAATGAAGAAAAATTAATTCTAGGACTGGATAGTAAAAAAGATGTCGAGGTAATTGCAAGTTTCTTGACGCTGGTTGGTCACAAGGTCTCGGTAACACCCCATCAGAGGTTAAACACTTCTCGTGGTGTTGTGACATGCCGGGACCTCTTGAACAATTAAGGAAAGTCTCATGGGCGAAGTGAAGATGATGAACATTCACCAGAAAGGGCAACTTTTCCCTTCGGTGAGTTTAGTCTTTTCTGGAATTACCAGAGGACTATGAGAAGCGAGTAGGCTCAACTCAGAACATGTTTGTATGTATGTTACAGATTTGAGCCTATATAAATCTGAATCCAAATCCAAACCTCATTAATAATTAAAAAAGAGATAAATTTTAACTTATTTCATGTTTACAATATATGTAATTAAATTCTGATTGGTAAATTTAAATTTGAGCAATCTGGATAAATGAATATTTACCATTGACCATATCACAAGTGCTGTTATTTCTCTTCCTCGTTACTATTACTTTCATATCTCCTTCCTTTTTAGCCCAGGGTGCTCCGTTTGTTCCCATTGAGACTGATCTATGGAATAGTCTTCCTTTTCCACTTTCACTATCACTGTCACTTGTCAGTCCCTCAGAGACGGGCTAAAGAGTTAACAACATAATTATTTTGAACTCATAAATTATTTTGAATTAAAATATACCCGTGAATTAGTATTGTTGTCAGAGTCTCTTCGCCTGATGACTACGTTTTCGGATGTCGATGAAAAATGCGAATCTTTCCAACCACTCGGGTTGACCTGGATGGCATCAAGGGACAACAGGCACTGAAAAGGTCCTGGTGGCGGGAATGCCTGGTCCTGCGGTGTTTCCCTCAAGGCATTCAGGCTCGAATTCCCCCCAGAGCTTGTCAATCTCTTCTGTGCCCCACCGGACAATTCAAGAAGGAACATTGCATTGTTCTTCATAACTAAATGAGTATCGGTCACAGCTGAAAAGTTTTTAAAATATGTTTAATACAATTTTATAATATTTTTAAGTCAAGAGTACCTGAGGTGTTAGAAGTAGGGGATGTTATTTTACAAGAAGGGGAAGGTTGTGGGGGTGGCATGGTGACAGCGGCTTTCTTCCTGCTTGGCTTTTTCACTCCTTGCGTCGATCCTTGTTTTTTCAATCTTAAGTATTTGTCGCGGCATCCGTCACAAATGAGATACCACGAGCTTTGCCCAAAGCCTCCGTCTCCACAGTTTCCTGCCCAGCCGACGCAAAAACTGCCACCGCTGTTGTAGCCCTTTCCTCCTGCATGGGCACCACACCCTGCGTGCATTTGGCGCATGTGGTAGGTCACCGGGTGGGGAAAAACACCCCCGCACAGCTCACAAGAGCCCATTCGTTCACCTGAACATCTCCCTCCGCTTGACTTCCAATCTTTCTTCTTCCTCGCATTCCTCTTATTCTCCCCAGAGTTCTTACTCATACTCCCGCTGGGAGCTGTGGGGCTTGGAAATATACTGTTTACCGTAAATGCCTGAAAATTATGAAAAAATTATTATTTGGATTCAATAAGAACAATCAATATCGCGCACCTGGAGACAAGTAAGAGTTAATTGTTCCCAAAGGTGAACAAGGCATTTGAGTGCAGGTGGTAAAACAGTGACAGTATGTTCGCCAACTCTTGCATCTCCCACTTGAGATTTATGCTCAGAAGTGCCAGCACTCGATGTACCTTCTTCCCTTATTACACTCTGCTGTTTGCCCCGGTGCCTATTTGCATTTGCATTGGCTGCAGATCTCGTTAATGTCTCAAGAGTAGATGGTTTAATGTGTAAATAATTTCCTGCTGTTGAAACCTCTAGAGAATGTCTTTGATCTGCTGTTCGAACTCTAAAAATAAAAAATAAAATATTTGTCTAATTTTCACTGTTACAATAAAACTCTTTTACCTGTCTGTTGGTCTTGTTACAACTAAAGCTCCTTCTTTTGGAAGATTGGGATGGAATTTGAGAAAAGATGCACATGCCATGGCATCATGGACTATCCCTTCATGCCATAGAAAAGCAGCAAAAGTAGCTCTTAGACTTTCAGCCACTGACGGACTCATGGCTTCTTTTATTGGGCCTCTAAAATTAAAAATTAATTTAGAAAAAAAAACAGACACAAAAAATACTCAAGTTACTTGTGATGCCTTGGATGGACAATAGGTGGAGGAGACATTGACTTTTTACCAGAGCTCGAAGTAGCAGCCTGAACTCTGGATTTCCGACAGCTTGAACGGTTTTCATTTGAACCTACAATTAATAATTATTTATAATTATATTTTCTTTTTAAATATTTAGGTGGAACATACCACTGCTAAATTGTTGATTCGGCTTGCTTCTATCAACCAAACCAGCACTCTCTGGTGAAGTTTGAGTCCCTGCTTGTGCCATCGATTTGGAGCTTGAGTCAGTATCAGGTGCAAAAGTATTCTGTGTAAAAGTTCATGTTAAAGAGAGGAAAAAATACAATATTGTTAAAAGAAAAAATCTAACTGTTTCTTTAGTCTTTCTTGGAGTTGATGGTGTGCTATTTGGACTGTGAAGCGAACAGCTACCACTTGGGCTAGGTGTTAAATCCCTGGTTAGACTGCTTACCAAAGCGCTCGTGTCACTCTGCGTAGAGCCTCTTCTCTGAGACGTGCTTTCTCCTCCGATACCAACTAAAAAAATACAAAAAATAATTGTAACGGTTACAAGTATGAAAAAAAGGCAATTTTAACGTAAAATTTAAATTGCGACAAAGAAACAGGGAAAAGGGCTGTTGCATATACCTGCTGGTGACCAAGCAATACTCCTAGGTGAACCATATGCAAGTGGACTGCTACTCATGCTATCTTGTTGGAGCCCAAGACTCCCCTTAGCCCCTGAAAGGCATGACAGTTTACCAAACAGTGGATCAAAGCTGACGAAAATATTCAAAAGCATCCAACCAATATAATCTAAATACTTTATGCAGACATGCAGAAGAAACGTTTGTCTGTTTAAAAAAAACAAAAAAAAACACGATTTTTTATAAACGTAAACATAAATTTCACATATCCTCCAATCAAATACTGTACAAAAAGACGTTGCTTAGAACAATGTAAATCATGCTGGTCTTTACGTTATGGCCATCTAAGTGCAATGTTACAAATGGTCAATTTAGACAAAGGTTTTGCATTCAAGGGTTCACCATAACCAAAATAACATAAGATAAATTTATTTTTCTGCAATAAAAATAATATATTTTTGAAAAAGTGTTGATCTTGAGAATACCTTGGCTTCGATGGCGGCCTGGAAGTGCTATAAACCAAGAAAACTATCATCTTCTAGCATGCCAAAAATTACATAGAATATAGATGAGAAAAGGTGCTTAAACGATACTATTTTTATAACAGTTGGTTTTGTAAATAATAAATTATATTCTTTCATAAAAAGATTAATATATATTATATTGGATTTCCACATTTTTTTAGTAGTTATATTTTTATAACAGTTTCAGTTTTTTTTAAGAACAATAATACTTGCTTCATTATTCTTTTATTGCTGATGTTGAAATTCAATTTTCAGGAGCACTTTGCACTCTGTTAAATTAAATATGTATTAAGTTAAGAAAAGTTAAGTTCAGCAGCAGCAATGACCAGAGGCGGCGTCGAAGGAGGAGCGGCCGTCCAACGAGGACCACCCATGGAACCCGGAGGACGACCCGAGGAAGGATGCTGCTGACGGAGGAAGAGTACCCTGGGCATCCGCCCAGGTAATAGTTCGAAATATCGAAAAAAAATGTATTAAGTTAAAAAAAGTTAAGTTCAGCATCAGCAATGAAAGGAATATTTCATTATATATCTATTGCTGTATGTTTCACGATTTGTTGGTGAAGAAAGAAAATTCGAGTGTTCTGTGACATAAATCTTTTTTATTCTGTTCTTTAATTTATGTGTATGTATAACCACATTTGTTAGGGCTGCTGATGATGTTTCGATGTACATAAGCTCAACTCTGAATTGAACAAGCACTTTGATTTTTGCCAGTCTGGGGTCAGATCTCGATTTTATCATCCTGCCAGAAGCTGTCAGCTGTTAGTCATTTCAGCGGTCCTAGATAATTGAGATCTTTGAAATAAAGGCAACCCTGACTTTCAGAAAAGGTATCTGATATAGTACAGTCATGGATCAAAGGTGTAGGGGAAAATTGTACCTTAGAAAAAAACCCTAGCTCAATCCAATTATCTTCCAAGCTGAGGTCCATGCAATTGAATTTTGTGAGGAGTTTATAAAGAAGAAAGTAAAAGGTACAAGATTTTTTTAAAAGGCAGCTATAAAGACACAAAATGTATGCTGTCAGCCCAAAACTAGTCTGGGAATGCCTAAATTGCCTAATGGCTCCAGGAGAACAAAAACAACCTTGAAGTGGATTCCAGGGCATTGAAGGAAATGACAGGCTGACTAAATAGCCAAAGTAGGGGCAGCCCTGTCAATCTGTCGGACCAAAACCAGGACGTGTGTTAAAGTTGGAGCTGGATGGGTTGAGAAAGAAAAAACTGACTGGACCCCAGCATCAGGAGTAAGGCAAGCTAAGACACTTATAAATCTCTCAAAAAGAAAGGAACTCCTCTCTCTCAGTAGGCAAAATTTACGGAAAATTATGAGTATAACCACTGTATTCTTAGCTATTTTTTTAAGGTGGGCAAAAAGGACTAGATGTAGTATGCTTTCAAATCAAAACTAGTTTGGGAATGCCTAATGGCCCCAGGAGAACAAAAAAACTTTGAGGTGGGTTCCAGGACATGGAAGGTATACAAGGAAATGAACAGGAAGAGAAGGGGCAGCCCTGTCCATCTGTAGGACCAAAACCAGGACGTGAGCTAAAGTTGGAGCTGGATAAATGGGTTGAGAAAGAAAAACTGACTGGACCCCAGCATCAGGAATAATGTGAGCTAAGAGTAAGGTGAAGGAATTCCTCCCTCTCCCTCTCCCTCTCCCTCTCTCTCTCTCACTCTCTCTCTCTCTCTCTCTTTCTCTCTCAGCAGGTAAGATTTAAGGAACACTATGAATATAACCACTTAGCTATTTTCTGAACATGGGCAAAAAAAAAGATGTGTATGCTTCAGCTCAAAACTAGTCTGGGAATATCTACATTGTGCAATGGTCCTAGTGGAACACAACAAACACTGACATGGTGATCCAGGACATGAAAGTATAGAAGGAAATGAACAGGCCGACCAAATAGTGAAAGAAGACAGCCCTGTCAACCTATAGGACCAAAAACAGGATGAGAGATAAAGTTGGAGCTGGATAAATGGGTTGAGAAAGAAAAACAGACTGGACCCCCAGCATCAGGAATAATGCAAGCCAAGAGACATATAAATCTCTCAAAAAGTAAGGTGAAGGAATTCCTCTCTCTCTCTCTCAGCAGGTAAGATTTAAGGAAAATTTAAAATTATAAGCCTCTCTAGAAGATGAGCAAACCAGACAGAAATATGACACTGGCCAAATCCTTTGTGAAAGTGAGGCACTAGCCTCAGTAAAAAAAAAAAAATAAATAAAAATAAAATGGTTCACAGAACCTTCTCAAGATTAACAGTGAGATAATTGAGAGAGTATCATCTTATAAATACTTGGGGTGCTACGTCAAGGATAACTGGGACCCTGCATGCAAAAATCCTTTGTAGAATTGAACAAGCTAGAAATTCCTTCCAAAAAATGAGGAAAGTTTTGACAAACTGGGACTTATCTCTCAGGCTTCGTACTCGAATACTTCGATCCAGAAGCTGGAAGCATTCAAAATGTGGATGTACAGACAAATTCTGAAGATTCCTTGGACAGCCAGGGTTACTAATGTGGCTGTATTACAGCGCATGAATAAAAAGCTAAAAATCCTCAATACTATAAAGGCAAGAAATTACAATATTTTGGACACAATGCGCAATGAGAAATATCATCTGCTGCAGGTTATCCTTCAAGGAAAAATATATGGGAAGCGTGGACCAGGGCATAGAAGAACACAGCTGATCTATTTAGAATACCTTTGGATCGAAACCAGTTCAGGCTACTGATCGCCAACGTTCTATGAGGACATGACTTCTTGATGAATAAGAAGAAGGCACTAGCCCATAATGGTATACCCACTTTGGTAAGATAATTCTCACTCAGAGAGGAACCTCATTCACTCAGGCAACTTGGACTACTTGCTATTCCTCCTTCACCCTTTACAAATAATTTAAAACTTATACAATTGAGGATTGTGGGGTATTCAACATTTCACCATCATATTACTCATTCATGCTAATAAATACATTCCCTCCAATATGCACAAAAGGAACACAAAATGGGATATTTATCAGTATAAAACAACAACTTCCAAAACAGAAATAGGAGACTCAAATTCAAATAATCACTACTGAGCTGCATTGGGTAGCATTCCTACAAGCTCTCTATACAGAGCCATGGAAGCCTTTCTCTACATGCCCATAACATGCTTTCGCCCAAGAGTGAGAGTTTATGTGTCAAGATGGGCCAATGAGCCCAAACATACAGAATAACACTTGAATGTTATTTTCTCCACCAACCATAATTTAATAGACTGAAGAAAGGAGCCTGGAAAGTGACACTGAAAATTGATTTTGATCATCAGGAATAAAAGAATAATAAAAATTGGTTGTGTTCTTAAAAAATCTGAAACTGTTATAACAATATGTATTATATATTTCAACTAAGTCTATGGTTAAAAGTATTTTTTTTTAAACTTCTCTATTTTGAAAGAATTCCTATGTGAAAATTTAAAAGAGAATTTTTTTTAGAGAATATCCACTTAGTAAGATTACACACTCAAAACATACGTGCATTTTAAATATTCCGGTTTCAATTTGTACAACAACAAACAAAAAAACGGTTTGTTAAAAGGTAAAACAACAAAACACCAAAAAACATAAAATGTAGACACTACCTCAATGAATACAAGGCTTTTATACCGTTATAAAATGCAATGTATTTTTGTTGAAAATTAACAAAAAGGTTGGTCAAACATATATAATTTTTAGGTGGATGTTTACACAATTATTCAAAAATTAACTACTGCTCTTAAATCATAACTCGCATTTGCCATGCTAGAGGTTCTGGGTTCGAATCCTGGCATAGCCCATGGAATTTTAATCGAGAATATTATGAAAAAAGCATTGCAAAGTTGTTCTGACCCCTCGTTTATAACATCCGATGGTTTGCTGGATGTTAAGCCCTCCTACTATAACAGGAATTACTTTGCTTACTTTAATAATAATAAAAAAGTACATTTATATTATGTAAATTTAGCGATTTATGTTTTGGTGATAAGGGTATGTTCAAAGATATATTATTAATTCAAAACGACTATCTTGGTAAATTGAAAAAAAAAAAATTCTACATATTTTGATACAGTTGGTATTGCAAAATATATTTGTAACTGGGAGAGATATATCACTCGAAATGGAGCCACTTCCCCTGTTTATAATTCAAACTTTTTCTTTGTAACATTCCTCCAAATTTCCATATATTGTTTACATCCTTATGGCCTAAAGTATCTTTGCATTTTTTTTTTTAGTTTATGTTTGGCAGATTTTTTTTTTTTTGATTCCAGAGTTCCCTCGTGAGTACTGCAGCTGTACAGCTTATTGTACTTTATCCCTGGCTCCATATTTTGGGGGAGGGCTCGCAACACAAATGTGAACTTGAGCTCCCGTTGTACTGGTGTTCTTCCGTCAAACTCATTTTTGAAGGGGGTTGGGACCAAATTCAGGGTCGCTGAGATCCGATCCCGCCACTTCCATTGATGAGTGCCGTGTCAATTTCTTTCAATTGCAGCCACCGGTCCCCTTAAGCGTCAGAAAAAGTCCAGAGGCGACGGTGGGGATCGAACCCACGACCGCGGGATCTACTAGCCGAGAGACTGCCACCTTAACCACTTGGCTACCGCGGCCCCCATGTTCGGCAGTTACTGTTTTGACAATTTTTTTCGACACTGGTCACTCTGGAAAACCATTTAAACAAAGTACGCCAAACAAAATTGAAACAAAAACCACTTCATGCGTACCAATGTTCGATTTTACAGTTCTGCTTTTTCATTATTTTTACGATGTTTTATATATGTACAATTTAATAAAGAACTTAGAAAAATGCATTTCATCTATTAACATTTTTTCCTCATGATCATTCGAACTCCTTGACAATTCAAATTATTTTTTAGATCCAAAAAAAGACAATAATATTTTGTTCTTTATTTCAAACTATATACATTTTTATCATTAAATTAATTACAACACGAATTTTAATGTAAACAAAATTAAACGAGATCAGAAGTTCATGAGTTTTAATGAAAATTATTTAATTATGACAAAAAAGTAAATTAAAATATATTGGCATGTTGGACCTGGACTGTAGATTAAAGAATAAAATGCCACATACTTTGTATTTTCATTATTCATCATGAAAATTCATTGTTTATTTTCATTTTAGCCAATTCCAATTGTCTGCTCAAAAAAACTATTTGAATGTCCATGTTTAAAAGGAAAACCAATGAATTATGAACGTTAGAATTTTATTTTTGTCAATATTATTGCATGTACCCCATCATAAGACAGAAGGATTAAAAATATGTAATTTATTGACAAACTATTCAAGTTAAAAAAAAAACTTTCAATAGAATGACTACTGACAATTATAGCTTATTGAGTAAAATGGTCGTACTTTTACCAAACCATTAAGTCAATCTTTACTTAAGTCCCATTAAAAAAATATATCCTGATATAATTTAATTATTCATTTAAGAGTTCTGATATTGTTATTGGATTAAATTGTTTTAGTACCTGGTATTGGAAGCGGGCTAGAACTTGCGCTATGCGATGTCCTAGACGGCGGCAAAGGACTTGAGCTTCTGGACGCTTTTCGTGGCGTGTCTGGAGGAGTCACGCCATTACCGTTTGCTCGGCTTTCTCCAATAGCTTTTACCAGCTCTTTGACAGATACTCCGAGCAATTCGGGTGGTAGATCTCTGTTGAAAAACGACATTAATATCTACATGACATACTGTTACGCTGGTGTATTGATTATGGTAAAGTACGAAAGATATTTTTTTATTTATTTAGGCCAATTCTGTTGGGTTATTTTAGTCTTCGTGATATAAATTATAGTGAAGCATTATGATGCCTGCTAGACAAAGAACCGTTAGCTTAATTGTTCCTAATTATATTGGTTCTTTTCTTCATTTTGAATGTAAGAAGCAGGGACTTTCAAGTTATAGGTTCATCATCTTGCAGATCTCACCGTATTCTTGTATGAGCCTTATTTGATCTTGTACTAAATTTTTGCATTTTATATTATGTATAATATTTGTATATTTTTAGAATATTTTTTTCTTGCCAGGCTTACTTGATTGATGAACATGCTGTCTTTTTATCAGGCTGAGGTTTATCGTCGGATTTGAGCCATTTGGTCAAAGCCGGGGACTTTGGCACTTCTCTAAATATCGACCTGCTGTCCTCCTTTTGCCCTCCTGCTGGAACCACAGACTCTAAATGACAATACGGCATGAACATTCAACAAAGTGTTTGCCCATTTATGAGAAATACCTTGGTGCGACGTCGACCCGAATACGAACGGAAGTTGATTTGACGACGTACCCTGCGAGCTGAACATGGGAAAGGAGGTGGAAGTAAAGTCGAAAGCTCGTTTTCCCGATTGTGAAATTTGCATTTGTGAATTTGAAAAGAATTCGTCGTCGCCTTCGCCCGTGCATTCATCTGTAAACTCTAAGAAACAATTTTTATCATGCTCTTAACGTATAATAAACAAATACCTTTATCCTTTTCTACAGATTCTGGTCGTAGATAGACATTTTCACGATTGATGGCCAGAGCCCAGGCTTCTCCATCCCAATTGAAACAGTGTTTGTTCAAACTCTCCTCGTCCAATTCGACCCATGTTCCATCATTATTTTCCACCTTTTATAATGACATAATTTAATTATGTAAAGAATGATGTTTATAATTATACTTACATGGTCGATGACCGTAATGCAGTTTCCTTGTGTTAACATTCCAACAGGAGGAGCTTTAAGGCTTGGGTTACTTCTGATATTATGCCCTGATGCTCCGCATTTAACGACTCTGTACTGCGTCGCTCTTTTTGTTTTACTAAAGTCAGAAATTACAAAATTAAAAAAAAATCACATCAGTTTAAATAATGATTTATTGACTTACGGTGATTCTATTATAGGAGATTTTCTAACATTCGGATCCCTGATGGCATTTTCAATAATTGATTTTGGCTCCTGAACGGGAAGGAGTAATGTTTTACCAAGATGTTGATTAAATTGAAGACACCAAGCTTCAGCATAGGCACCTTCGCAGTATTGTCGAATTGTCTCCTGGTTCAATCTAAGCCAAACGCCATCATCATTGTGTATCTAAAAAAAAGGTTTTTAATTTTGATATTTTCTGCTATTTTATTTTTTGTTTTTTAAAATACCTCGTCGATGAAAGCTATTGTTCCATTAACATGAACCACCCCAATCTGTTCACTTTGAAGAGAGGGGTGAGCCCTGACTCTCAACCCGGCTGAATTTCTTGCGACAAATTTTCTCAATTTGTTCGGCTGTTGAGTCGCTTTTCTCACAACGGATTGAGACGGAGGTGTCATACCCTGAGGAGGTTCTTTCACTTCTACTTTATACCCCTGGGAGAAAATGTCTCGTAGAATAAATTTTTATAAGATATATTACACAATATTATTACTTCATGCATTGGGTAGCCGTCAATTGTTGTGAGTATTGAATACCACCCGATACTCGCCGGTGTCCAAGTGGCACTGTACGAACCGTCACAGTTAGGCCTGACTAGCATGTTTTCACTCGATCTTTTGATCACAGGAGATGTGTAACGCAATTCTTCAAAAGAATAATTTTCGTATGCCTACAGAATAAAAAATACAGGGAATAGAAATTGCTTAATCTTTATTATTAATGGTACAACCTTCATGATTGTTATGGCTGCGTAACACATTTTATCCTTGATTGTCACCTCGTACGGTACATCGAGGCAGGGTAAGGCATGACCTCCGAATGTCAGTTCATCTGGTTGACTTATTCTACGCATTTTCCTATTTGCGTCTGAGCCTCCTAGTTCCTTTTTGTCAATAGGAACAGCTTTCACTTCAATCTAAAAAAACAAAATATTGCCATAAATATTATTTTAAAATGTATTCTTCAAAGCATACAGGTCGAAGTTACAGTTCTTTTAGATAAAAGTGAAACTAAGTCTGTAATAATTTCTTCAATTTTCTGTTATGTACTAACAATAGTTTTCTAAACATTATTGAAAATTTAAATCATATATAATTTTATTTTATTGACAGTAGCAACAAAATTTATTTATTGTTTTGTTTTTTGCCCAAACTATCATCTCTGCAACTTGTGAAGTAAGTTTTAAGTTTTATGTTGAATTTTAGTTACTCAATAAAGTTTATGTTGTTGATGAAAAACTGAATCATTCAGCCGAATTGAATGAATTTAATGCAAAATAAAACTCGACCTTTTCGGCTTTTCAAAGGTGCAAAACAATAAAAATGCAAATGATTATTCGGAGATCGTGAGATGCGGTCTGGTGTGATGTAGGTTTCAGAAAAACATTTTCTTTATCATGCCAACGTTTCGATCTTTATTCAGATCATCTTCAGGGCCTGGGATTTATAAATATTGTTTAAATTTTAAATAAATAAAGATAGTTTAAATTGTAAATATAGGATGTGAAAAAATGAATTTATACAATGCTAAAAATTTTGGATAAAAAAATGAATTTATACAATGCTAAAAAATTTTAGATAAAAAAAATGAATTTTTTTAGCATTGTATAAATTCATTTTTTTAATCTAAAATTTTCTAGCATTGTATAAATTCATTTTTTTAATCTAAAATTTTCTAGCATTGTATAAATTCATTTTTTTAATCTAAAATTTCTAGCATTGTATAAATTCATTTTTTCAAATTCTATATGTATTGTTAAATGTAAACAATGTTTGTAAATTCCAGGCCCTGAAGATGATCTTAATAAAGATCGAAACGTTGGCACGACAAAGAAAATGTTTTTCTGAAACCTACATCACACCCGACCGCATCTCACGTCCTCCAAATAATCATTGACTAACGGTCACTAAACATCACACAAAAATGCAAATATTCTATTTATTTATTTTATGCTCTCCCAAATACAAATACAATAAAAGTATACAGGTTATAACTGTACATAATTTTACAATTTTTTTTTTGCCTTATGATCTATGCATATTAACCATGGTGACGAATTCTTATGTGTGTTCATATTTGGGGGGGGGGGGAAAAAAGGGCCAGAGGCGACGGTGGGCATCGAACCNTTTTTAGCATTGTATAAATTCATTTTTTTAATCTAAAATTTCTAGCATTGTATAAATTCATTTTTTCAAATTCTATATGTATTGTTAAATGTAAACAATGTTTGTAAATTCCAGGCCCTGAAGATGATCTTAATAAAGATCGAAACGTTGGCACGACAAAGAAAATGTTTTTCTGAAACCTACATCACACCCGACCGCATCTCACGTCCTCCAAATAATCATTGACTAACGGTCACTAAACATCACACAAAAATGCAAATATTCTATTTATTTATTTTATGCTCTCCCAAATACAAATACAATAAAAGTATACAGGTTATAACTGTACATAATTTTACAATTTTTTTTTTGCCTTATGATCTATGCATATTAACCATGGTGACGAATTCTTATGTGTGTTCATATTTGGGGGGGGGGGGTTATCGTGAAAAAAGGGCCAGAGGCGACGGTGGGCATCGAACCCACGACCTATGAGCCGAGAGTCTCTCACGCTAACCACTCGGCTACCGCGGTCCCTAAATTTACAAATGTTTATAATAAAAAAAATAAAATGAAAATATTAAAAATGAATTTAAACAATTTGAAACCTATATAATTATCAATTATTAATTATAATTCACTAGTTTTCGTGGTCCGCTTTGACCAATTAATATATTTCAATTAATTAAGGTTTTTAGTTGAGATAAAGAAGTCAGTGCCACGAGCGGGATTCGAACCCACGACCTTCGGCTAGATACGCCGCTACACCACCACTTGAGCTATCGCGACTTCGATCCACTCGGAAACTAACTTCCCATCTCTACCATAAAAAAAGGCAAAAAGGAGGGAAAATTCAAAGGTGGGTTGAGATGGGAAGTTGGTGCCCGAGCGGATCGATGTCACGATAACTCAAGTGGTAGAGCAGCAGCGTATTTAGCAGAAGGTCGTGGGTTCGAATCCCGCTCGTGACACTGGCTTTTTTATCTCAAATAAAACACCTTAATTGATTATGCATGAGGTTTTGGTTTCGTTGACCTCGATTTTCTTCTGTTGGAGCCAGTGTACAACTACGTGCACGTCTAATTCATTCGTCTAATACGGACTTTTGAGGTTAGAAACTTGTGTGAAATTGACTTCCGATCAAAAACACGTCTGCCAAAATTTAAATACTCCATATATGTTTAGCAATCATAATTGACCGTATTATTTCAATTAATTAAACTTTGTAAGGTCTTGGTGAGATGAAAAAGTAATTGTCACCACCAGGATTCGAACTCACGTTTATAAAACAAATTTTTGATACTGAAATCTGGTACAAATTCGCTTTTCTAAATTAAAAACTTGTGTACTGAAGTTACTACTAACTAAGCCAAAGTTAGTCTTGTAATTCCGACCCTTAAAAAATATTGAAGAAATTAATACCTACTAAGTAAGTTTCAACCCAAGATTAGGTGAAAATCCTACCAAAGTATTGTATGAAATATGACATGAGATCATCGTTAAACAATGATTTACCGAGTTTACCGTGAGTCAATTATTGGCCAAGTTCTAAAAACGGTTGAAAAGACCAATCCAGATTTAAAATTTGAAAAAAATACTGGACAGTTTTTCATCCAAGATGGAGCAATGCCGAACCGCGTTGAGTATATCAAGAAACCCGGGGGTGAAGACGGAACCAACAAATGACCTAATGACAGTTCAGCATGAGTTCACCGCCAAGCAGCCCAACACCCAGCATCAACCCCAAGTAGAAAAATACCTTGTCCAAGAAGATCAGAGAACTTCCTACACGTCGTAACGCACGCATGATGACATCTATCATCGTTTTACAAATCAACAATCTTTGAAAAAGTTGAAAAAAAGTTGAAAAAAAAAAGAAAATTTAAACCAACAGTTTTTTTAAAAGAAGTATTGGGTAGCTCGAGTGCCATATATATATATATATTAAAAAAAAAAAAAATAAAAAAATAAAATAAATGGGTAAAGCAAGTACCTTTAAACTTGGTACGTGAACCACGTCTCCATACTGGTCTTTTGTGAGTACGGTCAGCAGGGCTGGCCATCCGCATCTCATGTCCTCCCTCGAGTACAGCAACTCTGATCGTCCAGGGTCGACGTACGATTCCGGCTGGAGCCATCTCGAGAGACGCCCTCCGCTCGTTCCAGGTGCGCACTGTACGAAATCCCTTAGGAACAGACGCTCGTTCGAATGACAACTGCAACATAAAATTGTGTTTAGATTAATAAAAAACTGAAGTTATTCGGTTAAGGGCAATTTTTGTCACTTCTAAATTATTTACTATTGTAGTTTCGGTTGATTTTGAACTATTCTGAATGAACGATTAGACGAGGAACGCTGAATGATTTCGTAACGAACACAAATTACTAAGAATTTTTAATGCTTGTTTGGGGCGAGCAATTATTGTGAAAATTATTAATTTAGAGAGTGTAAAATCAACAATCTTTTAATACTTCTGTCTGTGAGTGTTCCTCTCTCTCTTTCTCCCCACTCGCTCATTCATTCTCGCACACACTCTCTCGCTAATTGACTTACTCATTCAATCACTTATTCACTCACAATGACTCACTCACTCTCACGCTATTCATTTACGCATTCATCACTCATTCATCCACAATGACTCACTCACTTAATTATTCCCTCTCTCTCACTCTCACTTACACTATTCTCTTGACTCATTCACTTGTTTTCCCACTCATACTTTTTGTCACTCATTAACTCACTCTCTCTTTAACTTATACATTTACTAACATTCTTTCTTCGACTCTGACACACTTGCTTTCTCATTTATTTACTTATTCACTCTATTTGTTTGTTTGCCTGTCTGACTCTGTCTGGCTCTCTCTCACCACTCACTTATTCAATCACAATGACTCACTCAGTCACTCTCACTAATTCACTTACGCACTTAATCACTTATTCACTCACAATGACTCACTAATTTATTCACTCACTCTCTCGCTAATTCACTTGGGCATTCAGTCATTTTCACCCACAATGACTCACTCACTTGATTACTCTCTCTCTCTCACTCACCTAAACTATTCCCTTGACTTTCATTCACCTGCTTTTTCGCTCATACTTTTTGTCATTCATTCATTCACACCAACTTTAACTCACTTAATTACTCCACTCTCTCTCTCTCTCTCTCTCTCTCTCTTACAGTATTCCCTTGACTTTCATACACTTGCTTTCTCACTCATACTTTCTGTCACTCATTCATTCACTCTTTTTTTATTTTAACCACTCATTTACTCTCTCTTTCACTTATACACTCACTAACACTCTTTCCTTGACTCCCACGCACTTGCTTTCTCATTCATTCACTTATTCATTCTGTCTGTTTTTTTGTCTGCTTGCCTGTCAGTCTGTCTTTCTGACCCTGTCTCTCTCTCTCTTTCCCTCTCCCTCTCTCTCCCTCCGTTCCTCTCTCTGTCAGTCTCCAGACGATAAAAATATCCACCGCTGAAGATGCTGCTGAAACGCTTCTGTCAGACAACACAGCGAGGATAGATAAAAACAGGAGAGAGAGAATAATAAGATAATAATGTCAGGTCAGGAGAAAACGTGGACTTGACAAGAAAAAGAGATAAGTTATATAAAACTAATAAATAGTTTTAAATAAATTAAATAGGTATTCATTTTCGTCAATTACATAAGGAATGAGCGGGCTTGAGAGCAGAATAAAAAGCGAAATGTTGCGGACCAGACTATGTTTTTATTAAATGACACAACACCTTTCTACAACGAAGAGACTTATTTTGGTCTACAAAAATATAATTTAATTTTAGTTTATAGTTTGTAGTCATGGACATAATTTTCTTTACATCTGACTATAATAAGTTGTATTTTTGTCAAACGAATATTATGACTAAAAAATACACACACACCACACATTGTGACTAAAGGTTTTTATGACCCTTAAAGCAGTCAAACAAGCACCGGTTAATACATACTTTACAGTATCAAAGGGCCGAAATCGTCGTAATAAAATGTAAATTAATTTAAAGTCTTTCTGCAGGTGTTACACTGATACAAAAAGCTCCACACAACTCCAAGCTAATTGTAAGACCGATTACTTCTTTAAGCTTTACCCTCTTCGCACCTAATTTATGAATATGATCATAAGTTTCAACTAACTTTGTCGGAAACTGAACAAAAAAGAAAATTTATAAATAAGTGTATTCTTAAGACTCTGATTAATTTCACTAGTTTCGTGGTCCGCTTGACCAATCTTTCAATTAATTAAGGGTTTTATTTGAGATAAAAAAGTCAGTGTCACGAGGGGGATTCGAACCCACGACCTTCGGCTAGATACGCCGATACTCTACCACTTGAGCTATCGTGACTTCGATCCACTCGGAAATGAAAAAAAAAATGGCGAAAAGGAGGGAAAATTGAAAAGATGAGGTTGAGATGGGAAGTTAGTGCTGAGTGGATCGAGGTCACGACTGCTCAAGTGGTAGAGTAGCGGCGTATCTAGCTGAAGGTCGTGGGTTCGAATCCCGCCCGTGACGCTGACTTTTTTATTTCAACTAAAAACGTTAATTAATTGAAAGATACTCTGGTTAATTGGTCAAGCGGACTACGAAAACTACTGCGCTCTGATTAATGTTGCTAATGTATTATTTATGCATGCCCTATTTATGTAGTTTCTTACAGATAAACAAATAATTTCAAAAAAGCTCGCAATCCGTGTTTTGTTATCTTTTTAGCAAAGATAAACGATGTCCCAAAGTTAGCACTTTTTTATTTATATCTCTTTATCATTTAATTCCGATAAGACAATAACCGATGGGTTCGTTTTTTTATCTTCCTTCCATGAAAAATTGATGAGTAAATTTTTACTACGTGAGACAAAGAAAATTTGAAACACAAGCATATTTTCAACTATGAGATTCCTTATGACCAAATAGGAAAAACAAAATGATCGAAAACGACCAAGTAGACATTTTTACATGTCAAATCGTTCCAACATATTTTTTTAGCGTTTGTTTAACGAGAAATTAAATCACAATCGGTGTGGAATGCTGTTGCAACGTAGAACGTTCTTGAAATTGATATTGCCAACACGTAACACCGTTTGATCCCGTTTAAAGTTGACCCACTGTGGACCTCGGGTGCTTCATCTTTCGACACAATTACGTATATTGTGTTATCTAGAAACATGGTTTAACCGAAAAACGGGTTTAAGCAAAAATTGAATTGCATGTTCGCAATTTTTAACAATAGTAATTGGATTGTTAACGAAGAGGAAAGTTTTTCAAACATTATTATTACACTTTACAAGAGTATCGAAATAATCGAATCTTTGACTCAGGATATTTAAAATGTGTGTTTGTGTGTGTGTGTGTGTGTGTGTGAGAGAGAGAGAGAGAGAGAGAGAGAGAGAGAGAGAGAGAGAGAGAGAGAGAGAAGATTTGAAGTTAAGATAGGTTAATTTTAATTTAAAAATAGTTAATTTGAAGTTAAAATGGGCTTGTTTGTAATTAAAAACGGTTAATTTTTATGTAATAAAGGCTAATTTGTATTTAAAAAGGTTAATTTGAAGATAAAATGGTTCAATATGCATTAAAAGAAATAAATTGAAGTTAAAATGGTTAATTTATATTAATTTATTATTTGATAATAATTTAATATAGTTAATTTATATTATTTGAAGATAAAAAAAAAGGTTATTTTGAAATTAAAAAGTTACTTGAAGCTAAAATGGGTCAGTTAAAAAAACAAACAAAAAAACAAGGTTAATTTGAAATTAAAATGGTTAATTAGAAATTAAAAAGGATAATTTAATGTTAAAATGGGCTTATTAGAAATTAAAAATTGTTAATTTGAAGGTAATAAAGGCTAATTTATATTTAAGAAGGTTAATTTGAAGATAAAATGGGCTTATTAGAAATTAAAAACTGTTAATTTGAAGGTAATAAAGGCTAATTTATATTTAAGAAGGTTAATTTGAAGATAAAATGGTTCACTATTCATTAAAAGAGTTACATTGAAGTTAAAATGGTTAATTTATATTTAGAAAAGGTTAATTTGAAGATAAAAAAAGGTTAATTTGAAATTAAAAAGTTAACATGAAGTTAAAATGGGTTAACTTAAAAACAAAGAAGGTTAATTTGAAATTAAAAAGGATAATTTGATGTTAAAATGGGCTTATTTGTAATTAAAAACGGTTAATTTGAAGGTATTAAAGGCTAATTTGTATTTAAAAAGGATAATTTGAAGATAAAATGGTTCATATTCACTAAAAGAGTTAAATTGAAGTTAAAATGGTTAATTTGAAGATAAAAAAAGGTTAATTTGAAATTAAAAAGTTAACTTGAAGTTAAAATGGGTCCATTTAAAAACAAAGAAGGTTAATTTGAAATAAATTTAAAGTTAAAATGGGTAAATATGAAATTAAAAAGGTTAAATGGAAATTAAAAAGGATTAACTTGACGGAAAAAAGCTATACGCATAACGTCGGCAGCCACATGAAAACGTGCAAATACGCGCACGTGCGTGTTCGTTGTGTAACAGTAGGAGCGAAGATCCGTCTAACTTTGTTGAAAATTGACAACAAATCCCAGGGTCGTTTCAACTACCTGGATCTTTCCATAAACCTTAGAAAACGACCAGGAAATTTTTTTACAAATAAAAAAATTAAATATTTCAATGAATTAAGGCCGATATTTCGTCTATCATCAGTGAGTTTTAATCCAGAGGTAGTGTGTGTTCAGAATTTAGATTCAGCCGAACGAAAACATACGAGTACGTGCACGTATGTGTTCCTTGTCTTACAGACTGAGCAATGTATGTATGATAATCAGGCGTTAAGTCTTTATCAGGTACATATGAAGATGTTTATAAAAATACTAAAACATCTACATATGTACCTGATAAATAAATTATAAACTAACTCAGTGAGTAGTCAATTTTGAATTATCAATTCGACTATAGTTATATGTTTTTCGTATTAGGTCCTGAATATATTTACAAATGAAACGAAAGCTTGGCATGAAGTTGGAAGTTTCTATGTTTCTGTGACCTAGCACTTGATTATCACGCATAAAAATCTACACGAGGTCCATCCATCTCTTAACAATATCAGATTGAACAATAATTTGACTAACGAAGGGACAACAAATTTGACAAAGAAGTATTCGAGAGAAAATTAGTTTAAGAATTTAAACTGGCTGGGTCTTTCCATAAATTATGGAAAACTGATCTAAGGTGCTCCCTTGAAAAACACCAGAGAGGTCGAGGTAACATGGAAGAAACGATCAAATAAGTATGATTTTAGAATTAGGTTAATATATCTGTTTTTTTTCTAGCTGGATAGGAGTAACAGCGTGTAAATATTTAAAAAAAATTGAACAAAATTTTGTATGGATTTGAAATTGAGCAAATTTATGTTCACATTTTAAAAGAGAAATAAGTCAATTTTTGGTTCTGATATTTTTCCATTAAGCCTAAAAATTTCTAGCCTATTCAATTTTGTATTAAAACAATAAAATATACTTGAACTTGAATTTTCTTTTGAGTATGTACAGGCAAGACTTGACGGTTTGTCATGAATCGAATTTTTTTTTCAGGCATTGAAATTTTAATATTTCTTTTGTGTAATTTTTAAAAATTTATTTATCAGTTTAAATATTATTTGATTGTTGTACTTGAGGGAGAATTGATGTAAGGAGCGAGTAGATGCAAGCTTCGCCTCCCCCCGTTACGTAGCGAGTGGGGCACCGGGGGTGAGTGGGGATGGGGGGACAAGCCCGAGGGAGAAACGACATGTTTCATCCAGTGCCAGTCTGCTATCAGTTGTCGAAGGAAAAGCAGTGTGTCAGAGCAGGGCGTATGTGCCGAGGGTGACAAGTGTCAGAGTGTGTTTCAAGTGGTGATCGTCCTCCTTCTTCTTCTTCTGTATATTCGACTCTGTCCATTCCTAGTCTCGGAACCCTGAAACTGGTCGACGAAGATAACCAAAACATGCATGAGTCATGCGGTTCCACATCGCCTTTATCAAAATCGTCCTCGTCCCCATCGTCGTTCTCGTCAATCAGTGCAGGATCGCGGACGCAATCTGTCAAAGGACGGAATGCTCCTGCGTCCCTCGTGGACCCTCTGGAGTCGCCGCTGCTTGCCTATTCCGCCCGAGACAAGTAAGAAAATTTGGAAAGGAAAAAAAACAACTAACTTTTAACAACTAACACTAACTTTTAAAGCCTTGCTTCAAGTAGTGTTGTAAAGACTAAAACGACTAACATCAAATTAAGGATCCATATCAAAGCCTACAAAAAATTAATTTTCCATCACCAAAATTAACCAAAACAGACTCTCTTCTAATAAAATAAAGATAACAATAAAACAAAAACCCATTCCTTTCTTGTTTTAATTTTTTAAACTTTCAAATCAACCAGTACTGAAAATAACAGGTTATTTTTATAATAGTCTGACCAGTACATCGGTCATATAGAATCTTATACTGGACGTTGTACAATTTTAGATGCCAATTTTAAAATATTTTAGGGTTTTTTTAATTGATAATGCCCTATTTGCTAGGATTTAAAAAAAAATTGGCGGGGGCGATTAAACAATGTAAGAAACTTTCTTAATCAAGCTGATAGGAAACCATTTTGAAACGATATAAGTACGTGTATACATCAAAGAAATTCTTTGTTTATGTTTTATCCGCGTATGTATGTTAAGTTTTAAACTGACATCGCTGATTTTTGTGGAATAAAACACAAAAATAATATCATTTCGATCTGCTTATCCTGGCAGTTTTGGCCTGAAAAAGACCAAACTGCACTTTTTTTACGATCATTTTGGTCCTTGCTTCTTTGGCCTGACTGAGATTAAACTATTGGTTTGTTTTTTTGTTCGTGTTTCGATCACAAAAAAGTTCCAGAAGTTCTTTTGTCAATTATTTAAAGAAACAGACATTTAAGAAAATCATGAAAACCCTCCTTGAACTTTGCTGAACCCTAAAAAAACTCGCGAGACTTAAAATATAAGGTTGATAAAATTAATGTACTTTAAGTTTTAACCAGTCATTGCAGTTTTTTTTGGGAAATAAAAACGGAAATAATATCATTTCGTTCTGCCTATCCTGGCAATTTTGGTCTGAAAAAGACCAAACTGCACTATTTTATGATCATTTTGGTGTGCTTATCATCGCTTCTTTTAGTCTGACATAGATTAAACTATAGGTTTCTTTGTTTGTTCGTGTTTTGATCACAAAAAAGTTCCGGAAGTTGCTTTGGCCACTTATTTGAAGAAACAGATACTTAAAAAAAATCATGAAAACCCTCCTTGAACTTTGCTGAACCCTAAAAAACTCGCGAGACTTAAAAGGTTGACAAAATTTATATATTTTAAGTATTGTCACAGTCATTGCTGTTTTTTTGGAAATAAAAAACGGAATAATACCATTTCGTTCTGCCTATCGTGGCAATTTTGGTCTGAAAAAAAAACCAAACTGCACTTTTCATGATCATTTTGCTCTGCTTTTCCTAGCTTCTTTTGTCTGACAATGATTGAACTGTAGGTTTGTTTCTTTGTTCATGTTTTGTTCACAAAAAAGTTCCAGAAGTTGCTTTGGTCACTTATTTAAAGAAACAGGTAGTTAAGAAAATCATGATACCCTCATTGAACTTAGCTGACCAATAAAAAAACTCACGACTTAAACTATAAGGTTGGTAAACTTCATATATGTTAAGTTTTCTCACAGTCAATGCAGTTCTTTTTTGGAAATAAATACGGTAATAAAATCATTTCGTTCTGCCTATCCTAGCAATTTTGGCCTGAAAAAACCAAACTGCACTTTTTTACGATCATTTTGGTCTGCTTATCCTCGCTTATTTTGTCTGACAATGATTGAACTGTAGGTTTGTTTCTTTGTTCATGTTATGGTCACAAAAACGTTCCAGAAGTTGCTTTGGTCACTGATTTAAAGAAACAGATACTTAAAAAAATCATGAAAACCCTCCTTGAACTTAGCTACCCTACAACAACTCACGAGACTTAAAATAAAAGATTGATAAACATTATGTAATTTAGTTTTGTCACAGTCATTGCAGTTTTTTTGGGAAATAAAAATCGGAAATAATATCACTTTGGTCTGTCTATCCTGGCATTTTTGACATGAAAAAGATTAAACTGCAGTTTTTTATGATCATTTTGGTCTGTTTATCCTCGCTTCTTTTGTCTAACATAGATTAAACTACAGGTTTCTTTCTTTGTGCGTGTTTTGATCACAAAACAGTTCCAGAAGTTCTTTTGTCAATTACTTAAAGGAACAGATATTTAAGAAAATCACGAAAAACCTCCTTGAACTTTACTGAACCCTAAAACAACTCGTGAGAATTAAAATGAAAGGTTGACAAAATTTATATATTTTAAGTATTGTCACAGTCATTGCTGTTTTTTGGAAATAAAAAACGGAAATATCATTTTGGTCTGCTTATCCTGGCAGTTTTGGCCTGAAAAATACCAAACTGCACTTTTTTAGTATCGTTTTGGTCCTCGCTTCTTTGGTCTACCGAGATTTAACTATAGGTTTCTTTGTTCATATTTCGCTCACAAAAAGTTACCTAAGTTCCTTTCGTCGCTAATTTAAGGGAAAAGATATTTAAGAACAAAAAGAAAGACAAAACTATTCGGGGACTTTGCCAAATCCAAAAAAACTTGCGAGGCTTATAGAATCACGTTGGTTGACTAAACGTTTGTATTTTAAGTTTCAAACACACATGTCAATGTACGGAGAAAAATAGATCATATTGGTCGGACAATCCTAGTTTTTGTCTGAAAAATACCAAGCTACACTTTTTTTACGAACATTTTGGTCCGGATATCCTCGCTTGTTTGGCCTGACCCGGATCAAACTGTAGGTTCGTTTTTTGTTTGTTTTTCATGAAACTAGGTAATTCTTTATATCTCATCCTCTCTTCTTTGGTCTGATAGAAATCAATCAAGTTAAGTTGCCTCCGATCTTTGGTCAACCTACCCTCTCTGTTTTGGGCCGATAAAGACCAAAACGTTTTTCCTTAGTTATGCTCTGTCCACAAACCGTTCCTGTTGTCGATTATTTATCGCAACAGTTATTGAAAATATAAAAAACTCTCTCGGGACTTAGCACTATCCTAAAACCAACCTCGAGACTTAAAAGATAAAACAGGTTAAAAACATTTATCTGAGCCTTCTTTGTTGTTTAGTTGTTAATGATCATTTTGGTTAGTCCCGAAAAAGGCCTATTAATTTTAACCTATCCTCGTTCCTTTGTCCTGACAAAGAACAAACTACAGAGTTATGTTTTTGTCCACAAAACCGTTCCTATTGCTTATTTAAAGCAACGAATATCTAAGAAAATTCAGTCTCCCTGAACTTCTCTGAAGCTTCAAAAATCCCACGAGTACTAAAAAACTAAAGAAGTATAGGAGGTTATCAAAATGTTTGCATTTTAAATTGTTTAAATCGTTGCTGTATGTCGAATAAACAATCTTGTTATCTGTAAGATAACCAAACTAACTTTATTCTTGGGTTGGATAACAAAATTTGTAATTAGGTTATTTTCGATAATTTGGGTGTGATTATCGAACTTCCGGCTTATAGTTTGGTTGTTTTGGTCTATCTTTCATCACTACAAACTACACTTTTTTCGATAGTTTTGATCTTTCTATCCTCGCCATAGTGGTCGGATCAGACAACGGGCTTTTTAACTTGGTTATTTTCGATCAATTTGGTCTGTCTAAACTCACTGTTTTGGTCTGACAGAGATCAAAAAACATGCTTATTTCCTTATGTATGTTTTGTCTACAAAATAAGTTACAATAATGCAACATAAATTTGACATATTATAGGGTTAATGAAAAACCCTATAGAAGAAAAAAAGGGGTAGGTTAACAATGTCGCCAACTTAAAACTTTGCAGTGGTAACTTCAAATTGTTCTGGGCAGAGTCCGGGTCAAAGAATAACTTTAAAAGGGCGAAATATCACAAAATCACAAAGCTTTCAGATACTATCTCCATGAAGAATTTTCTATATGAAGTGGGTACAAAGTTGGGTAGAGAAATATATTTGTTGTGTAATTAAAAGTCTCAATTATCATAAATAAACTTATTTATACATTTTAGACATGAAAGGCTCTGAAAACGGAACAATTCACGACTCGAATTTCTTTTTCGTTCGGTGTTCTCATATACGAGACGTGATTCGGGCAAATTCCCTGGAATTAAACGCAAAGGGGAACCCGTTTTATCCCACACGAACCGGGATCCAGTGCAGCTTCGCTTTGTCGGAAGTGAAACTTGAAAGGATCAGCTAGAGGAGACGGAAGAGATGGGGAAAAAAGTAAAAAAAGGAGCCGAGTCGAACACAATTTTCCTTTGCCATGTGCCGACTGCACATTTAATCTTACCCCGGGGTTTTTATCTGGAACGATAATTCCGGATTGTGAATCATTCTTGACCAGTTGTCGACTTTGAAAGTCATCGTTTTTTTAAATTTGCCTCGAACGAAACGTCCCACACGGCTAAACCCCTGATAACACTCTTCCATTTTACAAAAAAAAAAAAAAATCAATCCCTTGGATGTTTAAGTTTCTTGCAAGTTCATGCACATGCAGGAAAGAGATTGGACAAAAAGCTGCCAATAGTAAAACAAATATTGAAATCCTTGGCTTGCCCAATTTGTTGTTGAATGATGTCACATGTTGGACTATTTCGTGAAGTTTTTGTTTGTAAAATGACTTCGGTATTGTTTACCCTTCAAACAGCCCGAGAGGAAGTAAAGTTTTGTTTGTCTTTCATTCTTCACTTAGTAACTTTACTCAAGGTTAAAAAAAATTGCTAAATATAAATTTTACATTATTCAAAAATCTCGAGATGCGGTCTGGTGTGACGTAGGTTTTAGAAAAACATTTTCTTTATCGTGCCTACGTTTCGATCTTTATTGAGATCATCTTCAGGGCTCAAAGTGTTTTTTTCTGTGTAATTGTGCCATTCTTGCGCGTCGTGTTGAGAGTGCCCATAAATTTTGTCTTTACCTATGAAACAGGTTGGATTTTTAAAAAACTGTATATTATATGTTGTGCTGATTATTTTTTACTGTCTTGGATTGCTAATATTTATGATTAAAAATAAATAAATTAATTTACATTTT